CAACATTTGGGAGTGTTCAAACCCTGAAACCTGCTGGTCGAGTCGCTTTGATATCCAAAGGCGTCAAGGTTTCAAAACGGCCGGGCCCTGATCATCCCACTTCGACGATCCTCGGAGTGGGGTTTGTGCGGAATGATCAGAGAGACTAGTGCTGATGATTCCTTCAATGATTCCTTCCGGATCTTGATTCTTTTTCTTTTTTTCTTTTTTAATAGAAGAAAAAACTTTCAAAAGAGATATTGATCTCAATGTTACTTCGAGCCTTTGCTGATCCACCAGGACATACACGGCTGGATCGACTGTTGGGGGCTCGAGATCAATCAAATGGATCAATCAATCACTGGTTCTCATGTACACTGGTGCATCAGTGGCTTGCGTAATCGGGCCGTCGTCGTTTAGGCGTGGACAAGGACACGGGACGGGACAAGGCCCAGCAGCTCGGGTCAAACCAGCAGTCAAAAGTCGCGTCGAATCAGCGGTGTCTTTCATAGGATCCAAAGTTTCCACCACTTGAATGAGTGTATCCCCTAGAATAATATTCGAAGGCTTCGCGGGGGTGAATTATCCGCCCCACGCTAGCCTTGAGATAGAGAGTCATTTCGGTTCGTTGTCCGATTTCCATTTCGATCGGCGGCAACGAGGCTTTGCAGGGGACATGAGGGCGCCGCTCTCGTCGAACCCAGAGAATGTTAATGGTGAGGGTGACGATATGTGGCGTCTTGTCGAGTTTGGTTTCGAGAGATTTCTCTGCGCGTTCCATCCTTGGCGTGTACAAGTATAGATTTCGTCGGAAGCTGAAACTGCTCTGGGCGGAACACAACCGCCTGTGGCGGGACTGGATTTATTGATGCCTATTGACTCCTTTGACCTCGGGAGTGTAATTTCGTATCATTGACGAATCCATACTCTCTATCACCTTGGCCAGAACAGTCCGAGAGATTGATATTATGTCATTGTCAGGATTAAGCAACAGAGGGGCTGGAATTTGCAATCCCGACTAATATTCGCATCCCTCGAGCATTGGCCGCCTCCCAATAAAAACGGATAAAAAATTAAAATAATAATATAGAAGGAGAAGAAAAAGGGCTTGTCTCCGTACAGTTTGAAGCTTGTAAAAAGACATTTGGGGAAGAACGTTGAACCAAAACAAAGCTACGGGCAGATTCCCAAGGAAATAAAATCCGGCTCCATGGGTGAGGGTGTGTGTGTTGGACAGTGTGTACCGAGTTCCAGATGTAGTGTATCGAGATTCGGACAAAAGTGCATCAATCCATCACTGATCTCGAGCATCGGCATTGATTTAGAGATGGGGTACCTCGGTATTAATAAATTCTTCGCCTTGCTTTGTTGGAATGCATCGATTGTTTCTTTCGCGTGCTGAGTGCCGTCCAGACTGATCCACGTTCCAAAGGCTCCGGATCCGACCTTCTTTTTGCTCTGGGCGCAACGCCAAGTGGTCACAAATCACATTTTCCCCAATCCCAAATACAGACCTGATGGTTGCAGTTTTTGTCACATTTGCCGTGCCGTTTCGAACGCTCGAAACCTTCACTGCCGACAAGGCTCTTTGCTTTTCTCAGCCCCCTCTTTCAAAGGCTATTATTGTTGATGCCTTGGGCAGGTCTATAATGCGGCCTCGAGCGACCCAAGACCCGATGCTAAGGACCCAGAACCCAGGACCCAGAACACACTGAATGGATCTATCAATCCATTTGATACTAGTCTAGTGTTACCGAACAGTCGGGAGGCAGAACAGCCTGCAGGACACAGCGACGACACCCAACAGCGCATTTGCTCGAGTTGCTTTTCTTTTTTCGTCCATCCCAAGCGTCCCAGCTTCCATCCATAGCACCATTTAAGAGAAAAAGTGCGAAGAGAAGGGAACATAGTGTGTTATGCGGGTGTGCGTTCCAGGCCGTGATCTCGGGTTCTCAATCTCGGGCGCGTCAAGGGTGCAAACCTATCCGCGTACGTTCTCCAGTACCCCATCCAGTACATCCATTGGAATTGAGATGGATCCATCTATTGTATTGATGAGAGCGATCTCAACTTGTTACCCAAACTCTGCATCAACAGCAGTCGCTTGAGCACACACAGAAAGAGCTTCCTGGGGACCGTTACTTTGAGAGCTGCACCTGCTTCTTTCGCGCGATCATCCCCGTCCAAGAGTGGGCCAGGCTCATCAATTTAAGGAACCTGCAACCGAAGGGCCAAAAGATTATAGCAGTTTCAAATGTTCTTTCCCCGTCTTTTTGTGCGTTGATCCGGTCTGACTGAGGAAAGCATAGCAAATAGTTTGACCCAACACCTCATCCCGAGGTGCCTCTCCATGTACGAAATATTCATGCTAAGGATGCTATAGTTTCTTCCCGCACTTTCCTCTCAGGGTTCCCTCCCACGCCCGCCCAAACCTTTCCGCTCGCAAGGACACCCTTGTCTCCGTTCGGCCCTATCCCAATGTCTTGGACCTTGGAGAGCGGAAATGGGTTTCTCTATTACACTCCGTTCCCTTCCCACCAGTCTCGTCTCAAGGCGACGTTGTTCCTTCCGTTCCGCGGGTCATATCCGCACCAGCAGACGTTGGCCACGGAGAACACTTCCGATGGGGTGTGTGCTGTAAAGGTCGCAGACTATCCACCACCCGGACGGCCGGGATCTACTTCTGCTATGAAGAGCGCCTAATCAACCTCAGTCCTGGCTCCTGGGTAATGGTGAGCCCCCATTTCGCCCCTTACGTCTAAGCATCGAGCATTATGTCGGTTGAAGGATTCAAGATGGCGCTCTCCGTGCCTGGCCCTCTCTTTTCTGTCCTACCCCCTCAAAGCATTCACAATCCCCGTAGCGATCCAATTTCTCCCCGTGAGCCCGCCTTAGTGACCCGGCAGCCTAGGCCGTTTGCGGTATGAGGCACCATCGCTGCATCGAACCTCTAACGCGCTAATGAGCGCGTGCTCATATATGCACACCCAGAGACTATCCTGGACGTTTTAATCTCCCTCTCTCGTCGTGGAGAAACGAAACAGTTTTGGTCAAGGCAATATTATGGCTTCCGCTTCAACAGAATTCTGTGCCCTATGGGTCCGCCTTCCACCTTGGAAGGCCAGAAACATTCATCCAGGATAGATACGGATACCGAGGGCCAAGGGATGAGAATCCAATTCTAACCCATAATAGTTATCCGGCTTCCTTTCCACCCACGCCAGGTCCGATACTGGCAGCCTCTGTGTGCCAAGATGCGAGACACAGCCGTTCAGCAGCAACCTCGCAGGCAGCATCCGCAGGGATGGCCACGCCAAGAGTAATGGCATCAAGAGAGCTTCAGGACCCTCGCCATCCTTGTCCATTTTTATTCATCCCGGGTGCATTGGGGTCTGCTAGCACTACCTCCAGTCTACGAACGGATGGGCAATGAGGCTGCTGTGCGAGTGCCAGCATTGAGCGCCTCGCTCCCCTGTTGCCGCACGGTTTTGCGGGTGGAGTTCGCTCACGCCGATAGACGCATCCAACCCTAGCTCAGTGCTCAACGCAACGCGTGCGTGAGGGCGAGATGAAACCTTTCGAGATCACGTCTCTCGCGCCTTCTCCTGCATACTTGGGGCCGCATAGCCTGCAGGGTTGGAGGACTAGCTGACAAGAAGGGAGGGCGAGAGCAGCGCCTGAACTGATATTTGTCCTTTCGCCTTTCTGTACCTCGGTAACTACCCCGGATTCTACCGTGATTCTGGTGGTATAGTCGGGTTCTTTCTTCACCCTTCTAGGAACCCTGCTTCTTAGCATCAACTCTTAGCATTGAGGCATTCATAGCCCGAACGTTTCCCATACTCTGGACGTTTCCCGTCGCGGAGTCGGCCCTACTTGCATGACCTCCCTCTACATGTGAGCCAACGATGGGCGAGATTGCACCCTCGAGGGGCGTTTGGCCATCTTCAAGTTCCCTTTGGCTTGCATTGGCAAGTGCTCTCGTAAATGTACCTTCTCGAGCCAAGGGCCAGCGCCCGCAGGCCGTCCTTTCGACGTCAATGCTATGATAAGACCAAGACCGCTTTGCCTGCAGACGGTCCTTCTTCCTTTTTGCTACGACTAGGTTGGCCCTTGCGCGATACCTATTTCGTGGAACGGGTAACACCTGTCCTCTTCATTGTGGTGGAAAGGGGCGAGATGGAGGACAGAAACACGAAGAAGAGAGATGGCTCTCCTACTTGAATTATTGGTGGTACATATGTTGCTCTTGAAACATAAACACCCAGAATCTGCTCGTGGAGCACCCGACCCGTCTAGCTTCCTGGGGAATCTTTCACAGGCTGCACTACGTTATGGCCCGGCCACTCCCAATCTCTCCTAACACACCTTGGATTCGCCCGTTTTCAAGGGACCAGCCTTCAGATCAACCACGGGCCTATCATATCTACCATATGGGTCGGCTGCTTGTTGGAGGCGAGAGATGATTGAAGCTGCGGAGGTTGCCAAGCCAGCTTCAACTATCTCCATGCAGAGCATCATCGGGAGATGGCGCCTCTCATGATCACCATCACATTGGAAAACGTGGGGCAGAAAAGGTACAGATGACCCAATAAGTTCAATATTTCTCAAAGAGATATCAAGTCCACGGAACACTTGTCAGGTAAGCAGAAAGCTTCAAGAGAAGTACACAGAGAGAGAAAGAAAGTGAGAGGGATAATGAGAGAATGAATACTCCTAAACCGAACCTAAACTCCCCGTTGATATGCATCCGAACTCGATTTGTTGCCTCGCTTGTTGCTGGCAGCCTAGGTATACCAATACGCCGCTGCCCATATTCCCACATTAAAGCAAACTATCACGCACTTTCTCCGTGAACCACGTGTCCGACTTACGGAGCCACCTTTTCACTAAAGACCAAGGTAGAAGAGCCCCTTCGCTTACTATCATGGCTGTCCTGGCTTGGGGAGGTCGGTGCACCTCTACCCTCTTTCGTTCGCGGGGTGCGCCTCCCGTGGTGCTGCCAGGGTTTCTGTTGGCCTCTAACTCCATCTTGACCGTCTGGTACATGTCCTCGACGATGCTGGCCTCGTCATGAACATCGAGGTGGCAGTCCGCAAGGCAGAACTCGCGCTCGCGCTGCTCAATATACTCCTCACTGCCTTCCACTCGTTCTCGTGGTATTTGAGGCGGTTGGGCAGGCCGGATCCCTTGAGATAGGTGAGCACGCCGGCAATGATTGTGTTGATGGCGCCGAAGCCGGTGATGGCAGCGCGGGGACCGTCGGCGGCGCCGAGCGAGGTGAGGATGGCGGCGACGACGACCTGGATGCCCAGACACGTGTTGATGAGGAAGTTGAAGATGCGGTAATTGCGCGCGGCGGACCGCTCCGAGCGGACGACGCGGGTGTAGAGGCCAATGTTGGGGGCGGTGCGCGCCGAGTGCCCGGACCGAAGGGCTGGAACCGTGTCAATGCCGGTGAGGGAGCGGAAGACGAGGAGCTTGTCGGTGAGGGGATCAGTGCCGTAGGCTCGGTGATGGATACGGTAAGGGGTCGGCCGTCGACGGAAGGAGGAAAGGGCTCCCGCCGGGAGGGCCGCCTCCGTTGTTGGCGGGGGCCACGGGGGTAGCCTTGCTCTTCGCGGTCTTGTGGCGAGACGAGGCGGCGGACGAGCCACGTGAGGATGCGCTCCTTGCCCATGCTGAATCCTCGGAGGGGGTGGGCGGTGCAAGTCGGGACGCGTGAGCGTCTTGAAGGGTAGCTACCGAGCGGGTGGTGGTGTCGTCAGGGGCTCGAGGGAGCTGGGAGGGCGATGGAGAAGAAGAACTGGAAGGCGAAGAGGGAGAAGGATGAGGGTTGAAAGACGACTTGAGGGGGTGTTGGTGTGGACAGGGAATCTTTTTCAGTCACAGCGTACGAGTCGAATGGGCGCGTGGGAGGGGAACCGGGAACGAATATATCTTCATACTGACATGCGTGAGGAAACGACTCAGTGGCCAATCTTTTGTGTGCGCGGATAGCGAGTATTCATACCTCGGCGCTCTCGTGCACATCATTTCACATATGCCCATGCCCATGCCCGGTCCCATCTGTCATTTCCTGGTGAGGTCCTCTTCTTTTTCTTTTCTTTTTCTTTTTCTTCTCCTTCTTCTTTTCGCCCAATACAGAAGCGCGTCGTGCGTGAATCCCTTCCTCCCCGGACATTTTAGGGCGTTTTTCTTTTCAAACGATAATACGACCTGGGGAGGTGAGGCAAGGGTTCCGCAGCGGTCCAGGCCGGGGCAAACGGGCTTGCATATCAGCCCCATGGCCCCTCCTTCCTTTCTTCATTCTACTTGTATCCAGTGCTTTGGCGGACACTAAATACCATACAAGGTTCGTTGTCATTGAACTCATCTTGCCCTGGTCATACCTCTTTTCAGAGCACCGTCTAGTCTAGATCTCGCGCTAAACTTTGGCGCAAAGCCGTACCACTGCACCTGTTTGAAGGTTGAACCGGGCTGGCCATGATATTGACATCTCATAACGCTACCGCGATCGAGGACGCTGTGATGATGATCTCCTTTTGATGAATCGAGCCCCCTCGCCCCTCGTCGTAGTAGAAGTTGGTATAAAATGTTCAACGGGATCCACTCCAAGGTCACCCGGCTGGCATGCAGCATGTTTTGAGCAAGCCACTCTGGGATGATCTAACCATGTTGGGAACTGTCACTTTCATAAAATTTGCTTCTCGGCATGGGAGATGGGAACACAGTGGTTCGGGAGCTGAATGGCCTAATATGATTGGGGAACTCATCGTTTTCTTTTTTCTTTCCTTCTCCATGTTTCAATCCCGGGCTGGCTAGAATCCAACCCGTGTATTCCCTAGGGGTAGGTGCCGGAAGTTGACCAGACACGCCGTCGAGGTGGCCTTGTTTGAAGTAAGTGTATGCTGCAAGTAGGAAACGTATGCAATCGTATGAAAAACCGATGGCTGTTAGCCGTTAGCAGTGGGGCACGGTAAGCAAAGAATCTGGATGGTGGGTAGTATTATGAACCCCAATATTCCACAACGGGAACCAATAGCCCACGACAGACCCAAACGTACATATCAATTCCATTCTTATCCAAATATGCGCATGGGTTTGCATGCCCCAAAGCTGCACGTAGTCTCGAGTCGAACTCCACCATCGATTGGCTCGATCTTTGATGCTGAAAAGGCATTCGTCCATTCATCCATTCATCCATTGTATCTCTTGCATCGTGATGTTGTGGGAGGGAGGGAGCGATACGAAGAACTGGTAAAGGCAGTTTTCTCCCACTCGCATTCAATAGCATCATTTTGATCCATGCCGGTAGCTTCAGCCAGCCCTATTTGGCAACTACCAAGTAATTTTCTACAATGAGGGATGGATCGGCCAAAATCCACTGGATGGCCTCGATTTTCATTCCGATCAAATTGCCACTCTCCAAGGCGCGGGCCAATAGATCAAGGGGGATTGGAGAGAGGCTGACGGCATAAGCCGCAGGCGTGATACCTGCTTGATCTCTTACCTTTGTTGTTGTTGGTCTTGCATCACTCGTAGAAATGTGGAAATAATCCCTTGGCGTGACGTCTCGAGCTCAAAAGCAAGAACTGCGACCTGAGACAGGAGGTGATATACTTATCTCTTGCCTATACATATTCAACGTACTTGCACACCTCGGTGCAAGTGGCAAGCAAGATTTTGTGACGGCTTGGTGATCAACCGTGGAGGAGGCCGCAGTGACTGTAGGAAAGCTGCCTTGGGTTATAGAAAGTAGCTGAGAATCACTTGTAGGGCTGAGACATCAGCAGCTTCAAAGTGAGGGAATCGAAAGTGTAGAACGAGTAATGGAGCGAGAGGTGGTGTTTGGTTAAAAGGGCCAAGCCCACATCATCGCTCTCTATTAATTAGCTGTTCCTCACCATCGTCGTATATATAGATCTCAACGTCTCGATTCACCGGTCTCGGGCCGGTATCTATCCCATCTGAGGGTGCGCACTCTAAGGCCCAGGACCAGGTTCGGCATCCATGGATGGCATGAAATACACGCAATAGACCTCGGCCGGGAAGGCGCGTTCCGCAGCTACATCCACAAATATGATGTGGCCCTGGGGCTGTGAGAAAAAGGTTATCTCGGTCTTCAATGTCCTGAACCAACCCTCCTTCACTCCATTGCTTGTTCCTCCCGCATCCCTTTGATTTCCCTACATTTTATTTGCTTTTTGTGATAATGCCTTGAAGATTTATTCCCTTTTCTTCACCTTTGGTAACTCGCTGAGCCCGGCGACGGGACCGGGCACCTCCCCTGACTAGAAATTGAGGAGAAGAAAGGGACTGGAAAGAACATTTGAAGGGAAAGAGGGCTTTCGAGCCTTCCGCATACCCTTTCACTTGGTTCGGAAAATGGCCTGCTATCACAGGATTCCTCGGTATGACAGGAAACTTGATTTTCAGCCAGATTCGGTCCTCAAATGGGAGATGGGTCGGCCTGGGCCAGACGATGAGGATAATTTAACCGTGGCTTTGCTCCCGAGATAAAGAGCACCCCAGCTGCACTCGACGACAATTCTCTATCGGAGCGTGGACTTTGATATGTGATTTTCTTACCAGTTCAGATATTGCAGCTCACTGCAGTCAGCTTCATTTCGCCTGTTGCCTCACCCGAGACGAGTTCTGACGAGCGAAAGTGCCTTGGTCAGCCGGCTTCTCCGGCGACTGCGCACCAATTCTGGGGCCCGGGATGCCACAGCACCTGCAATACTCACAATACCCGCAATGCCGCTGAGCGTGGAAAGGGGACCAACGACAGCGCCGCAGATGAGAATTCGCTGTGGCAAGAGAGAGCATTGGGAGGTTCTCGGGGTCGAAAAAGGGTCCCAAAAGGGTCTCCAGTGGCCAATCAGCGACGTTGGCGCCCTCGAATTTCGCCAAGATCGCTTGAGATGGAGGCTGGCGCCAATTGATTGGACGACAGATGTCGCCTGCCAATGCCAGTCTCAAATTAGAAGCTCTAGGTTGGGGGAAGCAAGGGGAGCAAAGGGAACAAAGGGAGCTAGGCCTATTAGTGGAAACCCGAAGGTGGGGAGGGGATGATGGCGGGGCCTCTCTAGAATGCAGAGTGCAGAATGTTGGTAAGTGGTGCTCAAGTCCGTGGATTGTTCGGCGAGCTCCAGCAGAAGCGAGGCTCGCGAGAGGCCCAACAACGAACGATGATGAAGGCTGGTGATCCCGATATACATTGCTTCGCCCTTTTCAATTGGAAATCTTCGTCTGTGGCCATCAGCCCCCTTTTGTCAACCGGTTTAACCAGCTTCGGACAACTGGAATCCGTCCTGTCGAGTTGGCTGTGAAGACCGGGGAATGCGGGTGTATCGGTCCATCTGCGCATCTGGCCACCTTTGCTCGGTCCCTGAGGAGACAGTGAGCCAAGAAACGCCATTGGGAGCTTGTTAGTGGTGTATTGGTTCGCTCTTCTGCCGGAAAGCTTTGGGAGGCTGTGTCCACCCTTGGCTGCGGGGTCTGCAATTCCTATCTATCTATGCTTCGTTTTCCAATCCTCATCTTCTTATTTCTTCCCTCCTCTTTCGTCTCCCATTGTCCTTTTCGTTGCTCGAGCTAGCCATCTTCGTTTCCCGATCGCGACCATTGACTACTTGACAACTTTGACACCTGCACTCTATCCTTCGTTTGTCCCAACGGCCCCTCCCTTTGGCGAAGCTCTTCGCAACTTTTCCTTACTTCCTAGCTTGCACTTCTTTCGCAAAAGCTTCAACCCACACCCCTACGTCCACTTTTTGCACATCCGGCCTTTGATTTGGCCCGCCGACTCCAAGTGTTGATTTTGAGCGGAAACCGTTGCCACCATGTCGGCGCAATACTATCCTCGTGAGTCCGGCGACCCTCTCTTCTCCTTGGATGCGCTGCCTTCGTACTAACGAGCTCTTTCTCTCTCGCCAGCTCCGCCAGGTGCGGCCCCCTCAGGTCCGTTCCTTTACTAGCTAGAATCTCTTGTTCAATTGGCGCTCACACTGGCGTGAATTTGAGAGCGCGCCCCAACGCGCACAATGAATACTCACAGTTTTGCAGGTGCAGGCCAGCAAAAGAACTACCCGCCCCCGCCAATGTCGGCCCCGGCCCACAAAACCCAGTTCTTCGCCCCGCCGCCCGCCGCGTCAACGACGATTCAATACCAGTATCCCCTCCCCCAGGCCAGTCCCCGTCCCCGAGCCAGACGCACACCCAAGCGAATCGGTACCCGGCGCCGCCTTCCTCGAGCTCTTCCTCTACCGTCCCCATCCGAGAGCAGCCACAACAAGAGCAGCAGCATAGCGGCAGCACGCGCCATTTTGCGCCGCCGCCTTCCTCGACCCTCCTGCCTTTGCGCCGCCGCAAGAGCACCCCCATGAGAATGGATCCGTCAACCGTCCCGCCCCTGTGACGGGGAGCAACCTTCAATTTGCGCCGCCCCCACCGCGCCCGCAGCCTCGCCCCCGCGCGAGCACCGTCACGACAGGTTTGCCCCTTCGAAAACGGGGTCTATCCCCGAATCCTCCCCGTCTCCGAATCTGCTGCAGTTCGCAGCGCCGCCGACCGAGGAGAAGGCCCTGCCTCAAGTTGAGGAGCTTGAAAAGGAGCAAGAGTCCCTTCCCGCTCACTTTGTCGGTGCCGTCAGCGTTGTTGACGACGTCGGAACTTTCAATGGGGGTAGTTACAGGCTCAGCCACAGGGATTCAAACACCATCTTGACCGTCCAGTTGGCAATGCAATGCCCTTTTAACGCGAAACCAGGTATGTCCTTCCCGTGGAGTCTCCCACGCCTCTTTCCAAGCCCTTCTAACGTTGCTTTCTCGCCCTTTTCTCTAGGAACCATGATTGCCATGACCCCCACAGTCACCCTCCGCGGCAACCTCAAATTTAGCATGAAGAAGCTCATGGCGGGCGGTGACTTTGGCCACTCTACCTTCACCGGCCCCGGCGAAGTGATTTTCGCGCCCCCATGCTCGGCGACATCACCACCATCCCCCTCTCTGGCAACGAGACCTGGTCCGTCGGTATGGACGCGTATCTTGCCTCCACCCAGGCCGTCATCCGCGACCACAAGCGCCAGGGCCTCACCAAGGCCATGTTCTCTGGAGAGGGCCTCTGGGTCTATAAGATTAGCGGTACCGGTCTGCTATGGATTACTAGCTTTGGTGCAATCATTCAAAAAACGGTAAGTTTCCCATGCCCTCTTCCCATTCCCCACCCATCCATCGACCCCTATGATCAATTGTCCTCTCGTTGTGGCTCATCGCTGACGCTTCGTCTCTCTTATTTTCTTCCCTCCAGCTCGTCGAAGGAGAAAAGTACATTGTAGATAACGGCCATCTCGTCGCGTGGAACACCAAATACATCCTTGAACGCGTCGCTTCCGGCGGCATCATGTCCGGTTACGCTTCCGCCGAAGGCCTCGTCTGCAAGTTTACCGGTCCCGGAACCGTCTATATACAGACCCGCAATGCCGTGAGTTCTTCCCCCTTTTCCCCCACACCTTGATCTGAGTCGCGCTTCCATTCCAGTCCATGACCATCCCCTTTTCCCTGATATTTGGCGCCCTTTACTAACCACTTTTTCTGCCGCCTTTGTAGCGAGCTTTCGGCGCCTGGATGACGGGCCAAAACTACAAGGAGGCGTAATTTCCCCATCCCCCTTTCCTAGCTAGTGCACCCAACCGTGCCCGGGGTTTTTAGCGCGCGGAGGACTCGCTAGGAGTAGCACCGCTTTGGGTAGAGATTGTTTCTGTTCCCCTCGAAGCTAGGGGAAAGAGTGCGGCAAGGGTTCCGGCCGGGCGAGGCGCGGTCACTGTTTGGAATACCCGCTGGCGTGGATATGATGATGAATGAGCACTCTTGGTTATTGGGCCTTTTCTAGCGACTTATATCTATCTCTCTTGCTATATTTGTACATATGTACCCATATATTTTATCCATATCGCCTCCCCTCCCTTCTCCGTGGTATACGCGCTCGTCTCTCTTTTCTATATGGACAATGTCTGCCTGCATCGTTTTTGTTCATCGTACCGAGGTAAATGTATGATGCTACGTCCGGCAGCCTTCTCCATTGAGGGTGGCCGGGGCACCGAGGTTAGTTGGGAGCAGGTTCATAACATCTTCATCTCTCCACATCGGTTCACTGGCTCACTGACATTAGGATAGACAGAAGAGTAAAACATATCATTACTAATCTATGGATCTCTCTTCCATAGCAGCTGCGGCCGTGGAGGTTTCCAACCCCTGTGACAGGCCCAAGAGTAAACAAGATACGAAGGTGATCATAAATATATATATATAGATAGATGGTGGTAATCTGGAGAAAAATGAAGACAAAGAAAAGTAAGGAGAGGAAATGATAATAATAATGAACGCCGTTAATCCTTTTGACGCCGTCGTCATGCACCGTTTGTTGCCGTGAAGGGGTAGATAAACAGGGGCAGAGTATACCAAGCGTACGCGAGCGAGAAGCAGAGTGTACGGCGGGACTCTGGACTTTCCAAGTATTCCTTGGACGTCTAAGAATGCTCCCCTTTCCCCCTTCTCGGACATACAACCCGGATCTGCAAGAAGAGCAAATCACTTATATATGCAGACATCAGTGTGACCAACACAACAAAGCTCTTCTAGTCCCGAGCCATTTCATGCGGCCGGCAGGTAGATAAATAGAAGAGGATGCCAACCCAACAAAGATCCAAAATCAACACAGGATGTGATAAAGAGCTAGAGATATGGCAAAGAGTACGCAGGCTTTATTTAGTCGTAGCCAGCACCACGTTGCCAGGGGCTAAATGAACAAGAGCATTTGTTAGTATGCAATGCGCTTGGGCCTGGAAAATGATGTCATGATTCAGATAAAAACATACCTCGCGTTGTTCTGTCTCCTGAATCCGCCAGGGCTGGCATTGTTGCTGTTCCGGAAGTTGTCTGTAAAGGGGCTCTGCGTCCTATTAATGGGTCCGGGGCTGTTCTGCTGGCCACCAGGGAAGAGTGGCAGAGAGGGGTTGACGGGCGACTGCGGGGGTACCCAGACTTCTCGTTGTGGAGGGAGAACTGAGAACCGGCAGGGTGCATGCCGAGGTTGGCGCGGCGCTGGACCGAGACGGACGAGAGGGAGGCGTTGTCGTCGTCGAGGTCGAGCTTCGAGTTGAAGCCGAGCTTGTCGCCACGGGCAGTCGCGGCGAGGGCGTCGAGCTCGGTGGTGGTGTTCAACTGTGTCTGCGACTTCATGAACGAGGCGCGGTCATCCGCCATGAACTGATACCTGGCATCGGGGTTCTTGCGGAAGAAGACGAGCGTGGTGGAGATGATCAACATGAGCAAAAGGATGAGCGAGAAGGCAGCGTTCAGGACGAAGAGGACGACACCAACGACACCAACGACGAGAGGAGGAGCACCAAAGACGTTGGTGAAGATGAGGAGGAAGATGGCATTGACAAAGTTGACGGCGCAGATGGCGATGTTGAAAGAGTTGGTGCGCTTATCCATCCAGGGTCGGAGAACACTGGCGGCAATCAAAGCGGCGGCCTCAATGATGATGAAGGCGATGGCCTGAGCAACATTGGCCTTTTGGGCAAAGGCGACAAACATGCCCTTGACCAGCAAGTAGACAAGAAGGGGAACGATGAAGTAGTAGGCCGAGGCGCGGTACTGGATGTAGAGGAAGCCCCACTTGTTGAGAACCTCGAGGTTGGAGAACAAGATATAGGCAGGGTTCCGGTGGGTGATGACGGACTGGCGGGCGATGAGAACGACCTTGCTCGCGGCCCAGCCAAGAGTAATAAGGACGCCAAAGAAGAAGAAGACGGCGAGGACAATCTCGGCGGGCGAATCGTTTTGAGTGAACTCCCAAAGGCAGAGAATGGTGAGCTGGGGCCAGCCGATGAGAGCCGTGCGGAAGAGGATGCCCTTGAGCACGGTCTTCCAGCCGTTGCGGAACTCGAGGAACTTGTCGTTGGCGACCCACTGCTTCTTGGCAGCGAGCTCACAGGCGCCCTTGAAGGCGAGAACACCGAGGACGGTCAAGATGACGAAGATGATGAAGAAGGTGAGGCCGGTCATGAACAAGTTGGTGGTCTCGATCTTGGCCCTAAAGGCAACGCGCTGGATGCCGTAGACGACGTAGCGGCCGTCGCTCGTCTGGATGTTGCTTCGGGCTTGGATGGCGCGGGGCAACATGGCGTGGGCGCGCTTGAACAAGCTGGTGGCAATCTCGGTCGACTGGAGAGAACGCTTCTGCACTTGAACGGAGATGGTCTTGAGGGTATCGAAAATGGTGGAAGGAGTACCGCCGGTGGCGCGCTGGTACCAGGTAAAGATATCCTGCATGAAGCCGACGCGGATGATGCCCATGGACCACATGAAGTTCTGGACCCAAGCGGTCACGATGGGGGCAGGTGCACGCTGGTGAGGCCAATGATAGCCTGGGCCTGGAAGTAGCTGAAGAGGAGAGCGCGTTGGCGGCAATGTGGGCGGCGGTGTTGGAATGGCCGAGACCCGAAACAACGGCGGAAGCACTGAGGGCGAGGCCGGCGATGATGGCGGTGGCCCACTTGACGCCAATCAAGTCGACCGTCTTTCCGTTGGAAATGTCGGCCTGGACGCAAGCGACGCTCTCGCCGGTTTCGGTGTAGTTGACAAAGACCTTGACGCTAGCATCGAGATCGGGAATGGTGTAAGCGATGCCGGGAACCTGGCTCAGGGACGCCGGGTCGAGCTGCAGGTTGAAGGGGGATGGCGAGCTTTCCACGCTTCATGGGGCACAAGCCAACGAGATCGGTCTCGCAAGGGTTGATGGTCCTTCGCATAAACTCGTAACCGTACGCCGAGATGGAGATATCGAAGACGACCATACCCTCGACGGTGATGGTGGCGACCATGTCGATACTGGCAGAAGCATTGTTGGGAGTGAAGACGACCTGGAACAAACTAGCACTAAAACCGGATCCTTCGGAACAGGGATTCAGCGAGTTCGACACGAGCATAGGCTCTGCCGTGATCATCGGGGCGAAGAGGGAGACGAAGAAGAGGAGCGGTGTTAGCAACCTCATCTTGGCGGCTGGTGGCTCTGCAGGCCACTTGGATTAAATCGAAAGAGGGCGGAGATGACGCCTTAGCGATTAGATCTTGTCGACACGTCGAAGAAACAAAACGTCTTCGAGATGGGATATCCAGAAATCTAGTTCGGAGCGGACAACTCGTAGTCGTTCGCCTCACAGATGTTTTGAGGCCGGACAAGCGGTGCGTCGAATCATTCGATGATGGGCGAGGATGAGAGGGGAGATACAAATTAATGTCGCACGTCGAAGGTCGAGAGAGACGAGGGCTATCTTTCGATCGGTATCCTCGCTTCGCCTGGTATTAGGTTAATGGAGTCCGGTCAGAGGACTTTTGCTGTGGTCTGTATCTCAGCCTCTTTGTTTTCTGTTCGTCAAGGTTGGTGCAAACGAGTGACGGCGGCTGGGTGTCTGATTATAGGGGTGGGAGTCGAAAGGTGAAAAAGAAGGTCGAGAATAGAAAGATGGAGAAAAGATAAAGAAACAAAAAAGAGTTATGAGAAAAGGGACCCTCCTATCGACCGGTTGACGACGATATGCTCTTATTCCAACGGGAGTCGGAATGTCGCTAAGAGAAGGGACAGTTTCAAGAACAAGGAAACAGGAACGAGTGTGGTGATGGAATGTGGATGAATTGAATTTAGTAGGAATGATGGTTCGGGGGAAAGAGTAGTGTAGGTGGTGAATATCAGGGAACTGGAAAATCAATACGTACCCCGTAATCCAATGGGGAGACGAACAGGGTCAGGAGAAGTGGCCCAGAGGAACCGGGCCCCGTAAGGTACGAGCGAACAAGGAGGGAAGGGTATACTTGCGCACAGGTATCCAAGTATCTCTGCACCAGCGACGTAGTACTTTGTCATGCACAGTGTGTACCGTGCGGCGATGGCGATGGTTGGGAAGGGGAGAGGCAGAGAGAGAGAGAGACAGCGCCAAAGGGAACATTGAAAGGGAAGGGGGAAAAGGGAAAAGGCAGCCAGAGCCAGCCCCCCTTTCACAAAGGGCCAAAAAGGCCAGCCAAGATTCGAGGCGCTAGGCCAAACAGTGGGTCACGACGGACGGTGTAGTGTACTGTGCGAGCGCCAGAGTCAGCGTCCACACGCCCACGTCCACGCCCACGCCGAGCGCTCGGCAGGCCCTCACGAAAGAAAGTTGATTGTTATGCGACAATATAGGGGGAGGGGAGGGGAGGGGTTTGCTTGGCTCCTTGTCCTCTCCGTTGATGCAGGGACAATCTGGGTGGAATTGCCACGGGCGGTACCCAAATGGCAACTTGGGAGGGAATGCGGGTCAACAGGCCAAGAACCGAGTTGGGAAGGAAAATCAAATGCTGAAATTGGAATGAGGCGCAGGCAAAACGCGTACATTTGGCTAACGGGGTACATGATTGTCACACGAGCGCGGGAAGAGGGAGACCTTGTAGATACTTTTTCTCATAGCCAACACTTGGATGAAGATAGGGTACCCCTCCAAGTCCTCATGATTCACTCTGACCAGGCGTTGAAAGTACCCATTTAACCTAGGGACTGCGACCAGGTGTCGTACTTGGAGTAAGTCAAACTCCACCCTCCATCTTTGGACGGAGACTTTTGGAGCAATATTCCCAAGGAAGGAAAATGGGCGACGATGTCCGTATCCACCATACGAAGTCGTCTCGTAGTGGAATGCTTGGAATGTCGCCCATCCGGTCAATTATGGGGTTAGAATGATCCTGGCCAAAACTAGACCAAGACCTGGGCGCATGTTCAACCGTCAAATCATTCATCCCCCACCACCTGAGTCCTCGGGATGGTTGGGTCACCAACTCTCCTGACCACACACGCCAACCGCCACATGCCTCCTCTCCTACCCGCCCACTGTACGGAGGTAGCGCACAAGTACGTTCTTTTCCACCATCTGGTCTTTTGTTCTCGTGTCGCGCAGGTGCGGCTGTCGACAACCCCCTAGTCATCTCTGCTTATTATTCCTCCGTCTTGCTATTTTCTTTTTCCCACCCTGGCTGGCGAATATTAATAGGTCGGCAGCGGCATGATTGATTCGAACAAAGAACTGGGAAAATAATAAGGAAACAATGGATTGAAGAAGTTGGCAAATCGAAACGTCCTTTCTCGCGTGCCAGTGGCTCATGTACACTCCAGTCAGTGATCTTTCGATCCAGACTTGCCAGATCCAAAATTAATACCTTCCATTCACGCATCCATTCCTCCGTTCAACAAGTCTTTCAACATGGATGTGCAAAGTATGGAGAGTACTCGTTGCTGGTTGGGTCCGACGGGCAGTTCGGCAACGGAGGTTTTGCGGGGGTCTCCAGACAATTGGCGTCGCAGCATGAGCCCTTGAAAGGCTCGGCGCTTGGTTAGAAATGGGCCCGACCGCGTCAGTGTCTCCAGCGGGACTTGAAAAGAGACGGGAGAGGAGCACCCTAGGCTAACCTGTTCTGAATCAAACGATGGCAGATTGAGATCAATTGATTGTGATGGACCGGGCAGCCATTCCTGCAAGGCGTTTTTCCCCTTGTTTTCTTTTCGATGCCAGGGCACCATCATCCATAGATGGCTCTACGGCATATTCAGTAGATATGTAGCACTTGAGGAATACAATGGATCAATTTGGTCAATCATCAATTTGGTCAATTGGGGCCTGCCATCAAGGGATCAATGATCCATTAAATCTATGGATGGATCCATTGTATATACACTATGGTCCGAAGAAAGGATCAATAACGCGACAGCTCCGCTCCCGCCCAACCCAACTCATACTGAGTACATGTAGAGTAAATAGCCGAAAAGTTAATTGATAAGATTTTGTCTGATGTCTGATGTCGTACCCACCCGTCCCTGGCATACACGACACTAGCAAAGGAATAGAGGGGAGGGCCGGAAAGCAGAAAGGTTCGAACCTCTTAAAAGGAACATTGCACGAAGAGCGAAGGAAGTTTTTCTTTGTGTTGCAGAGCACTGCCACCTTTTCAGGTGAGTCCCGCGTACTTGGAAGGATTTCTTGGTGTGCGGGGGAAGATTTGGGTTGGCGGGAGTGAGTGGAAACCGTCAAGAGTGTAATCTAACATTTTGAACACACTTGCGGATCACCACACCAGAGAATACGAAGAGGAAGACGAAGAGGCAGACGAAGAGGCAGACGTGGAAGGGGAGGGGTTTCTGAGGTGTCGCTGGCTCGGATTCTCGCCTCTTCTCTTTTCGTTTAATTACATCCATGGATCCATTGTATTTATTATACGAATTTGAGATACGAGGATCTTGTCTTCCTCCCGAATCCGGGAACTCACGTCGACCGCTTTCGGCCTGGGGGAGTTATTTTGGCTCATCAAAGAATGCCTAACAAAAGGGGACTAAGCCTATCAAGCCTATATGTATGGCATACATGTCGATATGAAAACGACCAAAAAGGCTTCCCCTCCCCGGACTGTCCGAGAAAGCCGGCCGACGGACGTTCGCGTCATCATGTATCACAGCAGATACACGAGGTGTGCAAGAATTAGTCGTTCAATTCTTCGGGTTTATTTCCCCCAGAGACCACATGGATTAAAAGAACAGAGTGTTGAAGGTAATAATAATCGCGCGAGAGGAGACAGAGACAGAGCATGAAGAAGACTTGAAGCTGGCGAAATGAGCAAGGGGTCAAACAGAAGCCCGAGAGCCTCCATCCAGACACATCCAGACCGGTGGAAAATGGAACCGTCCAACGACTCCCGCTCATCGACGCCCTGTCAAGAGATGCCAGAGCTGCAACCAGAACTTGTGACATGTTTGAGAGCCGGGATTCGCCGCGGACTCTTGTGAGAGAAAAGCTGAAAGAAAAGAGAAGAACGAGCGTGGCAGTGTTGGCTCTTTCTCACGCCAGCAACAGCAGTCTCAAACACGATGCGACATGCGACGCTGGAGTTTGATTTGGGGATTCCCCTCCCCTCCATGTCCCTCCCAGAAGCATTGAAAAGGGTGGTGACATTTGACCCATCGATCATTGCAATCCACACCCACGGATCCATTACTTTGTAGATCCTTCAGATCGGCCTTTCACTTCACTTTTCATGCCCAGGTTCTCTCTCACACTCGATCTTTGTCTCTTTCTCCCTTCTCACATGTAATATTGTGGCAGTCGAATAATATTGTGGCAGTCGAAGTTGACCACGTCCAGACAACCACAGCAGACAGCAGTGCAGAGGTCAACTCGCATGTGTCTGGCAACGTCAAGCATCTCGGCTCAAAAGCCTAATGATCGAATGTGCCTATAAAAATAAAGGGAAAGAAAAGAAAGAAAAGGGGCAGACAAGATTGACAGGCACCGTTCACCACCCCCGTCGCTCCATCACGGCTGATACCAACATCCATAAACTTCAGGAGGACTGGATGAGCCTATTTCGAACATGAAGGCTTTGTAGAGGTGATTTCGAAACAGATCAATCAACCAAATTCGTGTCCAAGGCTCTAGTGTCAAACCTTGTCTCAGTAACAACGTCCCATTTTTGATTCTCGCTCGAGACTTTCAACGAGAAAGGGTAAGGCGCAGCTTTAGACTTTATGGTTTCTTTTTCCTCTTTTCCACTTCTTGCGGGCCCAGGGCGGAAGTAGAGGCGAGCGAGGGGGTGAAAGAAACAAGAAGGAAAGGCAAGGTTCAATATGTTCAACAGGCTGGTGAGATCTAGCGGGATTGAAGTATCGAGGGGCCGACCGCGAGCCGGAAAGTCTAGTCTCAAACCGGACTTCAACGGGGAGACATACGTCAACCTGTCCCATATCCCCATCAGACATCAATAGATCAACCCATCACATCAGGTTGCGGAGCTCACTTTTCCCGCGTCCCGAACCAGACTCGGAACGGATGAAGCCTGACTATTTTTTTCTTTTCGTCTCTCTACGATCTCCATTTTCTTCCCCTTTCTTTTTCCAACCCGGACCTCGAGAGCGCAGAGACGAGACGTGATGAGGTAATTAGCTCGCTCGAGACACCGAATCTAATACCCAGGGCGCACTGCCTGTTGCGAGGAACAAGACATATGTCCATAGATGCAGCGATTGCCTGGCGTGGTGGAGGGGCGGGTATTGCTGTCTGATGTGCTTTGCTTCCAAGTCCCGTTTTCTGTGAGGATCTGCCTCAACCCATGTAGATCACATCCACAAATCGTTTCCCTGGCCCCTCGCCAGCCGTTTCTTTTTATTTTCGTTTTTCCCTTTGTTCCTGTTGATTTTGAGGCAGGGCAGGGCCCTGCTCCTTTCTTTTTCTTTCTTTTTTTCCCAAGGGATCGTCGGGCAGAGAGCGGGAAAACGCACCTCGACACGCTCATGTCGGAATGATAGCCGTTCGTCCGCCAGCTCCCGCCATACCACACATTCTCACTACATCAAGTACATCAATTTGTAGCGTGCAGTGTTCCTCCTCGGCAGGCGTTCCTTCACCCGCAAGGTGACGCAACACACGGCCGGCTGCAGCGCTTCTCACCCCCAAGGCCAGCAACAGCCGTGGCGCTGTTTGCTCTCGGAGCAGGATCCATACTAGATCCAGTATTGTTCGAGGCTTCATACTTGATAAGGATATATGCAGCCTGGCGGTAAGGTTGGCCACCCTTCGCCCTCTCATTTATCTTTTTCTCGTGCACTTCTTGTCTATTCTTGTGATCGACACAAAAAGGGGGTTCTAGACATCACATAGCTTTTACACTACATGAACCATGAATGATCTGCTTCCCTCGAGCGCATAGCTAACACGGCTGTTGACTCGTGTATGTCAGTACGTCTGGTTAGATTCGATGCACGCGAGACCGTAACTCAAGGCACCACCACTTTGCCACCACGATATACGAAGTCGGTTCTTTCACCCGTCCCTCACTTTACCTCCTCGTTTAAAATAGAGGTAAAAGAAAAAAATACCATGGCCTTCACAAGTTAGGAGCCCAGCTAGCCAGCATTACGCCTGCCCAGCCCAGCTGATAATGCATCGTGCCCCTCCTCCTCCTCCGGCCTTCCAAGGATGTCGCGCCCTCTTTCCAGACTAGTCTTGACGTGATGTTGATGCCTGTGGCCCTTGCCGTGATACATTTACTTGGGCTGCGTACATGGAGAGAGAAAGAAGAAAGAAAGTACTATGAATCCTTCCATAACCCCCGTGCGACAGTTGGGTCCTCAGAATCGGGGATCGTGTTGCCCAGTGCCCCCCAATCTTGACATCTTACGTCACCGCCCAGCCAACGCGCGCGCTTCCCGGATTCACTGTTGACTGGACGGACATGCACCGGATCCATTTGATCTCCCATCTCGCTGATCCTGTGAACAAGGACTGGGCAACATGCACGAATAGATCCGTCAAGTGCGTCGGTTCAATCGCATCCGTCCCTTCCTGCACGTCAAACACCTAAAGAATCGGGGTTGAACCGAGCCATTCTTCGTGAAGTAGCAAAAGAAACCCCGCCTGCCTTTGAATATGTCAATACATGGATACATACAATTCTTTGTCTTCCGGAGACATCTATAGATCTCTCGCATCGCTCATCGCTCACTAGACCCGGCGCTCTCCCTCCTGCATCCATGAATAATCCGCCCTCATGCCGACCAAAGCACAAAAGGAATCCCTCCAATGAGCCCGTCCACCCTCGGCAGACCAAATCGTCCACATGCCGGAACGCCCCTCCTCCCCCAAGCGATCTGCCTCAGACGCGCAGAAGCGAGCAACACGGCACATCCTATTGTCCCCGAAAACAAAGCCGGACGTCCTGCGGGTAGCGGGACCTAGGCACGCACAGCAAAGTAGTGAAGAAAAGAAAAAAAAAAGCACTTGCGTTGGTAACTGCATCAAGGGCACACTGCGCCGCCCGTTTATGCCATTCGTGCCATTCGTAGTCTGCGATCGCCATGCTACATATAGCGGAGCGCGCCCGTGATCTCGCATATGCTGGTATGCCATAATCAGCGCTGCATAAGAACCTTCAAGTCCGGGGTAGAACTCTTGTCTTTGTGCATTAGAACTCTCAAGCATGTCATTCATCTCCTAGTCTTCTCTCTTTTGCTGCCCTCCCGTCCCCGGCTGCGTCTAAAGGTACAATACAAATTATCATCATTCAGAATCGATCCGATCCTTGTAACAAAAATGCGATGCTTCCTACTCAAATCCAAGAAATGGTAGTCAAAGGAAACGGAGAAAGAAAAGGAAAAAATGCATAGCAGAACCTAACCTGGCCTAAAACCATGCGCCTCGCTACCAATGCCTCCCTCTTTCCCTCCTCTCTGGCGTCCTCGAGCCAAAGTAGATGCAAAAGATAGGACCTCGAGAAATGGAAAAAGAGAGAGTCCAGAAAGCCCCGTCCAAAAGTAAACTAGAGAGAGAGAGAGAGAGATTTGCAGCAAAAGAAGTCGTCGCACAATGGACGTTGGAAAAAGAAAAAGTCTATCACACCTGCTTCAACGCTTCTAAAACACTTCCCAATTCGTCTCCCACGGCTTATTAGGGTCCAAAACTTCCTTCCATGCCGGTACTTGCCCGTCAGCTCCTCCTGGTCCACGCCGCAGTGCGTCTGGCCATCGCGGCCCTGGAACCATCCCAGCCCATACTTCTTGCCCAGCCCCTCCAGCTTCTCATCCATGTCCGCGTGGCTCAGCGTCGACGTGTTCACAAAGTCGTACAGCATCTTGCTCTGGTGTATGTAAGCGAGGACCGAGGCGATCGTGTTGGGCTGTCGCGGGAGGAACGGGTGCCGCCGCCGGGCGAACACGAGCGTGGAAATGACCCCCATGTACACGAGAATCAGCGCCGCCGCCACGAGCGAGAACCAAAACGACAGCACCGTTTCCTGGCCCGAATTGATGCCGTCGTCGGTATCCGTGCTGCCCGGTCGCGCGACAACGGCGAGGAAATCGCGACCGTCGACCGTCGCCAAGCTGGTGAGGAGCACCGTTAGAATCTCGGCGATTACGGAGCCGCATCCCACTAGGCACACGACATTGTCTCCATTCATAAACGCCCTCCACGGCATGTAACCGAACGGCATCGCCGTATAATCCAGCGTCAGCGCCCTAGCTGGTGCGTGGCGCTTTGAAAGAATGTAAAGGGCTCCATCATGCGCACGTCGGTGTCCAGCGTGCCCCATCCCAGCTTGATGCCGACGGCGAGCGCCGTGATCACCCACGGAGCGCGATCCGTCACCACGGTGGCCTTGGTGAAAATCATGGCCGGAACAAAGCCCATAAACACAATGACCCCGACGACAAAGGGGACATAACCAGCCGCGCGCAGCATGAGGGGGTGGGGGTTCTCCGACAGATGGGTATGCTGAAACCGATCCTCCTCGGGTCGCGCAACCATGGAGGCGGAAGAGGACGTGGGCGTCTCGTCGTAGGGTGCCAGGGCCGAGTTTCTCAAAATGTAGCGGCGGAGCTTGAGCTTCTTGTGAATGTCCTCGTGCTTGGCCGTGTCCATGTCCTTGAAATCCATCAGGATATGGCACACCACGGCCATCGACGCCAACCCCGCAATCCCCTTGACGTCGGCTCCGATCCCAGACCTTCGGGTCTGGAGAAGATAAAATAGGAGCGAGGCGCACACCGCGCAGATGGCCAGCGTGACCGTCAAAAGCCGCGACCATATCGCGTTGATGATGACGGCCTTCTCTAGATCGGGGTGGGCGATTCGGTCGAGCCTGTTGGGAGTGAGCAGGATGGATGCGGCGCCAAACGTCGGCACAAGAGACACCGCGAGCACCGACCCCAGCGACGAGACGGCGACGGCGTAGTGCTTCAATTTGAGGGCCCGGAACGGCCGCAGAAACGTTTTGCTCGTCATGTAATCCACGTTGATGGACTCACCCGCGAGGGCGCCCTTTTCGCGCGAGAGCTGGTAAAACGCCTCGAGTCGCTTGACGTCGTAGTCTGTGACTTGCCACAGCACACCGTACGTCACCGAAATGATGGTTGGTAGGAACTTGAGAGCAAAGTACACCCCGGGGTTGATCTCGTCGGGCGAGGTGAACTTGATCAGAGGCTCCTTCTTGGACAATTGGTAAATGATCTCCTGGGTGGCGGCAAGCCCTAGCGAGAGGAAGACGAGGGCTGAGAGGTAAGGCCATCTCATGGAAAACGGCTTCCAATTTGGCTGAGGGTAAAATACCTCGGTCACCGCCTTTTTCGGCGGCGGCGGCGGCGGCCTGTTTGAATCGTCGCTGTTATCGTCGAGACCTTCGGGTCCTACCATGGCACTAATGTCTACTCCGGTGGGTTCCTCGATGACGACTTCAATGATTTTCCCCTTCGGTTCGCCTCGTCCTGGCCCAAGTCCCTCAACACAGCACTTCGAGTTTGCGGCTGGCGGGCCGTTAACCTGCGCGTCAGCGATCGTTGAATAGTCCCAGGTGTCCGGAGAAGCTCGGAACCGAGGATACGCCCCTCGGATCGGAGGCCGGACCCTAGACCGCCGGTGAGATGGCCCTTGGCCTCCTCCTCTTGAAGCTTTTTATGAAGGCGGTGTCTTGGAAGCCCATGGGACCCAAAGTCGAAGTGAGATCCTGCGTCGGAGAGTCGGGGCTCACCGGTCGCATGAGGGGCTCGCGGCTCGAGTCGTTGCCCATGGGGGCGGCGGACCTGAGCAGGGACAGGTCGTACTCTTCCTCGGCGATGGCCTCGTGCTCGCCTGTGAAGGCTAACGAGTAGCCGTTGCGCGCGTTGCCGCGACCTCCCTAGACCGAGAGTGCGAAAGCGACGGGGTGGAGGTGACGGGCTGATATGCGCCGGATTGGGAACCCCCGTCCAGGACGTGGAGGAGGTGGTGGGGGTGCGTACGAGGTAGGTGTGTTCACGTACGAGGTAGGCGCGTTCACGGGCGCGGTAGAGATGTAGGCATTCGCGCTGGGAGACCACTGTAGCTGAGGCGAAGGGTGGGGATCGTAGTACGACTGCAGCGATACCATCGATTCCCTCCCCTGGACTACGCGGCCCTGGCCATCCCACGCGGATTGAAGCGACACATTAGACTCGCTCGGTCGCAGGTTGGTGTTTGTCGGCGTGTTCGTGACATTGTAGCCATATTGAGGCTGCGTGGAGTTGGAGTAGACTGGCGCGCTATACGGGGACGGGGCGGGAGGGACCGAAGTGTTCACGGAAGGGTAGGTGTTGTGATGGTGGTACTCGGGGCGGGGGCGGATTGCGCAGAGGGGGCCGGCACGGAGTTGTGTCGAGGGCGCCTGTTGCCGAGGTGTCGTTGTAGGAGAGATGGTCGATGGAGATGTCGGCAATATCGGCGAAGCTTGTGATGCGAGAGCTAAAGGAGTCGCGATTCGGTGGCTGGCCAGACGATTGCGAGTTGTTGGCGTTGGGGCCGGGCTGGCTGCCCGGAGGGTTTTGCCAAGACATGGTGAGAGAGATGTTCAAAGGATCATGACTTCCCCCGCGATCCGAGTTCACCATCCGCAAACAGGACAAACTCGATGCGGCGGGCGAAAAGGGAACGGGGTTGGTTCAAGGGGGACGTCGCAGTCGATCCTTGGCTCGAGGGTTATACAGGTAACGACAGCAGTAAGAATGCGAGATTGCGCCAGAGAAGATGTCCCCCACTTTGAAGCAGGACGTAGGGACTCGGGTATGCCTGGATAGATTGGATAAATTGCGAGGCAGCTGGGAGGTCTATTATTACTGCGGGTTAAGGCAAGCGAGGGGTGTGGGAGCGGTATTTCTCGTGTAATACCTCGTACTTTGGCGTTGTCTGATAAGACCTAAAAGCTCCCAGCCTAGCGGAACGAGTGTAAGAGGAGGGAGAGCAAGCTGTAATGTCGAAGGACTAATAAAGTCGTCGCGGCATGATGGAGGAGCAAGGTTGTGAAGAAAACCTGTTTCCACCTTGGAAGAGGGAAAGGAAGGGAGAAGTTTGTTGATTGACCTAAGGGATGGCCAGTTTGGGACAGGGAGATTGAGAAGGTCAAGGCTGGTTCTCGCTGGCGTGGAGCGAGGGAAGGGAGGGCTGAAGTGGCGGGGACTACACTGCGACGATACAATGTTCCCGGGGAAAGATGTCAATAATAGTGTATGAGCGTGCTCCACTCCTCCGCTTTCCCTTGTTGCAATGAAGGAAATAGAAAAAGATCAAACAGACTAGTAAAGTGCACGCTGGGCCAGCCATACAGCATAGTCGCCCTGGCCCGCCCCGGTCGCCCTCCAGGCGCTCCAGGCACTCTGGGGACTCTGCTCGTCCAGATCCATGCCACACCATTGATTTTTCCGACTCTTTTGGGGGTGGGAGGAGGGGCATCTGGAAGAAAGGAGCCAGACGGAGAAGAGCAGGCCAAGCGGGAGCGCTGGAGGCGTTGGAGGCTTGGCAGGAGCACCCACTCAAGGCGTAAGGCAGTGTGGTGTCTTGGTGTCCAAGTTACGATGCAGAAGTACTGCATACACCAGGAGGAGCTTGCACAGCTCCGCCTCGGGGCCGGGCTGGGAGTAGCCGATACTTGCTTTTGAGCCACCAGGCTGCAGGGGTGTCCCCTTTGTCGCGGGCCACTGAGATGCCACGCTGTGGATCATGCTGCGACGGGGTCATTGGTTCCAACGATTGAACGATTGAACACGACCGGGTCCAGGAGCCACCGATCCTCGTGGTCTTCAGCTGGGCCTTGCGGTTCGGTTCAGCGCTTGACAAGTTGTTTGGACCGACGGTCGGCGCCATCTCCAATCTACGGACAGCCAGAAAGAGCACACCGGAGCACACCAGAGCACGAAGAAGGCACTGTATCGGGTGTCTGGATCTGGTGAGTGTTCGCTGTTGAGACAGGCCATGCGTGAGCTGCCCAAAGAACGCACCCACCCACGCCCTAGATCTTTGAGAATCGATGTTGCCATCCGCCAGGGATCACCTCCTACGCGGGGTTTGCGGGCTACATCAATGATGTACCTCACCAAGCACCAAGGGCGGGGATTGGCATGGCCCTGATGGCCAACCACCGAGACAAGTCATGTCGTGTACAAACTTGGCGCAACTATTATTACATATGGAAGCACTCAGCTGCTCGACCTTCCAAGTTTTTCTGTTCTAAATATTCCCCTTTCGTCTTGCTCTTGCCTTGGCCGCCTTTGCTTGCGAGCCCGTCCTCGTATTCCTGATGCGGGAAGCCATGCATAGTGCCAGCCAGTTAGTTGACTAAGGGGTGCGCCAAATATTTGTCCTGTGCGTTTGTCCTGTGCTTCTCCCCCTTCTCATGTCAAGACTGGCGGCTCCAAGCTCAGACAATCCTCGCTCTGCTCGGCTGTTCGGCAGCCTTTATAAGCGACGCCACATGCACTCAGTACAGGAGGGATAGAAAAGGAAGGAGAGAAGAAGGAAAAGGAAAGGGGAAAAATAGCGACGAAACCCCAGTTGTCAATAATGGTAAGATTGCGGGCTTCGTGCTAGCCGCAGTGGAATGTACAAGTCCTGTGCTATGGTGTGCCAGACACTAGACTTGGTACAACGACACCCAGCAGCGTGCACACTTGAGAGCTCAATTCGATGAGAGCCACTGGCGGACCGTTCGTCAATCCGGTTCCCGACGGCCTGGATTCAGCCCAACCTTGCCAATCTCGCTCGCCTTCTACGGTCCAGCCCTTCCGCCCCTGTCTCACACCCTAGCCCATCTTGCATGCCACCGGTACGCAGGTTGCCTTTTGCCTGAGCTGACAGGGCAAAGACGCCACCGTCCGACATGGATTTCACCAATATCTTGCCCGTGGTGACAATCACCCGTTTTTGGCGCACCACCAAACCTCAATAGACAATAATAAGCAGTGAGCCAACCCCTTTCGGAACATCTAATATTCGAAGGACTCTTTTATCATATCTGAACGACGACTAAAAGTGGGCACGTGGAGTGCGGCGATGACCTGCTCCCTTGAAGATGAGGTTGGGGATTGAAACTTTACACTTTACCCCCAAGCTTTGTCTATGTGGATAGCACTTCATCTCGTTGACCTCGAGCTGTGATCAAGAGGGCCAAGGATGGACGAAAACTAGGGTGAGGATACGCCTATCCATGGATGGAGGCACTGAACTGGGACCAGAAGAGCGAGCTATATTGTCGGGACTTTGGTCCCAGACAAGCCTTCCTCCACCGCCCCAGGTTTAATCTCGCTCTGTCTTGATGCCTTCACCCATCAACCAAGAGCGGAGGATCCACGCAAAACAAAACAAAAAACGCCTATCCCAGGCAGACGTCGCTGATCCAGCACCCACCCACAAATGCTCCTTCTCCACGACTCATCCCGCTAACGTGGATGCGGTGATAGGCACACACATCCATTGATACAAATCGAGGACGGGGACGGGCTCGCACGTGAGGAGCCCATTTTTACCGCCCAAGATCAATCCATAGATGCATTGGATATTAATATGAACACGCCGGCCAGAGGAAGAGGAAGAGCTTCTCCCTGTCGCAATCGGCCCAATGGACACGCCGACCGAGGTCGTGCTCGCGGGCAGCACTTTGGCTGTATTATAAATTCGCCGGTTCCATCTGGACATGCTCGCGTCTGCTCACGTTACCCTTTTTGGCCCCTCAATCTTCAATGTTCCCACTCTGTGCATCCATCGCCCTGAGCCAACCTTGCCTCCCGTGTAAGAGCCTCGGGCTGTGGGGACAAATGGTGATGGTGATGGGGAAGATCCATTGCATTTGCCACACGTGCCTGGCGACATACATGGATGAAGGAGGGCAGAGCGAGAGAACGAGAGAAAGAGGGAAAGAAGAAAAGAAATAGAGGTGATTCCCGGAAGGGGGTTTGGAATTTGTGCGGATGATATCAATTGATGGGGATCCATTGGGATTTGATTTCCCCCTTCCGGCGCCGCTCTATTCCCGCCCTCCTCGAGTCGTCGGTTCACAAACGCGGGCTCACCTCTGGTTATCCGGCAGAATTCAACTGCCTGTAACGAATGAGTTTCACAAAACCCGCCCTCCGCCGAGCAACTACCCTTCACGTTCCCAAGTGTGAAAGCGGGCGGGAATTCGTTGTCTGACACTTCTTTCGCCAATCCCTTGCTCTTCGCTTCAATCTTGTCCTTGGCGGTTCAATGTTCCCTCCTTGGCCCCCTCGGCCCCTCTCCTCGGGCGCACACATTTTCCCTCACGCAACCTCCATCTACGTGTTCCATCTCCTCTTTGTGGGGGACACCTTTTTTCCTTTCTTCTCTTTTCTAGTGCTCTCTTCTTCCTTGCCTCTTTTGGGGCGAAGCCATATTGCATACATATACATCTATGGATCCAGTGTATATATATCTATATAGATAGATCGATCAATGAGCAGATATATACATTCATTGCTTCTCGAGAAACGGGTGGCTTACCCTTTGCAGTCCTTTCAACCACATATCGCTAGAGTCCACCTCCAAATCTTTTGCCGGTGCATGCTTGATCCTCCCGTCTTGGACAAACCCCCATCTTTGCTCAGCCTGTGTGTCTCTCGCGATTTGTTCGTCCATATGCGGCTATAACGGATCGGTCACAGTCCCTCTTATACCGGAATACCCTTTTAAAGTGCTCTGTTTCGTCTTTGTTTCCTTCTCGCTCTCGTTGCCCTTCCGGATTTCTCAACCTCCTCGTCCATTCTGCCTCGCCCTATCCTTTTTTTTTTCGCGAGTCCCACGCTATCTTACCTTTCGACTTACTGACCGCCTTCACACTCGTCCTCTTCAGACCCAAGTATCTTGACAAGGCTACGCGGCTCTCGCGATGCGTGGTCGTTTGTCGCTTAGCCCAGGTCCCGACTGACTTACACCCCCTCTCATAATATCATCAACCTAAAAGACCTTTGCGCTTGTTAGATCGATCCCCTTAAGGACTCGCCCGGGGAGAAAGCTCTCTTAAAGAGAAAAGAAAGCTCAGGGAACGGTGTTGTTCGCTTCTTCTAGATAATTAATAGTCTCTCTGTGTCCTTTTCCCATCCCCTCCCTTCACACCCGCGAGCGAACCGATCCAGCACCGACGACATCGTCTAGTGAAAGCCCACCCCTCCGCCCCGCGCCGCCCTCCCACCTCAGCTCCTCCTGCTGGACTGGAGGCGCATCCCGACTCCCTTAACTGTCTACACGCCATGCCACGAGCCATGCCTATAGAAGGGACAGATTCCACAATGTGGACGGACGAAGAAAAGCGCTACCTTCGCGCCATTCTACGGCACGACTTTACCGAAACCCCGCCACCGAAGAGCTCCGCCGAGCGCTACACGCGAGGAGGATGAACGGCGGTGGCGGTCCCACGTCCCCCAAGAACCACATTCGGAACAACGATAGCAAACCCCCGGTAGGAGTTTAGGGTGCTAGTAATTGGGGCCAAGGGTGTTGGAAAGACATCTATTCTCACTAGGGTAAGACCATTGCTTTCAAGCTGCTATACCTGCCTCCCTTTTGCCTTTTACGATGGACGGGCACCGTGCCGTGGCCAGCCGACTGTTCAAGCTCTCTATCTCAACCGCCCACGTGTGCCCGGACATTGGCCCTCCTTCCTACTACGACAAAGCGCAGGAGGAGAAGGGCGCGAGAAAAGAAGAAGAAAAAAGAGGAAACAAGGAAACCCGAGACTAATACTAGCCCCCCCACCACCACTCTAGATCTGCAAAGGCCGCCTCCCCATGCCAGAAGAGCCCTACGACCCCCTCTACGAGCAAGGATGCCGCCAAGTCACCGAGATCGACGGCCAAAACTACACCATCGACGCCCTCGAAATGCCGTCCAAGCACCTATGGCGCGACGACCTCGTCCAGCAAGCCATCAACATCACCGAGGCCGCCATCGTCGTGTACGACGTCACCGACCCGGACTCCTCCGCCTCGCCCGCGGCCTGCACGAGCTGATCCGCGACACCATTGCCGGCGGCCCCCTCGCCGGACCCAGCAACCCGCTCGTGGAGCAGCAGCCCATGGGCGTCGCGCCGGGGTTTCAGGCCGGCGGTGCCGTCAACGGCGTGCCGAGTGGCAGCGGCGCGCGAGAATACGCGCTCCTCCTGGTGGGGAACAAGTCCGACGCCGGGGACGACGCGCGGAGGATCGCGTACTCGGACGGGTCCAAGGTCGCGGCGTCGTGGCACGTCAAGACGAGCTTCATGGAGGTCTCGGCCATGACGGGGAACCAAATCACCCTCTTGTTTCCCAAGATCGGCAAGGAGATACTGACCTTGCGCTCCATCAACCAGCAGCGCAAGGAGTTTGCCGAGAAGATGGAGAGGATGAAGGCCGAGGCGCACGAGGTCCAGGTTAGGAGGAAGCAAGGTGGCCTTTGGCGGCGGCTGAGCCGGTCCTTTTTCACGAGGAGGGAGGTTGCCCAGATTTGATGCGTTCGCGCGTCTCCGCCTTTCTTCTTTATATTCCGTTTTCTCCTTTGGGTTCTTTTTTGTTTTCTTTTCTGCTTCTCTCTTTTCACTCGTTAGAGGGGGCAAGGACTGTTTTGATTCATTACATTCTGGGTTTATGGGTGTTAGGTAGGGGTCTTCGGTCTGGATTCGGGCGTGTAGATGGCGTTTTATCCTTTTCTTATCCATGTTCCTGCTATAATCTCTAGTTATTCTCTCTTCCTTTCTCTTCTCTTTACATGTTACCCTCCAGAAGTTTCCTACGTTTCCTTTCTCTTTTTCTTTTGTTTCTTCTTATCTTGTCCTCTTCTCCCCGCCACTCTCTCTGGGCAGAACCTTCTTGCGCCCTTCTGCTATGGCCTGCGCACCTACGGTCCGATACCTTTTTCCTTCTGCTTACCCTAACCCTAGGTCTGACCCCTAAAATGGGCTTCATGTCGTGAGATAGACAAACACATTCTTTTGCAAATCGGCAGCTGAATACATTCCTTATCAATTTCTCTTCTTGCACCCTATACACTCTCTCTTCTCTTCTTCTAGTTTGCATTTGAAATCACTGGGTACAACTAACACAGGAAGAGAAGACGCCCGGGAGGGCACTTTGGTCCATCTCAACACTGACTCTAGTCGTGGTATGGGGATAGGAACGTCCATAAGTTGGTGGACGGATGCGTCAGCCCGCGAACCATCGATACCTCTACATTTGATCAATGTCCTCCCACGAGTACATGTAAAATTGAGGGGTTCAACCTGATTTCTACAAGTAGCACCACCACATACACACACACTTGTACAATGTGCCTGCCATGGTTCAATCTACCAACAGTGAAGCCACTCAAACACCAGCAGTTGAAAAGTAAGAACGTGTAACCGTTTTTCTTTAAAAGAATTATTCTTGCCTATAGCCTATATAAGACATGCATTTTCCACTAGCTCCTCGTCTAGTCTTTCTATTCACTTATACTCCAGTACGGCTATTGGGGAAACTTGAAAAATGGGGTGTAGCGTGGTGGTTCTGGTGACTTGCATCATCTGACAGACCCAGCGCGACCCCGCCTCCTAAACTGCCCAGCCAAAGGCACCCGCTATCACACGCAATGGGTTCCCCGGGGTCCGCGGGGACAGCCGGGTGAAATCGACCATGGATGCACTTACTAGCACCTCGGTGTGCTTGGCGCGTGTGGTCCTGCATGTTGGCTTCTGGTCAGGCGGTGGCGCCTCTTGGTGACCGAGCCCGTGGTGGGGGAGGAAGTAACTAGGGAAAAAAAAAAAAAAAGGCAATGGTAATGAACCGGTGATGCACTGAATTGTGTGTGTTTTGACGCCATGGGGATGCTCTATTCTAAGGTCGTTTTCGAATGGGTATTATGGGCAAGGTACTCTGTGTGATTGGTCGGCTCGACGCCTCCGGCGATGGTGCAACAGTGATAACACCACAAAACTTGTGAGCTTATTATGTTGATGATAATCCAACTGCCGAGAAAAGACGCGACACCTAACAGGAAATGGTGCAGGGTAAAGGGGGTTTTTGTAGGCCCCTCCCCTTATCTTCACCTCTCGGATATACATTACGCAGATATCGCTGTCTGCGATTCAATTGATAGGCTTTACTAGCCTGTGAATGTGACATACATGTGCTGGGAAAGGACAAAAGGAACAAGGGAGAAAGTTTCAGGTTGAAGAGACCCTCGCCGAGGAGGTCTGCGCGCTTCTCCTCTTGTTAATAAAATCCTGGACGCTGAAGCGCTTCTTCTCCGAAACACGCGGCGAATTGGCGGAATCTGGGGTACACTCCCCATCCCGGTGCTTGTAGGTATGGCAGCAACAGCCGACAGCGGAGTGAAGGAAGAAGGCGGTGACGGTAAGCAGGGCCGCGATCCACATAGAGGCCAACATGACGGGGCTAAGGTCGACGCCGATGTTGAGCTCGGACTGGAGGGTGAGGGCGTACTTGGCGGCGACGCTGAAAACGGTGGCGAGGACTGTTGCGCCGCCGACGAGGATGGAATCGATGAGGGCAAAGGAGACGATGGGTATACACCATCCGCGGGAGCGGAGAGTAAGAGGGGTGAGGAACATGAGGATGAAGCAGAGGACGATGCCAACGATGAAGAAGGCCCACATCACCTGCTGGCCAAGACGGAGGAGGTCGAGAATCGTGAGGACCTGAGTCGGCAGGGCAATCTTTGCACCGGCCAGGAGCTCATCCATGAGAATCTCGACCGGGTTGAACCAGTAAAACCTTCGGGGAGTTGAGCAGAAGACAATTCCTCTGCAAAAGAGAGCAATGGCAACCAAATATTAGTACCCGCGCGAAATCGGGAGCTGAGCTTGCCAGCGGGGAGGAGGGGAAGAAGGGTGACGTACTCATCGTTGAAACCTTCGCAGAAATTCCATAGGCCTACTTGGTAGAAGTCGTGAAGTCCAAGGCTACGCGCCACAGAGTTCAAGAGGCGAGCGTTGGGAGCATCCAGGGGGATGACGTTGGCAACTTGAAGCTTGAAGAAGTAGATGTCTCGTAAGACGGCCTTGTCGCTCGTGTTGCCAATGATGACAAGAATGAGAAAGATGACCGAGATGAAGTAGCAGCCAGAGGCCACAAAGACGGCGTTTTTCCTATGGTCCGTCATGATGAGTGTGAAGGCGGTTCCCTAGGGGTGTTGTAAATGCAGAGTGGATGAATTTGTTGATCGGAGAGGCCGTTGAGCAAGGCGTTGTAACAACCTGGACCTGGCAGGCGAACGAAAGCGTCTTCAAGACGAGGGTATTCAAGGCAGAGATGGGATTCGCTTCAAGAAAAAAGGAACCACGTTTCCCTGTCGAAAACGAAACGAAAAAAGGAACTAAGAATGAAGTGCGGGAGAAAGCAAGGTAAGATGGAAGCAGAGCAATACGAGTCTGGACACCGACACCTCTAGTGCGATGAATCGGTGTGCGTGTTGTCGAGTTCAAGCCCAGCTTAACAGAAGCTCATCGAGTTTGCTGGGGCCAAAAACCCGAACTGCTCTATAATAAGAATAGATCGGGGAAAAAAGAAGAGATAAGAAAAGGTCACCCGGTAGTATGCCGTACAAGGGGAAGTGCGGGACTAGGGTCTTTCCCGGGCCAACACCACCTTCTTTTTGGTTTCCTCTCCCGATGCAACGAATGGTCGTCGGTTCAATAGATCATTCGTCAATTGTCGCGCTCTTTCGAAAACGGAAGACAGGGCTGACCAAAATAACAACGTGATGGACTAGGGTGGGTTGGTCGAGGGCTCCTCGGCCGGTGGGCAGAGGACTTCCACGCGGTGAGCAAGGTGCGCGACGGGGAGGCTCAGAAGCTGGATGCGCGTGAGTCGAAGCGAGCGCAGGCACCCAGAGTCAGCTGGTTTCTGTAAGCGCGAGTTCGCGCAACAGAGGGCCTCGTGGGAAGTTGTGCGTGGGTTCGTGGGCGCGGGGGTGCGCGAGGCCGGCCTGTGGATCTACGGCACAGAGAGTTCACGGGAAGGGAGGGGTGAGCCGATAGTGAGGCTGTCGTGTTTTTTGGTCCCGTCCGGACCTTGGGGGCCGGATCTGATGAGAACAGGGGGTCTAGGGCGCTTCTGCGTCAAGGTATTCGGAGGGACGACGATTGACTGGGTGAGGATGGCCCAGGTTAGGCGCAAGGGGCGCTGAGTCAGCGGTAATTGGGTTTGGGTTCCCAGGGGTATTGTCACATCAAAAACGTGAGAATAGAAGCTTGTGGTACCTGAACGGACCAGGTCAACCAGCTCAAATCTGGCCCTCAATGACTGGATAGCAGCGACCAGGAGGGGACTGAAGGAATCAAACCCTCCCTGAGAGGTCCACTGCGGCGCGTCGAGGTGGGCGATTTTTTTATCGAGGATTCCGTCGCGAGCAAGGCGAGTTTGGGAATGCAGGGCGCCAACGAGCTGTGTGCAAGTGGGTGGGAACTGTCTGAGACGTATGGGTTACAAGTCGAAAGGGTACTTCCCTATCTAAAAGAACTGTTGGCAACGGGAAGAAGAGGTGGAGAACTGGGCGAGATGGAGATGGAGACGGACAAGCCAGAGAAGATCCACGAAAACAAGAGAAAATCCTCCAAAAGGCCAAGCTTGGAGCATACGAATCCGGTGGATTAGGTGGAGAAAAAGAAAGTTGATCGGTGATACTCAGGCCCCGTCGATCCAAACTAAACTGACGCTCAACAGGAAAGGGAGAGGAGGATGGAGGGGAGGGATGAGGTGCGTGAAGGGAGAAAGGGTGGGCCCGCGACATCCGCCACGTTCATGTCCAACAAGCGTGCGGGATCGGGGATGAACAAAAGCAGCCCAACATGGTTTGTCTCGAGTTGCGGCGCCCCGGCGTCATGGTCAATCTGGAAAAGCCAGGCATCAACGGAAAACTTGAATCCATGGCAGGATGGACAAGGAACGGAAACCGGGGCGACACTGTGTGGCTCCGTGGCATCACATTACGGATTTGCATTGGAATCGTTGATGTAATACTTGGCAGGTCCCACTGGTATTATTGTCGAGTCAGATCAGATCGGGCGAAGCTCCAGGGAGAAAGAAAAAAAAAAGGGCCCTTCATTCCACAACCGCCGCGCTAAACGAAGCAGTCCCCTCCGTTTTGCGCGTCCCCTTCCGGATCGAATAGCTCGATTAGACGGGGTCTGCACGTACAGACCGCTACAACAGGACAGCGGGACATGTGAAGCCAATTGATCGGGCGGCGATGCAATTGGATTGATGTGGCCAGCCATGAGCTTGCCATGCCGAGTGGCCCTCCCATCTGTTCTCGTCCGTCCTATCCTAGAGATATCAAATGTAATAGCGACCAGGACCGAGCACGCCTACATAAATTGAATGAAGAGCCTTTTGATCCACCCCGCCACTAAGAAATCATAAGCGTAAACCAAGAAAACAAGGTTTGTCCTCCATCGGGGATAGCGGTGCCGCGTGGGAAGGCGCAGCAGCTGCTTCCGTCTTCAATTCTCCTGTGACGCGCAAGCAGCGCTCGACCAAGCTCCCTTGGGCCCTTTGGGTTCAGCAGGGCCTGTTTAGGTCCTTGGTTTTTGGCCTGCCGTTTGCTCCACTCTCGTGTTCCACCGGTTGGCTGGCAGACCAAAGCAAGCCCTGCCACTTTTTCGCCAATCCCGCCCATCACAAGTTTGTGAATTCGTCCTTGGCCTTCGTGTCGTGTGAATAGCCATTCTTTATGCCCTTATGCTGAACTATGCGATCGCCAGGTGGCTCCCGCTTCCCTTCTTCTTTGCTTTCTCCTTCCTTTTTTGTTATTTTCTCCAGATTTTGTGCCCGATTCAAGGGCCTTGGACAAAATGCCACATACAAATCCAAATCGCCTCGAGGGCTGTGCTCCTTGGAAAAAAAAGTTGCCGCCCACGTACCATTTCTCGGGAAGCGCGGCTCCCAAGACTTGAGCTAGAAATTACATCAAACGGCGCAGCCTGGTTCCGTAACTGTGGCGTAATCTACCAAAGAGATACGAATGCACGGCAGACATCAAGGGGAGTTTGATCAAAGCAATAAGGATGGAAGGGGGCAAAGTGGAGAGATTGCATCGACGGAGCCAAGTCACACACAAAGGACGTTGAAGGTTATTACACGCTCATAATTCACTATGGGATGTAAGCTTGAACGTCTCGTTACGCGTATTGTAATAGTCGCCAGTCGATCACAGGGAGTGTGGCTATCGGTTCCTTGAGGGATCGTCCGCAAGAGCCGTGCAAGGACAGGAGATCAACGGTTCGCCAGCCAGGAGGTATCAGTATTCCTTCAGCTCGAGCGATGCGCCAGCCAAGGGGACCAAACACGCCGCTGTCCTCGCTTGGCGACAAGTCGGGCTCGGCGTTGGAGAACGACAGGCTAGGAGGCGTCGGGAAGTAACCAAACAGCGAGATGACGGTGGGGAATCCTGCCCAGGCCGCCGTTGGCCAGGGTCAATCACAATAGGTCCATGACTATGGATCTCTGGGCCCATTCTTAAAAAAATGTCCTCGCTATTAATACTTCCAGCACCAGGTGCGACCTGGCCTGGCCGGCGGCCTGGAGTTCCGGGGAGATGGATACGGGCTAGCTAGTTCGCCGCGAAAAACTGCTTTTGAAGTCGGCCACCGACGAATGTTAAACAGCTGCCGTCCCCCTTCTCCCCTCCATCCTTGAGCTATTCCGTGAACATACTTGTAGGGCTGGAGAGCACGTCACCTGTCCACACCCTCCCATTGTTTTTCTTCGCCTTTGACGACTTAACCTCCGCCTGACGAGATCACCAGGCCGTCACCCTCCTTCGACGTGCTTGCACGAGTGCGTGCATGTGTGTGCCCGCATTAATTCTTCTTTCCGATCGGACCAGAAGCTTTCAAGAGCATCCATAGCAACAATTCCTCAAGGAAACGTCAACATAATAGTCCCCTTGGCCACGACCAATTTGGCGGGAGGCAACAAGATTACATCCGGGGGTCCTTAAAGCAGACTCCGCTTTCTTTTTCTCTTTATTTACGCTGCCTTGGTCCGGCACCCTGGTTTCCCGCTCCGGTTGTTGTTTAAGAATTGGTGTTTTTTTCTTTGATCTTGCAGCCCAGGAAAAACCAAAGAAGAGGGTCAAAAGGAGACACGCCCCTCATTACCAAGATCCTCGAACCCTCCCTTGAGTTGCCGCTTGAGCCGACCGTCCTTGTGTTTTAATCATTCAGTCGCACCTTCTCTCTCAGCTTGGAAGGCTTGGGAAGGCTCGAAGCAGAGGAATTGAGAAATCCGGCTAGCCTGAGTCAGGTTTTGTGCCTCTCTCGCCCCTTCTGGGCCAGCCCAATTGCCAAGGGTCAAGTCTTTTGGGCAGTTCCTCCCCTCCAGTCAGCTCCCATCAATTGATCCGAGTTGGCGGTAAACATATAATTTACCCCCATCTTGCCGACACGTCTTTTGCAAACCATCAACCACCGATCATCCGCCTCTCAGAGACTCTTTTTGACTTTCGCATACCCTGATTTACTTCTGCGCCACCGCTCTAATTAGATAAGGGACCCTTGAACCGAACTCACAGATGGTCACGTTCAGGATGTCCCGGTTGGCCGGGTTGTTCCTGGCTGGCATAAGCTTTTCTTCACATGCTGTGGTTTTCGCCCAAGAAGGCGCCTTATCGTCCAGCGCCAGCACCACAGGCGTCAGCAAGGCGTCTCCCCTGCGAGCCGAGGAGAATTCGGCCTCGAGCACAAGTAGCAAGGACGTGACGATTTTGGTAGGGACCAAATCGATCCCTAATGAATCGCCTACGGGCACATACGTGACCTACACGGATAGGATCACGCTGCCGACAGAAAGCACAACAGAAGAGGAGACGGTGACCTTTACTGGCTCCATATCAACGACGTTTGCGGGCAACGCGTCGGCGACGGAAACGGGCAGCCTGCCGATCAACACGCAGCCGTGCAACAACTATATCGAGTTCTGCGAGCGCAAGTACAGCAACATCACGGTGGTGGGCTGCCACAACTCGCCATTTGTGCGCGAGGGCAGCTCGGCGGCCAACCAGCAACTGGACGTGATCCACCAACTCAACGACGGAGTGCGGTTCCTCCAAGCGCAGATTCAGTGGCCCACGGACGGCAGCAACGTGCCGCATTTCTGCCACTCGTCGTGCGATATGCTCGACGCGGGACCCATCACGGAGTGGCTAACAACGGTGCGAGTGGGTGGACGAGCACCCCTACGATGTCGTCACCATCCTTCTCGGCAACGGCAACTACTCGCAGCCGGGACTCTACGCGCCATACATTGAGGAGAGCGGCATTCTCAAGTATGCATACAGGCCCCCGTTCGTGCCCATGGCCCTGGACGACTGGCCCACGCTGTCTGAGATGATTCTCAAGGGCAAGCGGGTCGTCATGTTTCTAGACTACGAGGCGAACCCAACCGAATACCCATGGCTGCTCGACGAGTTTTCTCAGCTGTGGGAGTCGCCATTTGACCCGGTTGACAACACATTCCCGTGCGTGGTGCAGCGACCCCCAGACCTGTCGGAGGAGTCAGCTCGCAACCGGCTGTACCTCCTTAACCACAACCTCAACGCCGAGTTCAACCTCTTTGGCGCGACCATCCTCGTCCCAGCGGTGCCAGTACTCAACGTGACCAACGGCGAGACGGGAGAGGGTAGCCTGGGCAACTCGACAGCCGGCTGCGTAGCGGCCTGGGGCCGACCACCTAACATCCTGAACGTCGACTACTACAACTTTGGTACGCCCGAGGGCTCCGTATTCAAGGTGGCAGCCGCGTTCAACAACGTCACATACAATGGCTCGTGCTGCGGCAAATTCGTGAGCGAGGGTGCCGGAGTGGCGGCGCCTGCGCTTGTAGCTCTCGGCATGGCAGTGGCCTTTTCGGTTCTCATGTCCTCGTAAGCAGATGTGTGCGCATAGACGTATCTCCCTTTATTTCTTTTTCCTTTTTCGATATCACGACGCGTGCCGTAATCGAGATCAAGCTCGAGAGGTGGCAAAGCATTTCAACGGAGTTTCAGGGTAAAAAATCACATCAAGGAACAATTGAATTGTTGCAGAGGTTTTATGAATGGGCAACCAGAAACGCAAATGGCTATTCCAGTTTCTTTTTTCGGAGCAAGTTGACCTCATATGGCAGTAGCAGACATTCCCCATCACGCATATACTTCATCAGAAGGGGCCTAATCGGCATCGTCATGGAAGTTTTATATTTTTCTTACTGTTCTTTCATAATATACAAGGAAGGCATCGTCCCAGTCTGCCCTAGCATGGACTGATGAGCGAGTATGTCTTGAAATACCCAATATAAATAAATAAACACATCTCGATTGATATATCGAGAGATTGCGAATAAATCTTTGGCGCTCAGCGCTCAGCACTCATCCGGTTTTCCGTCCAGATATGGAGCGCGCCAGCCTTGTAGATTCTCACCGATCACTCCTGATCCAATGTTAGTGTGCAAATAGTGCCAGGTCTTACACTAGGCGTCTAGTGCAGGGAAATCAGCTGCGCCTGATTCAAGCTTCCTGGCTCGAGGCTGCGGACTAGACCGAGCCTGGTTCGCTTGGGAGATCGGCCAGAGGCGAGGGATTCTCGGACATCGAGGGCCACCGACGCGAGAGCGAGGCAAAACTCACGAATGAAGCGGCAAAGGATCCCGGAGTCCTTCATTTTCTTCTACATACTCTTTTGTTTCCTCCATTCTTTAAAGTCTTTTTCCTTTTAATCATTGCATGGATCCAAGGTCTAAAAAGTCCAGAGGCGAAGCCGGGATGGGAAATTAGATTGTGTTGGCGATGAAACTAGCAGCTTGCGACCAGAAACAAGATGGAGTGGTGATCAAATTCCAAGCCTTCCCAGCATCGATTGCTGGTTGAAGCCCTCAGTCTCACTGGCCAATTTCTCTTGCACGTCTCAGCTGCCGCAGCTCATAATATTCAAGCCCATTCAACGTGCTCTCGCGCGAACGGCATCGATTGAACCAGGCCGAAGTCAAACCATTCCGTTATCGGTTGAATTATTTCAAAAACGATATTGCACAATACAATAGATCATTGTAGTCTTGGATTTCTGGAAACGGATGGGCAGCTTTCGGCCCCAGCCCAGTTCCCTAGTTCTTCGTGGCCGCTTGGCAATTTGGAACTTGCATGGGCGTCCGAGTCTGATGTGGTCTCAAGGGATATTTTTGACACGCGCGCTCAGACGACAACGCGCCTCACGGTGATGCTCATGCATGACATGCGCACTCGCCCATGATCCCTTCCAATGTCGTGTGGTGCCGCATGTGGGCTATTGTTCTTCTTTTTCACCAAGCCTCGCGGCCGTTGCTTCTGGCCCGAGTTTTATCTCTAGACTATCCGCATCAATCGATACTTGTACCTTTCGAAAATTCACAAACCACCCTGCCCTGTATCCATAGCTGCGCGCGTACGGACCAGTTCACGAGATGCAGGCTGGCCCTCTTACCGCAACCCTAACCTTGTTCTCCGTCGGTATCGCGCTCAAACTGCCGGACCACCCCTGTCCCGAGTATGGCGTGTCCCTGGGCAGCGGTCTTTGAGAGATGTTCCATCGAGCCTAGATGTAGCATTCTGTGAAAGAGTGCGTCGTAAACAGACTAGCTTCGCTCTTGAACAAGGATGGAGCCAAAGCCGGAAGAACATATGCACGGAACAAGAGCAACGAGCTTTATTTAAGCTCTGACGACACTACTCTGTTGGTTCGCAAGGTGCGAATCGAGCGTACACCGGCTCTGGTGGGAAAGGAGAAACGGACGAACCGGGAATTTGGACGCTTTCTACTCTCTCCGCTTCGATACCGCGCTGAAATCCTGGATGTGTGGTGTCTGGGGCAGCGTGAACCTGGAATTCTTTTGCGAATGTTCTCCGGAGCCGGGTCATCTTGAGTTCCCCACAACTCTTCAGCCCCTGACTCCCTCGACCGTGGAATGTTTCTCCCATGTCCTTTATTGGGGGCCGTCCCGCCTTCTCATTCTTCATGGACCCTTCCTCTAGCTCGTCCTCCGCACTGCTAGTGTCCGTTCCATGAACCTATCGAACGAACCTGTCCTTCCACGATTGTAAACAGCACCTGGTCCCTGCTTTGTATGAGCTTGTGAGGAGCAAGGTGAAGGGATCCATGGATCCTTTTTCGAGATCCGGCCACTTAAACTAACAGCAAGGTGCAACGCACCGCCTCATGCAGCAAATCCCTCTTGAGCCTAAATTATTCTTCTCATGTCCCTCACCAGCTGAAACTGGCCCTCTGACTTGCCTTGGCGGTTTTGGGGATGGTAAAAGAAACCCCGGAAAAAGAATGAGAGAAAGACGAAAATTAAGGGAGGATCTGGCGAGTTCGACCGTAAAAATGAGTTGTCCGGCATTGGGTGTCCTGCATTAACTGCTGTCGATCGATCAGCCTGAAGCGAGACGTCGGCCCACTCCTAGGAGATCTTCGAAAGGGCAACGAAAAGTGAAAGGGAGAAAAACAAGCCCCTCCCCAGTAGTTTGCCCCAGCCGGGAAATCTTCCTTCCTTCTAGGAACTGTTTCTTCTAGTCCCTTGTTCTTTTTTTGCTTATTCATTATTTGGTCAAGGACACAGGAGGGAACAAGACGACATCCCGGAGTCACGCTGGCCAGTGCCTGCGGGCAACCCGGTTCATGCTTTCGGTGCACCTGGTGCATCCCTGATCGTCGTCTCCAAAATAGTTTATTCCCCTCACTCTCTTCCCCGGTCGGCGAGTCCCAAAACTTAAAACTGGCTCATGCTTTGACCACAGCGCCTGGAACGCGGGTTCGATCTGGTGGAAAAAAGTGGGATGAGGGCGGAAAATGCCCAGTGACGAGGGGGTCTTTGCTGGCTCCGGGATGGCAATAGCGCGACTTTTCTACCGCTCACGCTTGGAATGGGGGACAAGGCGGGAGAAGCAGGAGCTGAGGGCGCAAACTGATTTGTTTTGTGTTTTGCAACTTGGGATCAAACTCTTGATGATCGCCGGGCCACGGTTACCGAGGAACTGAAGAAAAGTACCGGATGCTGGCCATGTACGGTCAACGATATACAGAGACTCCCCGCCTGCTCTACCGGTGACTCAATGTTATTTAAGAAGGCGAATGCTTCCTGTCACTTTCATCTCCTTTTTCATCTGGTCTTCTCTCCATCATTGCAGGGTTCAGTTGATCTTGACACCCACCATCTTCTGGGAAGACAAAGCTCCCCCACAGTCCGTACCGGCTACGAGACCCCTTAACCTTGACCCTAATATTAATACCGGCATCTTTACACATCATCCCTTTCTTTGTCTCTTCCTCCACTTAGTCTCCAGTCCATTCTCAAAATGAAATCTCTTTCCCTTCTCGCTCTCGCTGCGGCGGTCGCGGCTCAGAACTTGTAAGTGCACGCTGCTCGCGCTTTTCACCAGACACGCCGCCTGCTTCGCGCTCCAGGCTTCATATAAGTAATCACCAAAGCTAACCAACACTCCTCTGTTTTTAGCGATGCTTGTACAGAGGCCGGACAGGCGTTCTGCGACGGTGGCTCCCTCTCCACCGACTCCATCATCCAATGTACCGGCCCTGGTGTAGGTGCCGTCTCCCGCTGCCGGGACCACCTGTCTAGCAAGGGGTTGAACCTGCCGAAGTCTCCATGTGCTACCAGACATCGGCTGACGTAGGAGACGCTGGCTGCGAGCGCGACGTAAGTACTTTTCTACCCTTCCTCCTTTCCTTCAGTTCCTCGCCTTTCTTCAAAGCTTTAAAAAGGATAGATGGTATCAAGACAGCCCAGCACAAAAAAAAAAAAAGAAAATCAAATTGCCACTCTTTCGTGCTGTAGCTTACCTGATTTCTTAGTGCGTCGTCTTCAACTCGGTGTCCTCCTTCACCCTCGACTCCTCCGTCTGCGTGCCCCGCAGGCCCCAGAACCCACCCCCGGTTCCAGCTCCGGCGGGAGTGCCCCTACTCGTCCAGGTGGTCCCGGGAACGGCGGCGGCGAACAGCCTGAGCCCACCCGTACTGGTCGTCCAGGAGAAGGTGGCGGCGGCGGTGGCGGTGGCGAGCCCCAGCCCCTACCCGTACTGGTGGTGGCGGTGGCGAGCCCCAGCCCCTACCCGTACTGGTGGTGGCGGCGGCGGCGGCGGCGGCGGCGGTCGCCCTGATGAACCAGAGCCTACTCGTCCCGGCCCGCCCCCGTCCGAAGGTGGTGGTGGTGGTGGCGGTGAAGAGCCGGAGCCCACCCGGCCGGGACCTCCGCCCTCCGAAGGCGGCGGTGATCGCCCCACTGCCACTGGTGGTCCCGGAGGCCCCGGCGGCCCTGGTGGTCCTGGTGGTCCTGGTGGTGAACGGCCTACCGCATCCACGTCTCCCACCCGACCTCCTAACGGTGGCCGCCCCACTGATACCGAACCTGGTCGCCCCGGCCCCACTGGTTCGGAGTCCGGCCGTCCCGGTCCCCCGGAGGTGGCCCCACGACCGCCATCACCACTACTCGCGGTGGCGGCGGCGGCGGCGGCGGCGCAAACGCTACTTCCTCTACTCGGCCACCAACATCCACTTTTGTACCTGCCGGTGCCGAGACCCTTCACGCAGGAGGACTGGTAGCCTTCCTCGGGTTCCTCGCGGCGCTGCTCATCTAAGCACAATCGGGTCTGGCGTCAAGGTGTTTTTAACTTTGATCTTTTTTTCTTTTTTACAATCTTGGCATCTTTTTCCCCCGCCTTTCTCCTTTGTTCTCATGGAAGACACTCTGGGTATCAGGAACAGACTGGAGTTCGCGAATATAAGGGGCGGAGTTACCGTGTGTTCTTTGTGGTGAGGTAGTTAGAGACTTTCTTAATGCTTCAATTCTATGTTTCGTATCTTTCACTCTGGATTCCCCTATGACAGTAGAATTCTTTTTGCCGAGTATCTATAATAAATGCGTAGAGCTAGGTACACGGCACATATCGGACGTTTTTGTAAGTGCGTGTAGCTTAATGTACCATCAATAGTATCTTTTTCACTGGAGTCGTAAGACAAAAAAACAAGGGTCACCAGGTTCAATGGGTCTATAAAAGTGTTTTCAGGAGGATTATTTTATTATTTTCTTTTCCTTGAATAGATTCAAGATCAAATCTACTTATTACATGATGGAGAGGAAAACAAGCCAATAGCTCCTCCAGGCGGGTGGCTGGCTCAAGGCCCGAAAGGTCCGAGACCACCGACAAGGGACAAGTGGAATTCCAGGAGTTCAGTCGAGGAACTAGTTTCCGAAATTGTCAAGGGATGGGAATCCACGGCAGAAAGCCTTCAGAGACGGTGGGTAACACCCTTCGTCGAGCTATCTGCCGGAGCGGCCGAGACGGATCCGAGAATCAAAGTAAGAATCTCGGAACCCGTTCCGACCGGGTTTGGGCCGAAAAAGGGGAGCATTCGAAGCCCAGTTGGGTTGGGGGTTGGGGGTTTGGACCGGGAGAAGGGGAGATGTACCGAAACCATACCGTAGGAACCAGCCCTAGGGTATGGCGTGTGTATCGGCTCTCGACCCGAGCTTCTCCTCTGGAATGCAGGAAGCTTGGCTGTTGCATCGAGTGGCAACTGCAGCAAGAAACCTGCTCACCGAGCGTCTGGGAATCGTGCCGGGACCTCGAGGCGTCGCGGGCACGAACCGAAGAAACAAGTAAGCCCGCCAAATGGGAAATGGGGGTTTACCAACTCGGGAGACGGGTTTGGTTGAAAATGAATGTCGTGTCGTATCAGCGTTCATTAAAAAATTGTAAAGCGTCGTGACAAAATAATTAAAAATGGCGTTTTCGTAAACATCCTTAGAAGTGAAAAAGAGACATGATTTGTGAAGTCATTCCAACCCTGGAAAGGGGCGACAGGCGCTTAGCCACGGACGACGATGCCGTTGCGGCGGGCGTCGGTGTTGACGTACTCGGAGTCGGAGTCGGAGCAGGACGAGTCATCATAGCCGCAGCGGGAGCCACCGCAGTCGAGGCGGACACGGTCGCCCTTGCGGGTGATTCCGTAGCGCTCGCAGGAGCAGGTGGAGCAGTCGGAGACTGGGGTGCTGTAGCCGGAGACGTCGCTGGAGGAAGAAGATCCGTAGCTGAGGTCGGAGTCCTCGTCGGACTCGTCGGAGTCGTAGATGACGGCGCCCTGGAAGCGGCCAGCGAGGTCCTCGACCTCCTCGTCGTAGTCCAGAATGGTGCGGGTGGCACTGGGGTTGACGGGCTTGGGAGCCTTGATCTGGGAGACGGAGAGGGGACGGCCCTTGGGGATGTCGCTGGAGGAGCGGCGGCTAGAGCTCTTGGAGGAGGAGGAAGAGGAGGACTTGCTGGAGCTGGAGGAAGACTTGCTGGAAGACTTGCTCGAGGACTTGCTGGAGGAGGAGGAGGAAGACTTGGAGGACTTGGGCATGTCGAGGATGTTGAGGGCGCGGCCAGTGGTGGGCTCGACGGTGGAGTCTACCGAGGGGTTGTGGGAGACATGGTAGCCGTCGATGATGTAGTAGTACCAGTAGCGCTGGCCAGACTTGAGGGTGGAGCTGGAGAAGCGGAAAGTTCCCTTCCAGGAGCCGGACTTGCTGGAGGTCTTGTCCTTGGAGAGGGAAGCTGTCCGGCGTAGTTGTCCCAGGAGCCCAAAGATGGACGGACTTGACGCCAGAGGAGACGCGGAGGGAGAAGCTGAGTTGAGTGGCAGACATTTTGAGCTGAAATTAATGCAGTTGCTGTGTAACTTGAAAAAAGGATCCAAAAAGGTCAAAGATTGGCGTTGGAGAGAAAAAATGTTTGCTGAGCAAGACAAAACCAGTTTGTTATTCCGTGTAGGGGGACGAGAAGATTCAAGCCAACCAGTGTACTTGAAAACTTTCAGAAGGGGGTGTTGAGATTGGATATTTTGTGTTTTGGTTGATTTTTATGGAGTTTGAAGAGTGATTAGGAGTGAGGCCAGCCCACGATGCAAAAAAGAGAAAGGGGAAAGAGGTGGAAAGGAAAACAAAAACTGATTAAGATGGTTGAAATGCTTGCTGGAGAGAAAAGAAAAGAAGGAGGGAAAATGGCTTTTGGGGGCTGCGAGAGACGGCCAACTATATACCAAAAGTCGAGGCCGCTTCGTGAGGCCATTTTGGCCGCACCTCCGAGAGAGAGGCGGCCGAGGCCACAAAGGCCAAGGCCAAGCAAGGATGGGGAGCCGGAGGGGCGAATGGTGGTGGACCCGGGGGAGAGAGAGAAGGACGAGGACGAGAAGGTCGTGAAAATGGGCGACAGGGAATGGGCGAGGAAACGAACATCCGTCCAATGAGGGGGATATGCGGGCATCCATTGATGTACGGGCTGCATGTGGATCGCATGGGTGACGGCTATCACATATTGGAACGGGTTGCAGTGCGTGCAATCAACATTGAACCAAGGCGGAAAAGGCGACAGAGGAGTACCGTACCATACTTTTGCTACCTTTGCTACCTTTGCTACATCTATGGATACCTTTGCAACTAAGGTGCTGAGGTGCTGAGGTGCCCGGCTCACGGCAGCACGTTGAAAGCGGGCAAGGCGGGTAGGGTCAACGAGGGACCAAGTAGGAGACCAGGGCCCATGTACTTTGCTCGCACTCGGCCAATCTCGCCAGGCAGGACATGGATCACGTCTATTAATATTATCTCTCTTGGTGATATCATATTGTCGCCCCCGGTGCAGCAGTCCATTTGGCAATAACGCCCTTCCAAGTGCTCTGGAGGAGGGGGTTTTGGGGTTCGGGATATGAGCATTGAGTTGCTAGCAACAGCATCGCTCCACCTCGTGATCTTGTGCTCGCAAACTGGGTACGACATGACAACGGAGAGATCGACACCTCACCTCGCTCTCCCCCGTAAACCCCCGCCTATTTTGCGAGTGCGCGCCTGCGTGCATCTCGACCAAGTCAACGTGTGGGTGGAGAAACATGATGAAGATGTGGCCGTCGGGAAAGGGAACGCTAGGCCAACCGCCCTGGCCAAGGTTCCTCCGAGATGACGAGAGTCGAGAGAGGAGAAGACCTCGAGTGTGTGTGTGTGTGTGTGTGCTCGCTGCTGGGCTCTTCCCTCGCACCCCTTTGTTACTAACCGGAACCGAAATGCATGAGAATGGATGAACTGGAAGACGTGCAGAATCCATCTCCGCTTTCCTGTTCAAGAAATCAGCCTCCAGCGCCGGCGGTTAAGCAGCAAGGTGGATGGGTCCGGCCCCGCCAATCAGAGCCGAGAACAAGTTGCTAATCCGATCGAGGTGAGCGTCTAACGCTGTGTCCTGATTGGCCATTACCAGCTCTGTCGCGTCAGTCCCACCCACACACACTCAAGACACGCTTCACTGTCTCTTCGTCACTTGAGTGGACAAAGGTCGTCACGCAGCGGACGACATGCCGGCGCTAGCCAATCACCACCCCTAGACACCTTGCAGGGAAAGAAGGTGAGGAGGCTAGCACGCTAGCATCAAGGGAATCAAGGGAATCGAGGTCAATGGGATGCATGCATAATAGACGACGAAGCTTATTAGCGACCAAACTTTCAGGACCGAGATTTACACGCAGTCTCTCAATCTGTATGGACCCTTTTGAGTGGGGCCCTTTCCTAGTCGCATTGAAGGCAATATGACGCGCCAGTGAGAGGAGGCGAGACCTGCTGTCCTTCATCACCTTTTGGTGATGCTGGTGTCCGGTAGTTTCGCTAACACAGAGTGTAGTCTGGTTGACATGGCACAATCCCTGCTCTTAACGCGCAAAAAAGGAAAAAAAAGGAAGAAAAAAACACGGCTGCCCCTGATGAACCTGCACGGCGCTTGCTCTCTTCTCATCGTCCCAAGGAAACCAAGGAAACCAAGCCGCCCCTCTTGGTCCGTGTATATCGCTAATCGGCTGAAGATTGAAGATAATTGATTTTTGGGGGGCGCGTTTCGAGGACGCATATACCTCTTCTCTTCTTCTCTCTCTCCTTTATCAAACCCCCGAGCCGGGCATTCCTCGGCCGACCACTCGCAGCGCTATACAAGTGCTTGCCGACTCTCTCAACGCCGGTTTGGACGTAGTCCATAGCTTCAAAGGGGATGACGGTGTCCGCGCATCTAGGTGCAATAACCCGTAACCTTCCATCCTTCCCCGAGTCGGTAATCGATAAACATTGGCGCTTCCAAGGCACGCGGGCCCAAGCATCTGTTCACACCATCCATCCATGCCTAATCGAGCGCACTTACCAGCGTGACTGCCCCTGAACAACGTGCTTCGGCAACTTCCACCATTGAGAAGCCCATAATTGCCCGCGGAAAAAAAAAGAAGGAAAAAGGGGTAACCCATCATTGATCCATTCTTTTCAGATCGCGGCTGAGGGTGGTCCACCCATCTCCCATCTCATGCAAGTGATGCCAACTCTTCCTCCATTCAGGGAAAGGTCGCGGTTGCACCGGATGACACCGCGATGAGCCTACCCTTGTCCCCTTCTCCAGAACAAGGGACCCACCCAGTGAGACCGTGATCGCCGGCATGCCGTGTTCGTTGAATCGTACCTATATTGAGCCAAGGGTTCTTTCTCTTCCTTATTTTTCTCTCCTTTTACCGCTGCTGCAGCTCCAGTTCAACCGAGAGAGCGCACAGGTGCATCCGTTAAGCGCCGCCAGACGCACTGAACTCCCACAGGAGCGTACGAGCCATGTATGCCAACGTTGCTACCATGCACCACTCATGCACTTCTTGGCCCCCTCCCCTTCTGCCTACACACTTTTTGTTTTTCTTCTCTCGTCTCTTTTGTCTATTACCCAAGCGAGCGAACAGGTTTTCCAGCTGCAGTGTGCCCCCTCCCCAGATTTTCCATGCCGTCCGAAGTGGAAATATCGCCAGGGCGAACAGAGAGAACAGGGAAGAGGGGCCGAGCGTAATAAGCGACAAGGACTCAATAAGCCTACATGTACCCTTCGTTGCAACGGGCTGGCTGGACCATAGATGGATGGATCTGCTCCACCTCTACATAACACCATCAGGTAAAAAGGGAGTAGGAAGAAAAATGGCCACATGCTCCGGTTGGCTACATGCACTGCAAGTTCAATCAGAATACGCGCACTCGGCGGGTATGTAGGCTGGATCCAGTCACGAGAACAATGGGAAAAGCGACCTGTCTCCGCGCTCGCTTGAACGAGTCTGTGGGGTCGGTTAAACTTCAATTTCGTTTTCTTCAAGACCACTGCGTGCCTGTGGGGGCCGGCGCCGGCACGGGCGCGGCTGGGAGCGGAGGACGGGCCAATATCACAATCAAATCGGTGCATGGCATTTCTTAAGAATGATGCTAAGAAGCTGACGTTTACTTTTGGGGGGTGAAAGGCGTCGAGAAGGTGCAGCAGCTCTTGATGGGATCGTCGGCGTGAGACTTCTGCAGGCAGTCATGGCCGACTCTATACAAGTAGCGCCATCTCAACAGTCATTTTTCCCCGGGTTCACTGGAGAGTTGTTGAGATGGCTTGCGGGTGAGGTGAACTGGAAGGTGGATCACCTTCATCCGTGATGCTAGATAAGAGACGACCACGAAGGTGCAGGCGGCTGATTTCTCGGTGCATTGTGTGTTTTTAGTCACATGATGTGGATTTTGTTCAACTCTTCAAGTTGAGTTGAAATTCAAGTGGCTTGCACCAAACTGAATAGATATACCAAGAGGTTCTTTGGATCAGTTTGAGTGAAAGCGTCGTCACTCCTAATGGCAGCTTACTCGTTTGTTTCCCTTTCCTACCGCATAGCAAATCAATCCGAGCGATGCCCATGCGTCCCGCGGACGTCGCGTTGAGCAGCTATTAGCCGTACTGGTATATCCCAGGTTTTCTGGGGATCAGGTCGTGCCTTTGAATCGGCCTGGAAGATTCAATGTCCATGAGATGTGTGATCCGGGATACTGTTGCCTAACAAACATGATCCTTCCAGGAAGAAAAGATATGACCTAAGACGCTGCCGAACCACTATTCATGTTGATCGCTAATAAACAAATACACTTGCTCGAGGAAGAAGGTAGTATTCGCTCTCGGTGCAAGCTAGAGCGAATCGTTGCGTCGGGATTATCCATCATCTCGAAAAACCCATTCTCCACTTGAATTGAATCCTCCTCCCACATCGCACTTGCATCCCCACTCCCTTCTACCTCCCCCGACGTAGAGAAGGAGAAAAATAAGTCTGCCTATCCTCCCAGCAAAGACGCCATCCTCCTCCCAAACTTCATCGTCCTCTCCGCGGAAAAAGAACAAAAAAAGATTGTGCCGAGGATGGCGTCCACAGCAACCCACCCAGACGCCTCGAGCCTCATCCCCCGCGTCACCGAGTACGCCCGCGCCTACATGGCCAACTACGACGGATCCCACGACTTCAACCACATCCGCCGCGTCCTCCGCCTCGCCCAACGCATCTACGCTTCCGAGCGCGCCCGCGGCACCTCCGACGCCGATCAATCCGTCGTCACCCTCTGCGCCCTCCTCCACGACGTCGGCGACAAAAGTACCTGCGCGAGGGCGAGCGCGCCGAGTCCATGGTGCGCGACGTCTTGCTCGGCTTCGGCGCCGATCCGGAGCTCGCGGACAGGGTGCAGGCCATCTGCCTCGGCGTGAGCTATTCGAGCGAGATCAAGGACCGGGCCAAGGTGCAGAGACTCATTGCTGTGTATCCCGAATGTAAGCATCCGGACCCTTTTATATATATATATATATCCATGGATATATCCATATCGATTCCTACTTCTTCCCACCTAGCTATTCTTGTAGGGAATTGCTCTCTGTTCTCGTCCTCCCTCCTCCACCCACATACACGTATCTTCTTCTTCGATATGTAGCATCTCGTTTTGGGTGAGGCGTGCGTAAAGCAAACCATAGCAACCTAACTGTGAATCCTCTTTCGGCAGTGGCCATCGTGCAAGATGCGGACCGGCTAGACGCGATCGGCGCCGTGGGTATCGGCCGGACGTTTGCCTTTGGCGGCGCAAAGGCCGTACCCTAGAAGACACTCTGGAACACTTTGACGATAAACTCCTGCTCCTGGAAGGCATGATGAAAACGGAGACGGGAAGGACCCTCGCCAAAGAGAGGAGTGATAGACTTAAAGCATTTGCCTCATGGTGGAAAGATGAAAACACTGACGTGTAGTACGACTCCGGCCAAAAGAAAAGAAGAACAACAAGGAAACACGTGCTCTTTGAATAGTGATTGTAGCGTCATCGTCTATCCTCTCCCTGCTGAGTTCTAAACATTGACTATGGAAGGCGGTTCAACTATCACCAAAGCCACAGAACGTGTAGCTGTTGGACGACCGACCTGTGAAAGCTCTTCTAGGAGAGGGCAATTTTGAGACATCATAACTAGCAAACTTCCGTATTTGCATTCTTGCAGTTTCTCCACGCGCCCACAATGTTCATCTTCTCGTAAGCTATTGAGAGGGTATCACATTTTAATCCCCAATATTCGCGAGCCCAGCTCGCCTGCCTATGATCCTTTAGATGTCAAGGTCAAATGCCTCGATGGCGGCCCCCGCATAAAGCATTCTCTGCTTATTCTCGCTTAAAGAGGCCATGTAGCACATCCTGCTCACAACCTCGTACCATTTCTCTAGCGCATTCTCCTCAAGTCCCACGGTGCAGACTGGCCAGTCCGTTCCGAACATGAGCCTCTCGGGGCCGAATGTGGCCAACAGGATTCCGAACCACGGGTGGAAGGCCTCGAATATCTCATCGGCAGATCGATTCTTGAGAGAGTCCGTCATCTCTGGAAACCCTCCGCTAAGCTGCAAATATGTCTTCTCACAGCGACTAAGGGTATAGACGGCCTCGCGCCAATTGATGTAGCCCTTGTCGGTCAGGTTGTATATGGTTAGGTCAGGCTTGCCCATGTGGTCTAAACGGTGTTGATTAGTGCGTTGCTCCATGCAAAAGACGTTGGCCGGGCGGGATAGGGGGTGAAGAGAGGGGATGTAACAACATACTAATGACGAACGTGGTCTTTTCATCCTCGGGGACGTCTTCGTGAGCGCGACTAATGAGCTCGACGAGCTCATCAAGTTGTTTCTTTCCTCTTCGGTGTTGGTCCACTCCAACCTCGAATGCAAAGCCCCGCTTTCCAAGATACTTGATGCCTTCCACAAACTTGGCCGTGAGCATGGTCCCGTGAGGCTTATCTTGCAAAAGATACCGGAAGCCCTTGACCTTGGCCCACGCCTCGCCGGCCGCCTCCTGGACCTTTTCCAGATATTTTTCCAGCGCTGCCGCTCCGCTTGGGACGGGAGCCCACGGGATGATAGCCAGACACCTCCTGGCGTCCTGGGGGTGAAATTCTCGCCCTCCCGCGGGTTTCCCGTCGCCACTCTGCTCATCCACTCAACCTCTACAAGGGGATACTTCCATCCATCCTCGCTGAGAGACTGCTTCCGGTCAGCCTCGACAAGGATGTAACCCTTCAACGCCTTGCAAGCGCTCGCGGCCTCTTTGTACTCGGCCACGGAATGCTCGCTTGCGAGGGGTGGTCCGGCTTGAGCCAAGCCAAAGTGGGCATCTCTGCCTCTGGGTAGAGGTGGATGTGGGAGTCAATGACCGGGACTGCTGCCATTTTGGGAACTGTGATGGCTTGCTGAACCTCTTTTCCGAGTAGATCAACTTCTCTAGTGGATTCGGGTAGGAAATGCGTCGGCAACGGTGGCGAGTTGATGCTAGCACTGACGGCGATACGATACTAATGCTTGCTGGTAAGGAAAGGCTCGTCAAAGGCTGGGCAGCTATTAGGTGGATGAGGGGTTGAGATACTAGTGGGATTCTGGAGACGAGACGAGGTTGTGGTGTGGATATTGCAGCCTCAAACTCGATCAAGCTCGAATAGTCTTTTGTGGAAAGGGTGAATGATTGTCAAATTGTCCCTCGATGCTAATTCCTTGGAATAGAACTCGCTTCAAATGGGGTTAAACATGAATACTAGGGGAGGAGCAAGGGGTTGACCGTGAACGAGTGCTCCTCCACTGGTGAACCCCACATTGATGGGATCAATGGCTGTGGATAGTCTTGACCTGGTTGGCTCCTCTGGGAGCTTTGATGAGCTCCCCGCAGGTGGCTTCGACTACCCCGCTATTCTCCCTTCCCATTTGAAGTCTTTAGTATTAGACCCCCAATTTGTCCAGGCTGTTCCATGAAGGGCAACGCTCGTCCACCTCGCGTGGGCTGGTCAGGTTTAGTACTTGGTAGAAACCGTAGTTTCTAAGGGGAGGAAAAAAGGATAGATAAATGAGAGTCCCAGAAAGGATATTTTCTTTTGTGGATATCCGGAGCCTTTCATGAAGAGATTCGATTCCCCATCATCCTGCCACTACTTGGTCGCACATCGAGAGGCAACCCCGCCATCAATTGATGCCACCAGCTAGCAACGCGATCAATGCGAAGGGGAGGAGACGTGGTATTACATCGAAGCCATTGATGTAACCTACTGACACTGGCCCTGTATAGCCTAGGACTAGGCTTGGAGTTAATTGCCTAGTTCCCGGATACCGCCAGCTTGAAGACAGTATGCTCCACTGCGGGAAGACGTATCTTTATCTCGCTGTGCGGAGTAGAGTGGTTGCTTTCGTCCTTGAGATGTCAAGGTTGCTCGGCCACGGATGGTTGGGGCTTTTTACTTGTATCACCGAACACGGGGCCATACTGTGGTCACGAAAGCAGTACAACCAGGAGGGAATCAAGAACCCAACCTTTTGGCGGTCCTAGGTGGCACCGACTGATTGGAATCGAGTTGATGATGACTGCTGAGAATCATACATGTGTCTTCCACCCACCTCGCCAGAAATAGGAGAAGCGTAGCATCAATGCGCAAAGCATGAAGCACAGCAGCACGCCTTGGAACCACTTTGAGAAGAAGCAGGCCGCCGTACTGACGGGCTATGCGACACGACATGGGCTGTGACATCGCCTTCTAGCGAGATTCAGAGGTGTACCTCGGTAGTGAGGGCGGATTGAGAAAGTAACGAGGCAAAAAAGGAAAAAGAAAAAGAAAAAAAGAAAAAACAGGCGGAAAGGCCTCGTACAACTCCTCTAGTACAGGTACGAGCTCGGCCTCCATGCATCTGGACAAGAGTCGATTCGCTACGCTCGAGCTGGCAATTGCTGAGCTGAGAGGATCTCCCCTTACAGGGCTTGCCACGTTCGAAAATTATTCGTAATAAGAGGCCCAGCTTTGGATGATGCCAGCATTGACCCTTCAGCTGTAGAAAGAGTCCAGGGCCATTTAAATCTATATATGGCAACCTCGTTCCATTTGGGTGATTCCAGTGACTTGGCTCCCCTGCTGCTTGCCATTCGCCTGGGGACTGAGACAATTTGCAGGAATATGAACTGGCCCTCGCCAAAGGAGCCGGAGGGGTGAGCGCAGCCGATCCTGGGCGAATCCATCATGGACCGCTATGCGGGCCGGGGGTTTCCTATGACTGGCATCGCCGGGAGCCCCGTTCCAGCCTGGCAGCGGGTGCTGAATGAATTGATCCATCACACACGGCGAAGTCCGTGCGAAGAACCGGGGACAGGACTACAGGCTTAGAAATGGTGAACTCATGACAGACATTCATCGATCAATTGGAATAACAAATGAACGAAGCGCCCACGAGCGGAAACGGACAGAGGAAATAAGAGGGCGTTGGGCCCGCCCGTCGAAGCAGCAAGGTCGACCGAGGGCCAATACCGAGGTTGAGGCTGCTGGGTGACTGCGGGCGTCTTTTTCTGTTTCGACTCCGCTCCGCCGCCTCTGGAGAGCATCAATGGGCAGCCAGCAAACCAAGCAAATTCCCTCCACCATTCCCTCGTCCCCCGATGAGCTGTGCTTGGAGATGTGCGCGGTTTCTGGCTTGCTGTTGGTTGCTCCTGGGCGTTGCTGATGCAGAGGCGGTGCTGAAACACTTGCTCTGGCCAGTCTGAGGCCAGACCTGACCAACCCACCAGCCCTCCATTGGCGGTATTGCCGGATCTCCAAGCACATCCAAATCAAATGGACCCATTTTATCAGCCATGGGGCCCGCAACGTATCCAACACTTGCAGAGGCGGTGGTTGGGGGCTGGCCTTCTCCGGCCAGCCACTGAAAGCACCTGCGTTGGGTGGTGCATCACCAGCTGCACTAGGTAGTCTCGGGCGAACAGTAGTGGGCGTTGGAATGAGACTAGTGGTTTGATCGGGAAATCAAACCACCAGCCATATGCAGAGTCTACAGTCGCTCTGCATCCACGCACGCACTGAGCTGGGGGTTATGAGGATCCTATTCGTCCCGCTTCGGATTGTGTGTTGAGTATTTCACGACAGCTGGTGTGGATGGCATGCTCCTTGCCCTGTCTTCGCAAGTAGGGATAAGAGTCTCCCTCGCCCTTTGAAAACTAAAATCTCGGGATGACGCAGGGCGATTCGATTTCTCCTTTCATCTTCGAATTCTCCTTTCATCATCATCGCACAAGCTGTCTTGGTGAACATGGAGCACTGAGCGATTGATCCATCTTTCAAATAGGTGCTTGACACTTTGGTGAGTTTGGGTCCTTGACATTGCCTTGCAGTTTTTCATTGGCGCGGGGGCCAACTTGCAGAACCTCTGCCTCGTAAACCAATCACGAACGACGACCGTAAAGGCAGAGCCCAAAGGGGAATTAATTTTTGTTCTTTCCTTCCTTCGCTCTCAGTCTCACTCATCAGACATGCTCGAGAAAGCGAGGAAGGTGGGTGCGGTTCGTTCATTGGATGCGTCTTGGCAGATTCAGCAACGGGCGGGGCTGTCAGTCTTTCGCATGTACACCGTTCATTACCATTTACTTGACACTGTGACGACCGTCTTGGGGGCCTGCAGCATCGCAGCACAGCACCGCAGCACCGCAGCGCTGCAGCACCAGACCAGAACGCAAGGCCATGAACGGGTTCAAATGTGAGACCTTTTGCAACAAGCGTAGTGTCAAGCTGGGCAAGCGGGGGACGAAGAACGATTGATTGTCCCTATGTACTGTGGATGGTCTCGATTTGGACCGTGAATTCAAATGGGTCTTTTCTGAGGTCTCGAGCATTTGATGGTGCGGCAGTACACGCAGCACTAGAGGAAAACAGAACAACTTGCTCTTTCTTTTATCAGTATCTATTTCTCTTCTCTTCCTCTTCTTCACTTGCCGGGCGTGCTCCATACTTGGTTCCAATCAATGTAGTTCCACTCTGCTGGCTCTCGCTCTCGCTGGCTGGGAGGGTGTAGGTTTGTTTCCTTAGTTTCCGCTTCGGCTCTCCCAATTTTAGCCCGTCTCGCCTCGCAGCGCCGGATCAGTCTCCGCTCCGAGCACCTTCCGTTTTTTTCGGCGACTGCAGCTCAAATTGGCCTGCTCTATTATGCTGTGCACTCTGTGCACTCGGTAGGCTGGTCGTATCATCCGTCACCATCATCCGCGTGTCTCGCCTGTCTCGTCTTGCATGCGGTACTTGCACTATCTTGGCTTCCTTTTAGGCCGGCCACCACTTCCACGCCATCTGATCTGGTACATGTACCTCGACCACCATGCACAGTACAAATGTGCCTCCCACCTCCGTCTAAGTACACCTTGCCTCATCGGCCTTTGCGCTCCTGCCCCCAAGCCCCCAACTCTCTGCTCACTCTGGCTTGTCGTCATTCTGTCTCTTCGTACCTCCCCACTTCTCTCCCATTTCCTGTCCAGTTCCCGTTCAAGTTCCCTGCTTGCGACGACTCTCCTCCCTCCGTGAATCATATTTTGCCAGTTGCCTATCACACTTCATCTCATACCTGCACCTTTCTGGCATACCTCCAGAAAATCGACAATATCGAATCGCCAGCGTTCTTTTGATAATTTTTCTTAGTTTGGCTTTTCTTTCTCGGCTTTGCGATTCGGACCGTCCCTCTTGTCGATCGCCCCAAGTGTCGTTTGGGGGTTAAGACCGTGCACCAGCTTCCCGCTCTGTTCTGGTTCACTCCCGGCCACTGGGACTGGGTGCTTAGGATTCTAGTCTCGCCCATCGCCAGCCTTGACCTTTTCAACCTCTCAACCCTCCGTGTCCCGCTTGCTTACGACCTGCGTTCGTGGTGTTTTTCTCTTCTTCTCAAGAGCGGCCGATAGAGATTCCTTTTACTCGTCTTATTCTTCTTGCTGTATACCCCGTTTTTGCTCGCCTGTTGATGTATATATTATCGCACGTCCTCATCCCAAAGCTGCCCCAGAGACATACCCACCCCGCCCGGAATCGGCCAGCAACATCTTGGGCGCACAATCGTCCATCGCTCGCGACAGCCACAGAGCTGAGCTATGCACCCGGAAGAGCGTATATAATATTTGGGAGCGATTAGCTGATTTCGCGAGCACGCATACGATCAGCGACATGTGCTAAGGATCACGAGCCCTTCTCCCCGCCATGATTGACTCGACGCTTCGAGATCCACCGGCGCCCATGGCGCCATCGCTTCATTACGAGCGGGACCCAACTGGCGAGCTTTTGCAGCGCGGTCCATGTTTAAGAAGCACAAAGTGCTGCCTCGCCCGAGCCGGGACCATGCGTATGCTGCGTCCTCATTTGCATATGATGCTTGGCCGGCTAGGGCATCGGAGCGCGACTTAGCATCCGACCCTAGGGATTCCGGCTCTCTGGCCTCTGTTGCCTCTACATCGTCATCACATACTCTCAAGCACAAACCGCGACGCATCCACAGTGGACCCGACTTGCCTCCCACCCCCGGCTCACTCGCGGACCTCGTCGGGCAACCAGTCTGTCCTTCCTTCTAGTCCTACCTATGTTGAAAGCCCCAGCAAGACGGGCGAGCCAGCTCCTCCGAGCACACCACCGAACCAGAAAAGCCCGCCAACCCCGGACGTGACGCCTCCCCAACCCGCTTCGCGACCGAGGGCCATACGAATGCCGCTCGGCGAACGTGCGCCCTCAAAATCGACCACAACTGACTCCCGCTCCGAATCATTCAAAACTGCTCGAGAGGACCCCTTCACGTCCGAAGATGAGCCAGAGCGCGCTCAAGTCAATTTTCGTGCGCCGTCTGCTAAAACTTCGCAGAGCACTATTCGTCGCGCTGGTTCTCCCGCGGAGACCCCTCACCTGGTAGACCAGTCTCGGGAATTGAATGGGCAACGCGATGTGAAATACCAACCCGTAACAGCCAAGCCTAGATCTGGGCCACTTACTTTCGAGGGTGAGTGGAGGATGAACAGTTCTTTTACCGAGGTTGTCCAGGAGTGGGACGATAATCTCCAACGGATAGTAAAAGTGCGCAAGAGGCACACCCAGGTCGAGCCTGTGACCCCAAGGATCCGAAACGCCCTTAATTTCCACGGCGCCGAGGATAAACCAACCGCCGCCACGGACGCAACAAAAGCCATTCGCACTTTGTCGCGCCATCGGGATCGCTTGGATAGCGAGAAGCGACAGGAGAAGGAGCAGAAGCAGAAGCAGCAACAGCAACAGCAACAGCAGCATCAGAGGCAGAGACAGACCGAAAGCGTGGTCCCAGATCATGAAGGTCCTGCGTCGGCGTGGTCCCCTCTGGATCCGCAACCACCGGCGATATGCGCCGATTCTCCGGCCTGTCAATGAAGTCCACCGTGTCAGCCGTGGTCGAAGCGGTTCTCGTTGACCCGCAGGTTCCTCAGCGGAGGCGGACGCTTCGGCATGTGAAGAAGCACAAGACCTTGCGAGATTCTAACCCCAGTATCTCACCAGTAAGCTCGGCAGTCAATTCTTCGGTAGCCCTGGATGAACCTAGAAAGCGTCACTACTACTCTGACCATGTCGCGGATGCTCGACGTTATAGCTATACGTCCACCACGACTGTCCACTCTATAGTTAGCGCAAAGGCTAGGAGAGATGTCTTGAAGCAAGGTGGCATACCGGTAGTCATCGTCCCCGATCGTGGTTCGTCATGGAAACCCAAGGAACCTTCTCTCCGATCAACCAGCAGCCGGCGTACTCGGCGTAGTGCTAGCCTGAGCTCGGCACCCCCATCAGAAGCTCAGGCGATTGGCACTCCTCAACCCCCAGCCCCGGGCTCCCTCTCCTCTGAAGATAGGGGAAGAGTACCGCAACCATCAGTCGACCGTACTGACGAACGAACCATTGACTACCCCCTGTCGTGCCAAAGAGAACCTCATCCCTCTCAGCCCCGACAAGCAGAAACAACTCTAGGGCTGGCTCCCTCACAGCGGAGAGCTTAAAGGCTCACAATGCCTTGATGGAATCGCAAACACTCAAACTTGCACTGAAGAAGGCCGAGAGCAACCAAGACGTCAAGATCCACCAAACAGGACCTGGGTCAGAGGTCGCCGTGATGGAGGAGAAGCCACAAGCCGTTGATCCCCGGAAAGTCAACAACCTGATCCGCAGCAACTGCCGGATGTTACTGTCCTCCCCCTCCCGAAGCGGACGACGAGTACCATGTCCATCGCCTCAGCGTTGATCCCCATGGCGACCCTCTTTTCGGAAAGCGACTATCTATTCAGAACACTCCCTTTCGATCGCCTCGGTTGATACTTGCGGAACGTCCCACGAGGTTTCACAGGCACTCGCAATCAATATATACCCTCATCAAAATACATCCGTCGTCATGGTTGACCATGGCTCCTCAAAGCCATTGAATGGGGTGACAGATTCCGAGCGCTCTCTGTCGGTGCCAGAAAGCCGCTCGGTCGTGCTCCAAGATATACTGCCCCAACCAAGGATCACTGCCACAGCGCCGGATAGCAATGAACCGCTGACGCCGCCTCAACCACAAGGGCTAGCTGCCGAAGACGCGGATTATTCCCCTCTTCGGAATCCCCGCTCACCTCCTGAACCCCCGAGTGGACCCCCAGCAATCGCCTTCATTCCCGCAACCCCATCTGGCATGACCCCGCAGCCGAACGACAGGTGCTTTTAGGTAACTACTTCGAGGAAATGGAGAAGAAGCCGAAGCGTAGCATCTCTCTAGTCCGACGTGCCCTATCCCGCCGCCGTTATTCGGAATCCGCGGCTAGTTCGCCTCTCCGCCCCGGTTTCCTAGTTCGCAGTCTTTCCCTATCCAAGGCTGTACGCAAGGTGACGGAGCCCAACTCCTCTGTTGCTGGGAAGAACCAAAATGAGGCGGAGCCAATGTATCCTACCGAGGAATGTCCACCGGCGAACGAGCATATGCTCCACCCATTCTGGAGACCTTATTCGGACGACGGTTCAGATGATGAGGAGGACCGTTCTTACGATGGACATCCTGATGATGAGGAGCCCTACGAACGCATCTTCCGATACCCACCCATTGACAACCGGCCAAGGCGTAGCTTCAGCCAACGCCTTAAGAAGACGTTCGCTGTACTTCCCGTACAAGAACCACAGTCGCGCATTTCACACGCGGCGAGAAATTTTGATACGGACCGTCGCACCATTGGCCGAACAGCGAGCGGAAATCTGCGAGTTATCCGACGGCGCGGGAGTTTGGATTCGTTGAGACAAAGTCGTAATCTCTACGACCATCGTCCATATACCGCTCCCGAAACCCCAGAACCATCGCCCCCTTCCTTTTGGCGCGGACACTCTCGGACTAGGGCCCATGTGCGGGAGAATGGGGTCGATGAAAGACTCGATCAGCTCGACATGCCTCCTCGACGCAGGCTTTTGCCCATCTTGAGCAGCAAGCTGGGGGAATTACAGAGTCTACCCAGACGGCTTAGCGAACGGAAGAGGGAGAAGCGATCGCAGGAGCTGAGACGGAAAATCAGCTCTCCAAAAGAAGTGCGAGATGGTGTTGGGGATGTGATACGCCGACACAGCTACCGCGGGTATCACCAACAACAAAGCCATGGCCGCGATTGAATACCGAGACGTCATGTCCTTTATTGTCAACTTTTTCTTTCACGATTTACGAAGCGCGACATGTTGAGGCTGCGCCTCTCATTCTGACGTGCCAATCCACCCACGAGACTTCGCTCCACCGTTGACGCAGGAGCGCAGAGGTTGTGTGGGTGTTTTCTTGACACGCGCAACGAAGAATACGCATTATGACCCTCTGTTTCGCTTTCTTTCTTTTTCTCCCTTTTTCCCTTTTTTCCCTTGTCATTATTTTCCACTTGCAATATAAGGGTGGAAAGGTACTTGGAACTCGGTGAGGTAGATCTCGCGGCGATTTTGCACTTTGGCCGCTGCCCGCGATGACCTTCTACTTTAGCCAATCTTAGGCCTTCTGCTTCCTTTGCATTGTTTGCGTTATGTGTTCTGGTCTGGATTGTCGTCTGGAAAGTGAACGAGGTACTGTCCCAGAGTTTTTCTCTGTTTAGTTTCTTCCTTGCTCCATGTCTACGAGGAAAATCCTTTTGGTCTTGCTCTCTTTGCTTTCCATGTCATCTTTGGGTTTTATGTTCGCTTCCGCCCATAACGGGGCGGGAAAAGGGTTTGGTCGTGCTCATTGTTCAATAGTCATGACTACTGATGCTCTGGTGTTTCCTGTACTATAGAAGAAACAGTTGTGGTGAAATGAAACGTTCAAGTGAAGCCGCGCAACGCTAGGGTCCAACTTGGTCTTCAAAACACTGGCACATTTGGCGATGAGAGGTTTGGTGATGCGTTTTGAGATTCAAGGCTCATGTCTGTTTTGATTTTTTTCTTTCCCTCTAACGTTCCTCTCTCCCCCTCCATCACTGTCCCCATTTCTGTTGATTTTCCACCTCGACCCTGATTCACAGACTAGTCTTTAGTTGGTTTAGAAAATTATGACCTCTTCTGCCTTTTTGGGGACTCTTAGGAGCCGGATGTGATGATGCGACACGATGCTCAAGGCTAAGAACAAGTCGCTAGTAATTTTTCTAGTTTTACAAAGCTCATTCATACATTATTACTCCACCGACAGTTTTCTCTTTTAGGGCCGGGCTCCTCGTATCCGCCCAAGCTTTTCCACGACCGAGGGCTCCGATGCGCTTTCACCATGCGATGCGCGACACGGATCGTCTTCACCCTACCTGCCCTTTACGGCAAAGCGAGGCAAGGAGGGATGGGCGACTTCTCAGTCTAGCGTATCCTTTGCTGCTAGTCAAAACCGAGGCATCAGCGGCTGGTATCGGGATACTGTCGTATATTTATGGATTGCGTTAAAAATAGATAAGCGAAGGGGCGGGAAGGATATATGGTGAAGAATGAGCGGGTGTGTCGTGCGTCTGCACGTCTGCAGGGATGCATGCAAACGCGGTGTGTATGGATGGGAATCTGCTTCATTTCATGTCATCCCCGTGTGACTGAGACGGCCCGGGCGGCATTCCAGGGAAGCCAGGGGGAACAGAAAACCCGCCCGGAGGAGGGACTAGACCGGGAGGAAATGCGCCTGGCGGGCCGGGAACCCCTTTCCACCGGGAAGCGGGGGCATTCCGGGGATCGGGGGAAGTTGGGTAGAGCACCCGGCTGACCAGGAGGTGGTGGGAATGGGAGGCCACCGGGAAGAGGGGGAAGGGAAGACCGCCAGGGGAATAGGAGGTGCACCCGCTCCCGTGGGGAAGGGTGGTATCGGCGGGGAGTCCACCAGGGCCGGCACCAGGTACTGTCAGGAAAAGAACGGTTAGCATATGTTTAGTGTGGGAACGACGATGACTCGACAAGGAGCCATCATCATCTAGGTGGTCGATGCATCGTAAAACGTACGAGGAGGCATTCCTGGGGGAGGGAAAGGAACCGGTGCGCCACTACCACCAGAGGTGGCGAACGGCGGGGCGCGCCGCCGGGGAATGGGAAGGGCGGGAAGTTGTGATGGTGGCCGGGCTGGTTCTGGGGAAGCATCGGGTTCGCGTGGGCCTGGCCTTCGGCGGCGTAGGAGGAGGTGATGGAGTCGATGACGGACTGGGCTTTTCGTGGCCGATTTCTGGACGGAACCTGGTAAGAAGACGATGTGCGGGCGGACGGGCGTGCCGCGGGTTGCGATGGGAATACGTACGCTGGTAATAGTCTACGACATTTCGCAGGTGGTTTCGGCCGCTGTTGTGCGCCTTTCGCACGCTCATGGAGTCGTGCGTGAGGTAGACATCGCAGTAATCGCCTGTGACGGGACATCGTTAGCAAGGACGCTGCTGTGTTGCGCGGGGAGGAAGGGGCTCTCTCTCAGAGGCGTCGCGGCGGCGGAGAGCAACATACAAAAGACTATAGCGCAAACGCAGGCGAATGTTAGCATTTGGTGGTCAGCGTTCAACGGAGAGGGGGAGAAAGGGGTATGAACGCACACTTGGGCATCTTGGCTACTCGAATCTGCCCAGCGGACTCTTCAGACTACAGGGTAGTTTGATGATGGGGTATCGCGCGGGTCGGTTCCGGAAACAAGAAAAGTATTCGAGTTGAAGGAAGGGTCGTTTGCAAGGTTCTGAGTGCCGCAAGGCTGTTCTATCCACGTGATAGTGCTAAGGCGACGAGGCTTTGGACAGAGGTGGGCCATGATTGGCCAAAAGGGAAATTCTGGCCAGCAAGCCGGCGAGCTACGTGGAGGACACTAGGGTACGTACTCTGGACTTAAAGGTTACAGCTATTTCGCTGGCGAACCCTGGATTGAACTGGTACCATGTACATGCGCTAGTGTCGAACGCGACAGATGTCCATTTTCCAGCATCTCGGGCTTCATCCTTCTTCTATTCTGCCAATCCCCCTTTAACGAAGTTATCCAACCGCAAACCCTTTCATCCCGGTTGTTGATTTTTCTCTTCTTATCCCTGCCCCCCGTCCTTTCCTTTATTCCTTCTTTTTCTTTTCTTGGGCTCCCACTTCTCAGACGACGAGATGGCCCAGCGAACCTCTTTACTGCGGTTCTTCTGCAGCCTCCTTCTCCTAGCCACCTTTGGCAATGCTCTTAAATTCGAGCTCGAGGCGCGGAAAGCGGGCGATGTCCGCGAGCGATGTGTACGAAACTTCGTCGGGAGGGATACCCTGATTGTCGTGACGGCGATTGTCAGTGGCAATAAGGGCGACGGCCAGCAGGTCAACATCCAGGTACGCTTCGCACCTAAGCTCACGAGAGAACCTGCTCCCTGTCTTTCGTTTTCCTTTTCCTTGCCTTTCTTTTCCTTTACAGACTCCGTTTTCTTCGTGAAAGCAAGAAGAGTCAGCCGGATGGGAAACACTAGGAATGCTAATATTTTTCTTTCCTTCTTAAATTAGATCCGCGATTTGGTCGGAAACGAATACGGTCGTCCCAAGGACGTTGCGGGCGAAAAGCGAATCGTCTTTACCTCGCTCGCCGATGCTGCTTTCGACATCTGCTTCGAGAACATCCAAACCGGTACGACTCATCCCCTTTTTACAGCACGCTTTCATTAGTCCATCGGATACATGAATGGCGTGCCCTTTATAACTGTCGGCCCCCACTAACGTTAGCTTCCTTTGCAAAATCTACAGCCAAGAACGGTCAGCGCCTCAGCCGCGATATCGAGCTCGACGTCGACATTGGTGCCGATGCCAAGGATTGGGCCGCCATCCAGGCGAGCGAGAAGTTGAAGCCCATGGAAACCGAACTGCGCCGAATCGAAGAGCTCATTGGCGAGATCGTCAAGGAGATGGACTACCTCCGCAACCGTGAGCAGAAGCTCCGCGACACGAATGAGAGCACCAACGCCCGCGTCAGGACTTTCGGCATCGGAACTACCGCGCTGCTGATCGGTCTTTGGGCTTGGCAAATCTTCTACCTTCGTGCTTACTTCAGGTACGTCTCGCTCGGGAGGCTAAGGACAAGAACCTGCACTTTGAGGATGCCTCGTCATTGTGTAAACCATGTACACTAACCCCGTCTTTTCTTCCTACTAGGTCTAAGCATCTCATCTAAGCACACTTGGAAGGGTATACGCAGAGGTTGGCGAGAGATCTTTTTGGAGTTGTGAACCCATATATGACTATCTAGCGGAGCGTCTTAATGTGAGAAGGGCGTGGCTGCGGAAGAAGAAGCAAAAGTGGATAAGTGGTCGGCGTGGAAAACGCCCTGGCCGGCGTCCTGTCTTAGGTTGTAAAATTATCATCGGTTACGGTCAACATGACATTATCTCTAGTTGAATTGACGAATTCCATGTGAATTGAATGACTAGCCCTATAATATCTGACTCCCAAAAGTGCGAAGTGATGGCGGCTTTCGCCAATTGTTTTCTTTCTCCTTGATAGTATCTGTCAGGAATCGTGAGGCGAGGAGCAAAAAGATGGATTCAGCAGTAGGTCAATCAACGTGGATCAATCGTCCAATATTTGGGGGTGCTTGTATCATTGATATTGGTCCGTCACGGTTCATCGGCGTTCGTGATTGCGCTCGAAGTAATAAGTGGGGAGCGAAGCTCTATTAGGCCTTTGACGTAATCTTGGGCCAAGCAAAACGCAAAGTGAAAGTCACTTCTCCCCAAAAGCCTGTCCGACCCTGACCTCGGTTACTGGAGGATCGAGCCAACCGCGAGCTCTGCGCAACTGTTCCTACACAAGCTCTGGACTTCAAGCTCTCGTCTCAACAAGCAGAGAACAACATAAAATTTCTCGAACAAAAAAAACAAAACACCAACAACGAAGGGCACCAGACTCTTAATCCGCCAAAAGTAAGGCGACATCACGACCTTGAACCGGGGACGTCGCTTCTCTCTGATATTCATCCCACAAAAACGCAGGATGGCCGCCAGCGTCCGGACCCTTCAACGCTTTGCGAGGCGGTCGCTGCCCTCGCCACTCACCACTCGGCGTCTTGCCTTTTCGACAACGGCTTGCGCGAGGACTATCGAGAACCCGAGGGAGCAGTACCGCGCGTTCCAGAGGCAGGGCGAGGCCGACGAGACCCTGCGCCGGAGGTTAATCTGTTTGTCGGCCCCGACTCCCCTTCCCTCTTCTCCCGCTTCTACACGCGCCTCTGCCCGCTCAGGATCCTGAGCTGGGGGCGTAAAAAAGAAATTCCCGCTAACATGCGAGAAAACTAGACCAGTCCCGTTACCGCGGAACCCTCGAGTCCGACCTCCTCATGTCCACCTTTGCCGCCGACCACCTCCCGACCATGAACCGCGCCCAGCTCGAGGAATACGATCAGTTCCTCCTCGAAGAGGACTGGGACATTTACTACTGGGCTACCCAGGATCCCAAAGATCTCGCCTCTCTCGCCTCACGCGGCGAAGCTGCCACCTCCCCATCCTCCTCCTCGGCCGCATCCACTCCCGCCGGCCAGCCCGCGGCTACCGAAGACTCATACAAGCGGGAACCCGTCCCCGGCGAATGGGCCCGCATAGCGGGTAACTTTGAAGCTGGGTACAGGCCCGTTCCCGAACGTTGGCGGGACACGGAGCTGCTAAGGAAGCTACGACAACACGTCCTCGACAAGTCCGCCGGCGCCGATGGCAACGGCGGCGGCGGCGGTGGAATGTCTGCCCGACCTCTGCTCTTCGGCAAAGGTACGGAGAAGGACTAGACCCCTTTGGCTTAGACAGCGCAGCTTCCGCCGAACTCTCGAATGAGACCGAGGCTGCATATTTCACGCAACAGCGCCGACAGCGTTTGCGACAGCATCGATGTAAAAACAGCGACGGAGTGTACGAGGAATGTCCGGAAATCTAAACGGACGAGTCACATCGAAGGATAAATAGACAGTCATAGACTTGGGTCAGGTCCCGGAGAGGAAATGGAAATCGGAAATGGAGGGGCAGAGGATACCACCAACTTTTGTTATCCAAGAGTCCTTGTACCGACGCCAAAAAGAAGAGAACCAGAGTGGAGGAAGAATGAGATGTATAATATTCATTTAGAAGAAAAAAACCACCTGCAAAAATGCCCGCCCCTCTCTGCGCGGTGCGCCAGTAAAAGAATGACAAGAAATCTCGTCGAAAGTCATGAACCTCATTACACCCTATCCTGCCCACCCTGGGATATCTCGCCCCACGCCTTGTGCTAAACTCAAGAAAAGAAATATAGAGAAGAACGCATGCAAAAACAAGAAAACACATGAGATGACGCAAGAAAGGGGACTGCGCCAATGGTGAAAGAGCTGCGACAGGCAGTCAGCCATAGAAAGCTCTGCTTCACCTGTCTTCTGGGGGAAGTATCCGCGAGAGGCTGCGGATCACCTCCATTATTGGCAAATCCCTCGTCCCCGACGCCCGCTTTTCTCTTTCGTCCCTTTCTTTTAACCGCGCCGCGCTGCGCTCTAATACTTGGTCCGCCTCCCGTCCCGCCGTCGTGACTCTTCTTTCAAGCTTGTGTACGCTGTCTGCCAAAACGTCTATCCTGAACTGCAGCTTCGCCTGGGCGTTTTGCATGCAGCTTGTCGTCTGTGCTTGTAGTTTCTCGAAGGAAGAATCATTCCCCGCCAGAGCCTGCAACATTCTAGCCTCGTTAGGGTCTAGAAGCGACTCGTCTGGCGGTGGAAGCTGGGAGGCGTCCTCGGTATCCTGGAACAACGGTTCGAGATCTGGCCCAACCTTTTTCAGAGAAAGCCACATCTTCTTTTGTTCTCGTAATCTATCAACCAAGGTTAGAATTGAGGCTGGCTAGCAAACGAAAGATGAAGCAAAGAAGGGGAAAAAGCAAGAAAGTAGTGAAAAGAAAGAGAGAGGGGGGCACGCTTACCTCTTTATCCTCTCTTCCAATTGTTCGATTTTGAGCGCGTGTTCGATATTCCTCGGGTTCGGCTGTTTTATAGCCTCAACAACGGGTGCGTCTTCTCGGTCGAACCAGTTGGAGAACTGTGATTTAGATTGGAAGTCCTTCAGAAGTTGGTCTTGTATCGCTCGTGCTAGGGAGAGAGGAAGGGTCAACCAAGTTAGCACAATGAAGCGAAACAAACCAAACCACAAGAAAAACTATTCCACGTTTAATGCCGCACATACCTCCTAGTATAGCTCCGGAATTCCTTGATCCCAGCGGTGGCTTTTCTGACAAGGACCTCTCGCCGCACCACGTCAGGAGCTGCTTCATTCGCCGTGGCTCCGGTAGCCCCTCCGACTCGATATGTTTGTAAAATTCAGAAGCCGAAACCTCCTTGTGCGGTAGCGCTGTGTGGCCCATGTCGATCAGGGAACTTGCTCTTCTCCCGCGGCTTCCTAAGCTGCTTCTCCTGCCCCCGGTACCGGCCTTCTTGCGCATCTCTTTATTTCGGTTGATCACGGGGTGTCACTCATTGGCAGCGCCACCTTTTGAACATCCTCGGAGTCTTCGATAGATGGTACTAGGTGTACTAGGTGCACCGGCGTGCCACCAATGATGTCCATTCGGTCGTCATCCTCCGCCGGGGCCCCATTTTGGCGCGCACGCCCTCCCCTCCTCTATCGCCGCATGCCGCGTTGCCTTCTTCTTCGTTTGCTTCTTCGGTACGGCTAACGGCGGCGGCTCATCGAATGTGTCTAAACTCGGTTTCCGTCGCGTCGATCTTCGTTTGCTGGCGACTGCCTCCGCTGCCGGCTCCTCGACTACTGCCAGACGGTGCACCTTCTCCTTGCTGGGTCGTCCCCGGCCGGGTTTTCTAGCTTGCGTCTCCGGTGCGGGCTCGGGGGTCATCCTCCACTAGATCGGCCGTTCTCGGGCGCTTCGACGCGCGCAAAAACTTGAAGTCGCCATCCTGTTCGTCGTAGAGAGCTAAAAGAGAGAAAACACCATGTTCAGCATCACCATTCCCCTCCACCTTGTGCAAAAACAGTTCGGAGTTCCCCTCACAGGGCCTTCGGACGACGTAGAGCGGCACTCGGGACTAAACCTACCTGCCAGACGCTTGCTCTTCCGCCGCTCCTGATTACTCATGCTCAGAATTTGCAGCGGCTCTCGAGTTTGTATCACAGTCGTCATGGATGCCGAAATTCGAAGTAGTACATTGATTGAACGGTAGCCTCAATTAAATCCAATCCTTCCTTTGGCAAGAAAACGCGCGAGCTTAGTTGGGAATTCGGGCCTGTTCGCTTGCTCGCTTTGTTATGCTGGTCGAATCGGCGGCAGCTCGTGGTTGGGGCCCCCTCTCTCTCACAACACGCGTTCGTGTGGGGACGAGAAGGAGGGAAAATCGGTCTTGCGTGGGCTCAGATCGCGTCGATATCAATTTGAAAATCGCGGCAGGAAATCGTAATCTAGCATTTGAGGTAAATTTCGATAGTTGTAGACGTGCGCTCGAACGTTGGGGGTCGCTATGAGGGAGATGCGCCGGGGTTACTGCTTTGACGTTGCTCTGTTTACTTCGAGGGACATCGACAAATTGGCGTTGCAAGATTTCGCCGATTTTACCGGGTCCAACACTTGCTACTTGGTAGCGCTCGCGAGTCCTTGGATTATGTAATAAGATCAAGCCACACTTTAGATGTGGGGGTTGGAGGATATGAGGTGGTGGCTGTTTTGTCACGTGACTGGTCTGCTCAGCTCCAGTCACTCCTCAGTGAGTCCCGCTGGCTTGTCTCGCATTATCGATCCAAGCATGCCTCGAATTAGTCCTTGGAATGGTTACAGCTACTCTGGGAACAGTTCCGGAATGTAGAATGTCAATTCGATGGATCCACGCTTCTGGCGACGTCACAGCCTCCAATATGATTCGTCATCCCAACAAGGCCTCTACTCCTCCCCCACTCGCACCGAAACCTTCCCACCTTCCTTTGAGGATATCAATCATGAACAAGGGCAAGCCCAGAACAAAGGCATCAACACAGGTATGGTCTTGTTGGTCGCCTAGGTTTCTTATCATAGCTTTTGCATTGAAGCCTCTTTCTTGTGTACATTGTAGCTTTTGTTTCTATGCCACATAACAAGTCCTGCCACCAAGGCACGGAAAAAATTAACAAAGAAATAAATCCAGAGCAACAACATATAAGCGAAAGCAAGTAAAAATCAAGGCAACTCCCTGATCAGAAGCCGCTAGGTCCACAAACGCCATAGATACTCCCTATCTTCGCCGGCCCTCACCCCCTTCGGACCACACAAAACAGACGAAATCCGTGTCCAGTGCCAGTAACCCTTTTGACGTGTATGCCACCCCCGCCCCACGCCCCCTGCTTCCCCGGATATGTGAACGAACAAAATGAGTAAAACATGAGTGAATGATGACGGACTCAACCAGCCACGCCACGAATTAGAAAAAGAGAACATGAAATGCGCGGGGAAATCCTCCGGAGCCCAGCAACGGTTGCCTTTTGTTACTAGTGTACAGCCTCCACTCCACTTAGGCGTAATTCGAAGGACGGAAAACAGAACAAGACGCTTGGTCATGAACAGCCAGTAGACAGCTTTAGCGTTGCCTGGCTTGGCCGTATAGATAGGACAGGATAAATAAAATAGAGAAGGGGGGATTAGGAGCGCTCATCTGTATGCGACAAGTTGTGTAACCCCTGGAAGGAATAAATGAGATGTCATGGGGTGGTAGATCTGGCATGTATAGCATCGGCTGATTTCTCAACACGAGGCTACAGCCTAGCTAAACCGCCGCTGGACGGGTTGGCCTGCCATCACAGGCTGGCCTGCCATCGGAGGGCCCGCCATGCTATAAGGATTAAGCTGGGCGCCATACGGCTCGACAACTTGCATATAAGGGCCATGCAGTGAAGCTTGCTGTTGAGTAACCGGGCAGTCTTTGTGGGCGAGAAGGAGCGTTTTCAAATTGACGACCTCCTCTCGTAGTTGGGCAATTTGAGCAGTGAGTGCTTCATTTTCATTGCTGAATAGCTCAACCTTTGACTGCAAGCTAGCAAGCCATTGCTTCTTCCTTTGGCGACATTTAAGCGCGGCCACCCTATAGATGGGGGTGTCAGTCGAGAACGATGGTACGTCAGGTCACAAGGTGGAGGAGGGTGGTGGAGAGAATATTTGAAGAAGAAAGAAGAAAAGGGGATGGGGGAAAAAACGTACCTGTTACGCTCAAGGAAGTTGCGGCGTTTCTCTTCATCTGTCATCTTGGATTTGGAGCCATTCTCATCTTGCTTATCCATATCGTCGTCGTCCGAGTCACCCTCCTCCGCACTATATGAGGGAGGGGGCAAGGCGCCGCTGCCGTTTTCGCCTTCTTCGCAGGTCCCTTAGTGACAGGCTCTTCAGCCTTTCGTCGCCCATTCGTAGTAGCAGTGCCATTGGGAAGGGCCTTTTGCCCTTGCCTCGAGTAGTTTGCCGAGACTGCTGCTGATCTTCGGAGCCGGTGCTACCAGCCTCACTCGAGCCTCGAGCCGATACAGCCGGTGCACTACTACCGTTCACCGGGGGCATCCGTGGCGAAGTATTTGTGGGGGCTGGGGGAGCAGGTGCTGGGTGGGAGTGGGTTTGTGGCTGGGAGGTAACAGGGAAGCCCGTCGGGTTTGGTGCTCCATTCCTGCCCTGTGCCAGCATGAACAATCCATTTGCTGCATCATTATCATGAGGATCAAATGGACCGCTCGCCCTGGGCTCGGCCTTCACAGGCACGGCAGGGATATTGTTTGGCATGTCAGCAGGCTGGGACGTAGGGGCTACCGGCTGGTTTTGGGCGGCATTCTGCATGTCGCGCTTCGCAGCAGCGCTGATAGCTGTGCGGTGGAACTCGAGAGTACTAGGCGTAGCGCCGCCACCAGCCAGCTGCGCCAAAAGCGCCGAGTTAGGGCTTGGCGCGGGGAACATGGAACCGCTGCCGCCGGGTGTAAGGCCCGTTCTTAATGAAGATTCGTTTGGGGTAGGGAAGCCTCCTCTGATGTGATGGGTATCCCCGAAGTAATCGGTGGTTGGCCCGGACAACATGGCCGGACTCAAAGGGCCGGTTCGGAGAGAACCACCGGGCCAGTTGAATGGGGTCACACCACCGCCAGGAAGCAGCGATGACGGGGAAGTGAGGGCGGCGACCGAGGGTAGTTTGGTGCCTCCTGGTGTCTCCGGTTGTCCGCCGCCACCAAAGGATTGCTCAAAAGGGTTCGGTTCGAGACTCAAAGATCCTCCCACCTGGCTTGAGAAATAATCAGGCGTATTGGTCTCTTGTTGTCCGGGTCGTGGAGGGGGCGCAAGTGGTTTTGACGCATCAACAGAGCCGGTGACAGCATCGGGCTTCGCAATCACATCGGATTTTTCTTCGCGTCTGAAGATGGAACTAGAAGGGAGGGATAATGGTCAGGCAAGAGATAGACGTGGAGATAGAGACCGTGTATTGAAAGAATGATGACAACTTACCTTTTTGTGACGAAGGCTCAACGTTGGACAGTTTGGGTGACTTGGAATCCGCCACTATGGAAGTGTCCCGCGAGGCCGCCATACTGGAGAAACGAAACTCTATTGAATGAGAGGAGGGCGAGCGAAGGCGAAGGGGGAGGGGGAAGAAAGAAAGAAGGGGCAACGCGCGATGACGCTGCGCAGCAAGGAGGATAAGGCTAAGACTCGATGAGGTCAGAGGTAAGACAGAGGGGGACAGCGGCTATGATGCAGATATAGAATGCGCCCGAGATCTTCGGCCAAGTCCCAATTGACGCAAGGCGCGGAAGGCCGGGATGGGGGACCAGACGGCTTCGGGTTGCAAAGGGGAAAAAAAAAGTTGCGAGATCAGTGGTGAAGAGCGGTGGCAAGACGGCGGGCAGTCTATGTGTCGTGAATATGGCGACCCTCTAGATGCGCTTCGGCATCGATAACGGGTTTTCCTATCGTTATTTTGAAGATTTTCGAAAGAAGAACGTAGAATCTATCGTGTCGATGGCTTGACTAAACTGTTGCGTTGCTGCTAGCCCTGGAGGCGGCTGGTGATTGTTGTGTTGTGATGCTGGGGGACAAGGGGGAAAATGGGCGACGTCAGTGGATGTATGACGTTGTGTGGGAAGTGAAGACTGAAAAAGGGAAGAAAGTGGTCCCGGGAAAAAACGAAGGAAAAAAGTCTTTTCCCGTCGTTCGACACAGTTTTAACCGTTATGGGACACTGTGGTGGGGTGGACACTCACACAAAGGGTGGGCAGTCCATCCGGTGGTTGAACAGGTCTCTATGGTTGGGCCATGAGGGGCATATCAACCACTAATCCTTGACACCTTCGTGTGGGACCCATACAGTGCTTGCCCTCTGCATCGGACGCGACCTCTTGGATGACGGCACGTCTATGCCTTGTCCCCTCTCCCCCAAATGACGACGTTTGGGTCCTCCCCTGGTGCTTGGGGCACACTCTGCACGGAGTACCCCAGGCTTGAGTGGGTCGCTCTCGACGCAACTTGTCGCCCAGCACAGTGCAGCGCATCGTGGAGGTTGTTCCGGTATTGTACTCCGTACGCTTACTGTCCAATGTCGAGGTACCCCGGGCCGTTTTGGCCCTCCCCTGCGTCTCAATTCGCCATCAATCAACATTTTGACGGCAACCAGTCACTAGCCGTCCTGCGATGAAAGTGATGGTTGGATCGAAGAGGAAACCATTGATCGAATCAACCTGCTGTCCTTGCCTTCCACCCATAATTCGCGAGGCTTGGCCCGTTTGGGCTCTCGAAATTTATTGAATGTTGATTGCCACGGCTTCACTACCGCCCCTCGTGGGGAGAGAAGGCGGCGAAGGTGGTTAGCCACGCCAGGGGCACCTGTCCGCCACGGCCCAAAACGCGTGGGCTGCTTCCTGGTTCGTTCACAATGGATCCATGGCCATCGATGGAGGATGACTGAGCGAGAGAACAATTTCAGAGTCATCCCACGCTCCAATGGAAACCCCGATTTCTCAACGGTGCCCGCGTCTAATTGAATGCTGTTAGCGCAGGACTTTACCACCTTTCCTGTTTTTGACTCCACAGGCCGAAGAAACCAAATGGGTTAATAACATTGAATGCTTTGGACATTCAAAGAGCGAGGCAACGCACACCACACACACACACGGATCAAGTTGCTAAGCTCCCAGTGCAGCCACTCCCGCCCGTTTTGTCACGAACCTAGCACCGCATGTGTCGTGCGAGGATCAGCCCCGATTTTGGCTATTGATACCGTTGAGGAAAGTATGGATGCCGATCTTGTTTGCCTCCCATATATTGTCGGAACTTCGTTGTGTGTCTTGTATGCCTTGTGTGTGTCTCTCTTTGCCCCCCTCCATATCTCTCTGCCGTTCTACTGTGTGGGGTCGCTTGTTCTCTCACTCTCATTCAAGAGCAGGCCCACCAGCTCAAAAGGCTCTCGAAGCTCTCGGTCTGTCAATGTCTTTCTTTTTGTCTTCCAACAACAATCGCCGACCCCCTCTTAGTATCTGACAGGGCGACTGGTTTGGCAAGGCGCCAATGAGGTTGCCACGAAACACCTCTCGCCTCCAAACAAGCAGACAGACCTTGGTGATTTTTCGAAGCCTTCTCGAATGGCGGAAAACAACTTTCTTCTTGCACTTCGTCTCGGACAACCTTCCTTCTCATCTCGTCCGTGCGCATCTGAGGTTGGTACCGAGGCGGTGGGGTACTCGCACCGTGTCCAGCCCTCATCAGGAACATGAGTTGTGATTCGCAACCAAATCAATAGAAGAAGAAAAAGTTTCTGGGTGTCGTGGGCTGACGGGGCAAAAATAGTTTGCACGCACAAAAAAGTATGTTGCAACCACGCGTTCCATGCCTCCCACGAGCCCGCTACCCAACACTTCCAACAGTTTACAGCAAGAGGGAGTCAATCCCCCCGCCTTTCAATTTAGATATTCTTTCCATCTACTTTCCCGCAGTCGGTAAATAGAAGGTGCGGGTGTTTTGTGGCATCAGATACGTCTAGCCTGGCGAAACAGAATCTACACTAGTTCAGGAGACGAGCCAAGTCACGGTACCTCGCCAGCATCATTTGTGTTCCGGGACCGAAGAATTGAATTACGAAATATGACGTAACCGCATAATATCGGACACAGTGCGCAACAGGTGGTGCCAGGTAATTCCGGCTCTCATCGTTGTACTCCGTATTATCTCTTGGATTCTTCGCGTGCGCGGAACCGACATGGTGCATGAGACAGGAGCCGTTCAGTATCACCCTTTTCCATGCAGCTCCACGTTGGCGCTTCGCTTCGTGCAGCCAATTTTTCCGTTCCTTTTCCTTCTTTTGACTCGAGCCAAGAATCGAAAAAGCTCGGTGTCGATCTCTTGTAGAAGCGTTGAGAGTGCCGTCCTCGGTATGGTTGATTTGATGGAACGGCCAGCCGTTGACAACCCCAGTTGAATCACCCACCCCGGACGGAAACCATCTATTCATTGCGGCGGTTCCTTGCTACGCTCCAATGGATCCTTCCATCCCAGCTCCCAACTTTTCAAAGTTTGTTCCTGTTTGTTTTTGTTTTTGACAGATTCGGAATCCCCGGGCCGACCGTATGAGCAAGCATACATCACACTGTTGTCCCAATTCAAAGAGCAATCTCCAGCCTCTTCTTGCGTGATCCGGCGCGTTACCCATGCAGAGAATAAAATTTTGCAGCACAGTATGGGCATTCAAAGGAAGGAAAGGGTACATTCACCAAGCTTGCACATGCGCGCTTTGGTCAAGTTCACTTCCAGATGGATGGTTTGAATTAATAATGCACTCGAAGTTTTGACGCTCCCAAGCTCCTTCTCTTGTCAAGCCAAAAGCCTCGATGATTGGCCCCCTCCCAACCTTCAGGTGGCCCAATAATCAAGATAGCCAGCCACCGTTTTTGTCGGTCCTCTACGGAACGCTTCATGGATCGACTCTCCAAGTTTAGGGGCGACCAGAAGACCGTAAATGTTTGGGCTTACAGGGCGCTAGAATGGAACCCAAAAGAGATGTACAAAATATAAAAAGAAGAAGAAAAAGGAAAAGGGAAAGTTGGAACTCGGTTGTCGCTTCCCAACGATCACCCCCTCATATAAGCCAACCCCAAGCTAACAGGAAGGGAATCAAAACTATTGAAGGCTCGAATAGCTATTGTGGCTTGTCCGGGAGGTCGCTCAAGTTATCCATTGAGACCCCAGGACACAAAGCCCCCGGCACAAGGCCAGTAGTTCGTACACCAGTGCATTCGCCAGGTCTATTCCCATGATAGCCGGGAGAGATCAAACCGGCTTACAAATGCGTCTGGCTGGGGCCGTGTTTGGTGACACGAAACCCGTGGCGTGGGGCGTGAACCCTCACGGTTGCCAAAGGGGCCAATGATCCCGAAGTCTCAAAGACAATTTCTGTCTTGTCAATAGCAAGAAGCGCACCCGTATCCTTGTGGGCGGACCCAGTATCACTCGGCCAAACGGTGACGAGCATACCCTTTTCCAAGGCTTCGGCTACCACAACGGGGTCGGTCTCGTCGATTTCACCCAAGCTCTCGCTGTACGGAGAAGAGGTGATGGTCTTGAACGCCTCGTCTCCCTGTATAGGCTTTGCTCTGCCATTCTCCCGCTTCATATCGCTAAGGTGCTTTTGAAATCTACGGATCCAGGAATATACCTTTGGATACGTTGAAGGCGAAAAGATCTCGGCGGGGAGCGCTCCCGGCAGACCAGTAAGCCAGTGAAAAGGCCAAATTGCTTCGATATCAGCCAGCCTTGGGCTACCCGTCCCAAGAACCCAGTCTCGGCCGTCCGCCAGGAGGGTGTGCTCCAAAAGATCAAAAGCACCCCTCAGCTCTTTGAGAGCATCGGCGCGGTCCTTAGTCATAGACTCCTTGCTCACCTTGAAGCCCATAAAATCCGCCCTGTCCTTGTAATAAACGGGGTCCCGTAGAAGGGGCAGGTCCGTGGGGAGAGCTTGAAAACAGTAGCCAAAGATGCCGCCGTCGATGTTGAAGGCCTGTAAGAGACGCTCGATCAAACGTTCCGCAGCTGTGGTTGCGCCGAGCTTTGGCTTAGCCGGGAAGAGCTGCTCTAATTTCTCAATGATAAGGCGAGTATCTAGATAAACATCTCGCCCGATGGAAAGGAGTGGAATCCTCCGGTAATTGATGCCAAGCCGGGCTACATCAGGCCTGGGCATGATGGGGGTTGGATCTGGCAATTCCCCGTCAGAAAAATCTCGGGCATCGACGAAGCAGCCGGGCTCTCGTGAACGAACGAATGGTCGGACTTACACATTCCGAATAGGAATCCCCTTAGCGTCAGATACCATGCTACCCTTCGCGCGTACGGCGAATAGGTGTAGTGGAAGAGGATGATCTCGGGGCTCATGTTGGACAAGGTTGCCGGCTCGAGGGTCGGTCCGTGACACCAAGTGACGTCAGGCGGGGGGACGATCAATGCCAGCCTTGATTGGGACGGTGCTCGCCCACTTTTTCAGCTGAGCTTATTTTGCACGCACAAGCAAGGCACAGCGAAAGCACTGATAAGAAAAGTTGGAGAGGAGGGCAATGGTGGTGGTCGCTTTCGTCCCTCAGCTTCTCGTCGGGTCATTGCCCGAGCACTCCCTTTATGAAGATGGCAGCTCTCCGCCAAGAATATTGACTAGCCCGCGCCCTTTTGGATGTACCTCGGCCTGCAGCCATCCACCATCCTAGCTCCGGGGGTGGGGGCAGCTATCAATGTGGGAGGAGAAAGCTTAACTTGCCAATCAAGACCCAAAAATCACAACCAGTGCTAGTAGCATGATTAATCAAACAGGGAAACCCGTGCTGCGCCATCAAGCTTCAGATGATCCGGCGCGTTTGGTTCTCTCTTTCGCGAAATAGAACAGATGCTCGTTTTTTATTAAAGGTTTGGAAATGCCATGAGTTGCCATCATGTGTCCCCCGAGGCAGGCTGCTTTCGACCCTGAGAGATCGCAATCGGGTGCTTCGTAAAGCTGGAGCCCAGTGATGTGGAGTGCATGGCGGCGTTCACATGAACAAAAACAACATTAAATTCGGCCCCGGCTTTGTGGGGCTCCGAACTAGGCTTCAGTACCGGAACGGATCGGCCGGGTTTCTCGGCAAACGACCCGTCACAGCCGGAACCTCGACCGTCCTCCTTTTTTCCCTCTCAGACACACATCCACTTCGCTCCCATTCCACATAGCACTAGCCTGAAGATACGATGGAATTGATGGAACTTGTACATGTGAGGAAAGGGTTGATTAAGCGCACAAGGCGCGGGCTAAGCCAAGGGGCCATGACGGTTTCTGGCGCCCACGACAAAGACGTCCAGGCTATCAATAAAACCCCATCTCATATACGATTCCTTTCTTTTGCTACAGCAAACTGGGAAAGCATATAGGATGGCAACCCGGGATGTCACCGCCGCCAAACCCATTTCTTAGTACCGTTTAGGTGGACGCGAAGCCAAGTGGATTTACAGGCTTATTTTAGGGAATGTCTAAGAGAGCGCCGTTCGAGTGGGGAAGCCCTTATCAAACTACTTCATGTGCTGGCACTATCATAATGCATTCTTTTTTTGACTGAGGGGCTGCGTTGGTCTGTTTTGGTGAAGCCGACCACCATGTACAAGTTATATAGTTCCTAGCACGAGCTAGAGAGCAAAGGTCATGGAAGCCCATGCCCGCCTCCCCTTATATACTTCCCTGGATGGAAGGAAGAGAGCACGAAGAGGGTGGAATGCTGTCAGTTGTGTAGATGCACCGGCTGTAAATAGCATTGAACCCATCACCATGACTACCTCAATACATAGCTTTCTTCAATCACATACCATATCTTAGATGGGAAATTAGTTCACACGAAGCAAAGCAAAGAGAATGGTGGCTCCGTCCATTAGAGACCTTGTACGCTGAATCCGCTCGAGCAACAGCCATCTGGCGGTTGAATAGGCTCTACATGTATCTCCTTTTGTCAACGCGGTCCCCAATAAACCCTTCGAAGTACGGGGTTATTGCGAGAGATCTTAGAGCTATTTCTCTTGAGTAGGGCAAGAATTACATACAACATCTATCCCTCCAGGGTTCTATATATATATTCAATAATACTCAGGACATCGGTTCCGGTCCCCTCTTGATAACATATGGGAATACCTTGGCTCTGCAAATAGATAGATATCTATATCTATATAATGGATATGAATATGAGTAGTACAACTTTTATTCAGCCTTGCAAGTCTCAAACCGAGGGGGCCTCCCTTCTCAACGAACATACCACACCCAGCTCAAATCCCCCAGATACACGTCCCTATAGATAGGGCTAGGAGTATGCTAGAACACGCGGTAAAAGGACGGAGATGTTATGAGGCATTTTGAATATTCCTTTTAGGGCGTATGTCTCTCTCACAGCATTGGGATTGTTTAGCATGTACCTGCGGCTGTGGCCCGTTCTTTCTTGCGCCTCCAAAGTCAACTTTAGAGTGAAGAGCGGCATGTTAGCATAGGAACTCTGCCCTTTCTAAATCTTTCGATCCGTAAGACGACCATACCCTAGAGCCTACCACCAAGGTCGCATTGGCATAGGAAGAGGCTGTGTTGTTATGGACATTTATAAGAAGATATAAAAGAGATGGACAACGTCGCCCTGTGGTAGCTATTTGGGAACCGTCCCGTCGAGCATATTGATATAACTCGGAGTGTTGTGAGTCACCCAGGCCTTGGCCTCTGGATATAGAATTGGTAACTTGCAGGTGTTCGAGCCATGGCAACCATATTCAGCCTCTGCCCCCGTAATCAAACCATCCACCCTCTAGGAAGCTCTGCGCATGGGATGACACCGCAACAGGTCCGCTCGTGTATTTGGAAATGAGCTCGATTTTTGATTTTGGCCCTTTTCAACTCATGGCAAGGGATGAGAAATGGGGAAGAGTCATCAACTTGGCCAGTCTTTCGCATGTGCCATCAACTTTTGAGACCTGGACGACGGTACGTCTTCAGTGTAGAGATGTGGGATACGATTGATAGAACGACAGTTGAACCCTCTGAAAAGCCATGGGATACAGTCAACTGCAAGCAATGATTGTTTAATTAGGCATGCGAAGCGGAGCTCTGCTACGCCGCTAAAAGCCATCTCGGATACCAAGTTTCTTCATCCTCGCGGCTTGCGGAGAAGATGATGGAAGCCGATGGTACCGATGACCGCTAGAACGTGCTCAAGCCAACTTGAAAGATGGGTTTTCTCATGGAGAAGGGATGACTCGGTCTTTGCATCATCTGAGGGCCCCGACCATTCTTTTGACAACCGAGACTACACGTAGACAGTGAGGCTGTAAACCGAGACGAGGGTTAACAAACACGTCCAAGGCATTCTTCAGAAAAGACAGCCGTATTGTCCAGCTAAGGCTAAGCTAAGGCGACTTCTCCCTACAGAAATGGTTATGTCATGCCCTTGTCGGTGCTGGCCTCCCCGTCTCTTCTCATCCGGAATCGGGAAACAGCTCCTTCTTCGTTGCTGGCGTTTCCGTTTGCCGCTTTGCTTTTTTCTCTCTTTCTTTTCTTCCTCTTTTTTCCTTTCTGTTTTTTCTCGGCTCCTCTCTACGTTTAAATGTCTCTAGGTGAAAGGAGGATCAAAGGAGGGCGGAGAGGGAGGGAGGGAAGCCACACAGCGCCGATTCATGCTCCGCCATAGACGAGGGCGACGTGACGGAAACCCCACGGCCGACGCATGAAAAGGCAGACTATCACGAAGGAGGAAAGAAGCTAGGTTCATGAAGGGGCAGCTTGCCCAATACCCTGGGGAGCTCTTCACCGCAAGTTCCTAAAATCTGCAGCTTTGGAAGGCTTACGCACGCTGGATGATCGCGACTGGTTGCAAATTTCCTTCGCGATTGAGTTGAAGATGATGAATGGACACAATAACATGGCCGAACGGCCAATGAAAGTGGAAGACCTCCCCTTGTTTTCTTTCATTCACAGACCCTTTCCCTCTTTTGTCTTTCTTTTTCTCTTTCTCTCTCTCTCTCTCTCTCTCCCTGTTTCTATTTTCTGTCCCCTTTATCTCTTTTTTTCAAATGGCACTCGAACTTTACAAGTAGGGGTGGGTAGCAAGAACCTGGGGAGGCCGGAAACGGCTACTCGCGCTGGACTCAACGAATCAACAGCTACCAAGCGGTTGTAAAAGGAGCTAGCACGTCGATGGAAGTTCTGCTGCGCCGCCGTGCTTGATTGAGCAAAAGGGCATTGGGAAAAGATTTTTCTGCTGGAGTTTGGCACGGACGAGAATGGGCCGTCTGCGGTTCCTGACCTCCCGGTTGATTCATTTTCCGTCATTTCAGTCATTTCAGTCATTTCAAGTTCCTTCCAGGTGGAGTCTGGCTGGTTCCTCCCAGCAGATATGGACGAGTACAATCTACCAAGTACTTTCCCTCTGGACCACTAATAAAGTAAATGTAGACGGGAGACATTGCCCAGATGGCTTTTTTCCCCTCCCCTTTCCTTCTTTTCATAATATTAAGGCACCGTCTCATGTTGGTGAGTGGGTAAAAGCTTCGGTGACGACAAGGCACTCAATCAGATTTGATCCAATTTTGTCGGCTCGAAATTCCGGTTACCGGTGAGAGAAAATCTGGGGTGGGTCCCGTTCATCCTCCGGACCGAGGTACTTCCCAGTCTTCATCTCGAACCATTGAAGGAGTCACTGTGCTTGACCGAGATGACTTGGATGGAAGGCCCTCCTCGATGCCAAGCAATGGTTCTATAAAAAAGCAACGTGATATGGTGACACTCTCGGGGAGGTAAAGCGTCGTACCTCGGTACACGACAGACCAGGACAAGTGTGTGGTGTGAGGTGGAAGAGATGCCTCAACTCAGTTGTGAGTTAGAATTCTAGTTCGTACATGTAGGGAAAAGACCGATGGAGCATGCATCTTCGAGGGTTGCGGTGTGCGGGTCGGGTGCAGAGCTCTCTCACTTCAAATATGGCAAAGTGTCAAGTGCCTGGCGAGGTATAATAACATAACACCTTTTGATTATCCCGCTCAGGGCTGTACAAGGGGCAGTCGTAAGATAGCTCCCGAGATTTGAAACGTCGACTCCCTCTGTTGCCGCTATGAGGAGAGGATAGAGCTGGACCTGAACCAGGGCGAGCGTCATTCTTAATACGTACGAGTTGTCCCAAAGAGGAAACTGACCTAGGGGGCAAGCATATGAATTGTACATTCCAGCTACTCACTCCCTTGTGCTACCAAGGTCGTTCAGAATCATCATAGCTTGCCGTGAAACGAAATTTAATGCAAATTGAGGGACGATGAAGGCGTGCTGCTTATGTCTGAGAGAGAGGGGGTGTGTGCCCATTGAACCCGGGGTTGATCGCCTCGGCGGGAACTTGGAGGTCTAGGAAAGCCTTCATTGTTCCTTGATCGTGACAGTGTATGGTTTGTGGATAAGGCATTGAAGCACACAAGCATAGTCAGTGAGGATGGGGCATATTTCCCGCTTGCGCAAAATTTTCGCCTTCTTTTAGAGAACAGCTCACGCCCAACGCCAGCTGTGCAACTTGGTCACTCTCCAGGCAGAAGCAACACTGCGCTGTTTCCCACCAATCAAATAGAAGGCTCCTCTCCGCAATATCTGATGAGGCTAACCCCACAGACGGGCGGGATTTCATGCACCCCGTACTTTGTTCTATATTATTCCAAGGTACACTGAGTGGAAGTTTCTTTCATCTCTCCATGGATCCATCTATTGGATCCATCCATTAGGTCGTTGTATGTATTACGCGCTGCTGAAAAGAAAAGAAAAAAACAAAGGAAGAAGAAGTAGAAGAAGAAGACCGGATAGATCCATCCATGGATCTATTGCAGTGTTTCGTGCAAAGGGAAGTACTGGTGCAATCCCACAAATACGCCTGTCGCACTCCGATCACGACTCACACTCGACACTCGTGTTGACAGGCAGAAGTTCTGTCTTGGTGGGTCTTCTCATCGGATGACTGGGGTCGTATCTGGGATGGCCAGGGGGATTCTGGAATTGCGCAGGGAATTGGGAGACTCCCTGTCCGGGTAAGGCCGGTAGAACATTTTGGAAACTGGGAGAGGGGAGCCGGCCCTTCTCCCTTCCCTTTTCGTCCTGTCTCAACAGGGGTATGGCCTTTGCTGGGATTACAAGGGTAGAGGGACGGGCGGTATTACCCCTAATAACCCGCCAAAAACAAGGACTGGGACAATATTGAGAGTTGAGAAGGAAAAAAAAAGAACAAGAGAAAAAGAGAAAAGAGGGTCCCTGGGCCTTTTGAGATGAGGTTCCGTGAACGCTACCTGTACTAGGCCCGACGCTTTCCCTGTCTGCCATGTTCCCTAGGTGATGACAGGAAGAGGTGAAAGCGGTCTATAACGATGGGATTGATGGGTGTCTTGAGAGCTGGGAGTGAGTGAGGCCAGACCCCTAGATCCATTGACGAAGGCTGCCGAAATCTTGACTTCGGTATCGACTTCGTCTGGGCGCCATGGTGCACCTTCTCGTAGCTCCATGGCCCTCTTTATCGCTTTCCGTACGGTGATAGATAATCCCTCGAGGCTGCTGGAGGTATATCGCACTTCACTGTACTGTTCTCGGGCAATTGTCACCTCAAAAGTTTTTGTGAGAGGCCTGTCCACCCAAGAAACTTGGCCCACCTCTCCCGTGCAAATCAACATTGAAGGAGCCTAAAGCCCAAGAGTCGGGTAGGAGTCACGGTTCAATCTGCGCGATGACTCGGTTCGTGATTTCGCTTCAACAAGATTGAACGGTAAAGAGCCTCACGCCTCATTTTTCTTTCCGTGTCATCGTGGGGACAGCGAATATGGTACGGGGAAAGAGCACTAAACGGATCCCTATGGATCCAATGGATGGAATGAATGTCTTGTGATGGGTGCTCTGGCTTTTGAACTTTTCGGTGTCTATAATACAATGTTAGGCATCAGGGTATTACGAGCTGCGAACCTGAGAGACGGGTGATATGCTAAGGAAGATTGGGACCATGGATGTTTACGTGTATTAGTGAACGCAAGATACCAAGATCCTTTTTTATTCCCTCACTAACTTCTCCATTTCATTTCACTTCTTTCCCCCGTTTTTGACCGTTTGAGGACAGCTAAAGCCTCGGGCACCTCGGTTTAGATCGAAGAGTTTTGGGCTGATGTCCCTTGACGCAACGTCTACCTTTCCTTTTAGCCCTGGCCCCGAGAGTGAGGCTTCCTAATGTCTGTGATTCGAGAGTGGTTCGGCGGAGGGGGCGACCATTTTGCATTGGCCTGGTCTTAGCCGTTCCATTTAGCGACGGAGAAGGGTGGCGAGGTTGGTGTGTCGAGACTTCCAATCAGCTGGAATTCGACAAATATCTATTCCTGACTCCGCTTGCGAGAATGTGGCACAATCACCTTTCCCTAGCGGCCTGCATATTCCCCCGGTGTTCCCCTAAGTAAGTCGGGGAAACAGAATCAAGAGAAGTGATACCATCCATGCAGGTAATCTGGGGACGGGTGTGGATTTGAATTGAATTCGGAGGGCCGCCAGGCATGTGGACTGTACGACCAAAGCAAACTGTCGCTCGCTTATTGCTTATTCACATCGATCCCATGGCGTGGATCGATTGATCTCAGGCCGTTAGGTCATGAACTTCGCAAGCAGGCATCCATAGATCCTGGGAAAGAAGCAAACAAGGAGAACCTGCCACGACCCATTCCATCTGTTCCCCATTTTAGGGCATTCCTCGAAGGACATTCTCTCACACCCACGACCCCAAAAGGTGGTACCTGCCCAATGCATCAATGCCACCGACGTCTTCCAAACTTGACCGTCACTCCACGTCTGTTTACCTCAATTCTTGTGTGCTGTGAAAGATGCACACGTCGACTGACGACGGCCCTAGCACCGTCGTGTGAGACGGATTCTCATTACTTGGGCCTATGTATGAAGCGAGAAATCCATAGGTGACTGGCCCGTGGATTAATTCCGGCTCGGTCTATCCTGAAGTCAGGTTTCGACGAGGTCTTGGTTGGAAGCCCGTATTAAAGTGTCTCTGGCCACCCATGCGACACCCTCCTTTCAATGCTCCAATGGTGTGAGGATGGCCACGGTACAAGTACACTACAGGGAGAAGGCATGAGTTCCCACTGGCATGGAATAGGGATGGAATGGATGGATCATGGATGAAAGGACGCTTGGTATCGAGTGGATCAATGGTACAGTGGAGTGGTCAAACGGTGACAGCAATATAGTGTACACCCTGGCGCACGAGAAGCGGGCTGGTCATTTCAATGTTCCTCTCAGATCCTCGTCCTTTACCTCTCATCATGCTCGGTACCACGGCGTTTGATTCCTCGTTCGCCGGGAACGGGGAGACCTCCCGTACGATCCACTCGTTGGCCCTGTCCTTTTTTCTTCTTTTTTCTTTTCTTTTTTCTTTTTCTTTTTTCCCCTTTATTCTTTATTCTTTATTCTTTTTTTTCTTCCCCTTCCCATCCCTCTTCTCCCTGTCTCGGCCACACACCCAAGCACTCAACCTCCCTACCACCCCTGTTTTCCGCTTTCCCCGGAGGTTGTACCTTCCCCAGTCCCTCCGCCCTGTCAGGTCAAGACCGACTTCCCACTTTTGAAGAAAATAATAATTTGATTATTTCGTGGTTTTAACCATCCTCCCCCGACTCATTTCCCTTTCGACGAAGAGCTTCTCTCTCTGACCTCTTCCTATATATTTCGCATACCCCCATTCTCCTACGTTCTTGTGCCGTGATACTTCAAGCCACTCTCTCATCCTCTCAAACCAAACACACGCTATAATTCGTTGCGGATACCACTCGCTCCTTCCTCCACTTACAGCCCCTCGCACCCAGCATCACGAATAAAAACCCAACGAGCCCGTCTCTCGTCGTTGTTGTCGCACTTCGAAGTTGTCCAAGTGTCGCCCTTTTCTGTTCTCTTCCTTTGACTAGTAAGTTTTGTTACCCAAATCCCCCTTTCCTATGAACAGAGCTCGTTACTCATCAGCCTCTCATCAGCTCGTCTTCAGTTCCTGCGCAACCTCTACCTCCACGCAAAATGCCGGCAAGCCAGATCGTATCACCAATCCCCATTCCTCCTCGGAGAGATGCCCACTACATGGCAACCCCCAACGACTTGTTCTCGAGCTTGAACGCTACTCTCATCTCTAAGGCCGACGATACCGATAGCCTAGGCCGAGTCATCTTAGAAAATGACTACAGCGTTCCCGCTCCACCTCCGCCCAGTCCCGTCAGTTTTGCGAATCACTGGCCCTCAACGATACGGCGTTAAACATAATGCCCATTCCCAAGCGAGCGGCTAATCGACTCGGGGTAACCATTCCATGATGAGGAAATGGAAACTGCCGATGGATGCCGAGCGCGTTGCTGGGATGGCCTCGCTACAAGTTTCTCACGTGTTGTTAGTGCGCTTTAACAGCGTCAGCGGCCTTTGCAATCAAAACGATTGTGGCCTTCTTTCTCTTTGCAGGGTTTTGTTAAGCATGTACACTTGTTTTTTCCCTATGATAAGGGCAGAGGTCCTCGACTGGCTGCGAACCTTTGTGCCGCACCGTAGTATTGCTGGGTTTTAGGCGCAGGTACAAGGGACAGGTTTTAAGGGAGTTGGTCACATAGAATCTCGAGTTTCTCTCTACGCTGGGATTGCGGACTCGATGAAGGGTCGTTTTTATCACGTCTTGATTTTGCTTCCCCGCCTCTTCATCTTACTCTATGATTACATTCCCTTGCTCTTAGAAATTGACTTTAGCAATCAAGATATCGTTTTTACAACCTACGATGTGAGCCACGGCTTCTCCCACCTTTCCTCACATGTCTGATACTCAGCCTACGCCATTTGCCATTGCTGACCCCAAATCCTATCCTCGGTATCTGGTGCCGAATTTGTCTGTATACGAGGCCACATAAGATGACCGGCACTGCACTCAGCGAAATGTGGATATAAAGTTTCATGAGCCCATATTCGCAAGCAATCAGGACGAGTAACTCAACCTCATCTATCTGAGGCTCAAGGGTAGACACTGATTACGTAGGTGTGTAATAGAATTGAAGATCATCTGGGGAAAGAAAAATGCCGAGGCTGGCTCGGGAAGGGGTTCTAGACGTGTTCGGAGGTGCTGGGGGGCCGGATCAAGCATTGATCCGGAGATTTCCCTTCCCAATTGGGAAGGTAGACGGAAGCGAAAGTCCTCTGGGAAAAAGACGGCAGAACAGCTTTCGACAGGATGGGATGATGGCGGCACCGTTGGCGGGGGATTTACGCGCTAGCGTCCAAATGGCCCGTCTGGCGTTGTGTGTGCAAACCGAGTGGGGCTTCTACTGGCAGAACGTGGATGGCGCGTGCTGAAACCCCTGGAGCACCCAGAACGGGAGCACTTTACGCGCCCCTACGCGTAAAGTCGCGCGCAACGCGTCCGTCGCCCATGACTGAAATTGCGGCTCCTGTCCATTCCCTTGCTGAGGATACGTGCTTTTCATGTATTTTATCTCACACCTCTCACAATTCTCACAACATTGATCGATTTTGACCTTCATCAACGCCCACGCACAACTTTCTCAGCATCCATCATAGCATCTCTTGCCTGTTTTCCATCAACTATATTCACCTCTTAGCCGACCGTCGTAATCCATATACCTCCCTCGAACACAACTACTTCTTTAGGGGAAACACCTGTCTCCCGTGGAAGGAGCTTCTCAGCAAACACCACAACGTCGGGAAGTTCCAACCTAGTTCCACCACAACTTAACAAGGCAAACACTAGAGATTACTTTAATCATTCAATATGCCTCGCCCTTCTCGACGATCGCAGGTCGGCCCTGCCCTTACCAGCAAAGCACCCGCCATTTCGGTTTTTACACGAGTCTCTAAAGTCTCGGCTACCGCCAACGCGAACCAGGAAAGAAGCTCCTCTCCGAGGAATATATCGCGACTGCGGGCTCTCGGAAGAGGAAGGTGTCAGCTGAAGCTTCTATCGAGGCGAGGCCCGCCGTCCAAGTATGGCCCGATTCAAAGCGGACTTGTGTGCGAGACGAGAACGCCAAGAACGTAGTTCCTACCCTGTTCCAAGACGCCGAGCAATTGAAGACCCAAAGGTCGATGTCAAGGTACCTACATCGGAAAAGAAGCGTACGCCTATTGTCTCGAGCCGTGTCGCCAAGAGCTCGAAGGCGAAGGCGAAATCTGCCACAAGATCAGCAAGCAACGCGCGCATCGACGTTCTCTTTAAAAAGGCCCAGGAAGCCGCAGAAGAAAAGAACACTCAGGAACTTCCTGCTCACCTCGCAGAGCTCGCCAGTCTCCACCGCGCCTTCCTCAAGATTATATCTCTACAGTTTGCTCACAATGGTACCAACGTCCCCGTCGACGTTCGCCTTTTGTGCCCTAACATCTCGCGCACCTGGGGCAAGCGGACTGTCACAGTGGAAGACCTTCGGATATGCATCGCAATTGAAGGTTATAATGCGGCAGGGAAACCTGAATCTGTGTCTCCATTCATCATCTCTAGCTATGGGCGTAACAAGGTTTGCATCGAGGTCGACCCCCGACTCAATGGCGCGTCCATCAATACGGATAGCTTGTGTCGACAGTTTGAGGAAAATATCCGTGCCCTTGGCGCTGAGCGAGCCGTGGAAGAGATGTCAGAGTTGGACTTCAACCTTGAGAGCCTATCTCTGGCAGATTTACCCCAGGCACCCATTGCCTCGCTCGGTTCTTCGACTGGCGTCAACCCCATGTTGGCCAAGGGCCACCGTGCCCTCACAGAGCTTAAGAATGATATTGCCGCCAGACAGCAGGAGAAGGCAAGCCAGGCCGCCGCCATCCCTACGACGAACCCGGATGGTACTAAAATCAGCCTCCTGGATCGAATTCGAATGAAGCAGCTCGCCAAGTCTCAACTCACTCTCCCGTCAGGCCCTGAGCTCCAGCGCCGCGCTGCTCTCCAGCGAGTTGAGGACATTGCTGCCACCATCTCTATGTTGACTCTGGCCAACGGTATGCCTCGTCAGGCCTTCTCTATGCCTACTATATTAGAGAAGCTCAAGGACTCCTTTCGGACGCCCATGTCATCTGAAGAGGGAGCCACCTGTCTCCGCCTGATGGCTACCGAAGTGACACCAGCATGGATCCAAATCGTCACTATCGGTGGCAAAGAGAACGTGGTTATCCAGAGAGCGCTACAACCCGTTGACCGGGTGATTAGGGAAAGAGTCGCCCAACTTTGTTCTTGAAAGGAATCAGTATTGTGGGATTGTTTATACGTGTGTGAGGAAAGTTAGGTTGGCGGTTCGAGGAGAAGTACATAAAGGCGAAGCATGCTGGAGATACCCGAGGAGTTACTTGGTCCAATCACTAGGTTTTGGAATTTTGAGCGCGCCTATTTTTGGGGGCTCATGTTTTGTTTGACTTGTTACACATGGCCAAGGCGTTGTTGCATCACCACATTTTTATCTGAAAAGTAGCGAAACAGGCGAGGAGGTATAGGCCCCATCTTGTTGTTCGCAGTACATAGAAATCAATCACCCTTGCAGGATGCCTTTGTTCCCCAACCAATACCTACGAATATGCGCTGTTCCCACCGAGTATTCAAGCTGGAAAGCGCGAGCCAAATATCAGGCAAGTCATGATGAGATACGGTGATATTCAGTCTTCTATTCGAATGAGTCTATTTGTGCTCTTGAAATCAATAAAAACGCGATACCCTATTCATTCCCATACACGTCCAAACTAACTCATGCTCTGCTCCGAGCGGGTGTATACCCTTCCTACAGTCCAGTTTAAGGAGATTCGACGCAGAACCTACGTCTGACGCCGGTTGAAAAGAGATAGTGTCGGTTGGAAGGCAAGGGCAAAAGAGTCCGGCTTTCATAAATGCGGAAGTCGCCACGCCAGAATAATTCGTTGCGCCCCCTCGGTCATTGAGACCGAGGTATTCGTATCTTCATTCTTAGAACCTCGTCTCAGCTAATCCAGGAGTTTGCTAATACCGAGCATTTCATATCTTTCCGTTGTTGTTTTTGTTTGTTTTAAATGTATTTTTACTTCTTCTTGGGGGCGAACTTGGGGGCGCCAATGTCGTTACCCCTCAGCTTGACGTTTAGAACCCTCTCCATGGCGCTGAGAATCTTCTGATCAGGTGCGGCGGTCCCTCGCTCGAAGTTAGCGATGACTGTGGGAGTGGTGTTGCACTTGGTGGCAAGATCCTTCTGAGTCATCTTGGGCTCAATCAGGGAGCGGGCTTTGGAGATGGCGGTGCCGACATCCTTGCCAACAGTGTTGGGCTTGATGATGTCGTCGGAGCGGTCGACCTTGGTCAGGCGCTGGCCCTCGACGTTGGATCCCTATAGAAAAGCGAATAGGTAAGCAAGAGAAAGTGGAAGATGGCCATAGGATAAGCCCGAAGTTCAGAGGACCGAGATAAGAAAATAGTTGGGGAGACATACTGCGGCGTTGGTAGATGCGTACTTCTTCTCGGTCGCGACGATGGCACCCTTGCGTGCAGCAGCGTTAAGAGCGCTCTTACCCCTCACGACGGTCTCGCGAGGGACGGGCTTAGGTCGAGGGGTATCCCAGTCATCCATCTTGACGGTTTTTTTTTTGTTGGTTTCGGTTGCGAGGCGTCGATAGATTCTCTCGATGAACAGTTGAGGGAGAGAGGTGGATTTGATCCGAGAAGGCGGTGTGATGTGGGGATACAGGGGCGAGCTGTCCTTTTATCTCCGAAAACGGTTCAAAGAGGATGTTGTTGTCAGGGGGAGAAAGAAAAATAAAAAAGATAATGGTCAAGCCGATGAGTGGGTGGGCGGTGTAAGCCTTTTTATTAATCGGAATGGCGCCAAAGGCTGAATTCGGCCAGTTCGAGTTCGTTGTTCCAGGTACTTTTAGACTCATCAAAGCCGTGGGGTTGGCATGCGGGCATCGGGTTCCCCTTGCACCAGGGCAGAGACACTCGTAGAATGCGATGGATTTTGCGCAGTCCAGCCAGAAGGGGAGGGTTGCGGGAGCCGTCATCGAGTGGGACCAGGCTCCATTCACTGTTATCAATGGCGGGCTCTTTCAGCTAGCGGCATTGAGGAAAGACCATCAATGATGTTGAGAGGCAATGCGGGTGGCAGGGCAGGGTGGCCGTTTGAGTCAGCCGGCGTGCTCACTCATTCTACATCATTTGTTACTATGTACATAGTTGAGCCTTCCTCAGTCAATCTGTCAGAGCTGGGCACAGCGCGAGGACAATGGCAAACAGTGGACTCTGTATTACTCAGGCCTCAAGATTTGCCTCCCTTGAGGGAAGGGGGAAAAAAAGGAAAAAAAAAGAGAAAAAAGAAAACTAAGCTCCGCCACCCACCACACAAGCACCAATGATGATTAGATAAGCCATTGATTCAAACAGGAGGTTGTCGGCTCTTGTCTCGCGCCGAAAAGTCTATTTTCGGGCTTCCCGAGTCCACTCCGGCTGCGAGAGGCGAACAGATTAGGTCGGCAAGGTCGGTCTTTCATCGACAGACATCCTGCATGTACCAGTCTCCCTTGTCGATCAAATCGATTTAAGGCTATTAATACGACATACTTTGTCAGTGTAGGGTCGCAGAGAGAGCTTGGGACCATGGATCCATCGGATCTGTGCCGCCAACATTCCTCTCGAGCAGCGAGACGCTGCGCATCGAGTTTGAGGCTCAAAGAACCAGATATCACCTTCCCCGGAAACAGGGATGTTCAAAGGATGCTTGGTTATACGATATTTCTCGATTTCAATTCTGTTTCAACCACCATTGACCCAGCGCCTTCCCTTTCATTGTACAATCCAGGAGTAAATCCTTAATTCTGTAAATCATCACCGTGATATCCGCAAACTAAACTCCAAATTACTCACACGCCCCCACACCCTCCGGCCGCCATGTCTCCATCAATATCCGAGTCCTGTCCAATCCTCGTTTACGAAGGCATATGCGTGAAAGGCTTGGCAAGATGCTCCTGGCAGAAGGGAAGCTTGCCAACAGTCCAGATCTCGGTATCCTGTAAAAATGCAGATTTTGGGGTTAATGATGCGTTCCTTTTTCTCAACTTGGACCCAGCGCATTATTGAGTTCCGGCACCCAGCTCTCGGATTGAAAGAATGGGCTTCAAACTCGCCGCTCTAAGATAGTACTTACAGGCTTCAAGTTCTTCTTCTGCTCGAGATCAAGCGACCCTCCCTTGATGGCAATAATCTCAGGCGCAGCGTCGGGATCGTGGGCGATCGGGGAGCCGCATTCGCCGCAGAAAAGACGGTGGACGGCGTTTCCAGAGGAGCCTTTACCGCTCCACTTCTTGATGGGGCCGGTGATGTTGACCTTGTCCTTGGGGAAAACGACGACAAGGGCTAGTGTGTGAGGCACGAGTCTCGCGTTAGATATCATGCATGGATTCTCGAAGCCAACATTTGAAGTCCATTGAACCTGGGGGATTCCGGATGCAGACATTATGCGACGCGAGCTCCGCGTCAACTTCACAGCAGCGCAGCCCGAGCCCCATGTGATAATGCGTGCAATTGGGTTTAGGGATCAGGAACCATCCGCGAACCGCCCGTGTCGATCGGTGAAGAAGAAAAGGAAAGAGGCTTGAGGTAATGGTAATGGTAAAGAGAGGCGAGGAATAGCAGCGCAAAAGGGACGAGGATTCGTCGACTTACAGTAGGTGGATCCGGACTGGCGCTGGCAGTCATCGCAGTGGTCGTAGCCGGTGATGATAGGTGCTTCGGCATCAACGGTGTACTTCACCTGGCCGCAAAGGCAGTGACCGGAAAAACCATGGTTGCTTGATGTGATGTGTGAAGGAGATGGAAGGGGAAGACAACAATTTGAAGTGTAAGTTAGACTTAGGCTACGTCTGTTATGTCTGAACTGTGGCTGGAGGATCGTTCGCAATCGTGAAAAGATGACTTGGTAGGCCAGACAGAAGGAAAGAAGAGCTGGCGCAAGGCTCCTTTTTATCCTTCAAACAAGAGTTTGAGTGTGTGCCCTGGAAAAGGTATCAAGAAAGGTGTGACAAAAAAGCTTCAATGTTCCTCGCTATCCCCATCCTTGCCAACTAAGACCTAGTTTTAAGATACCTTGGCCAAGCCAAGTGGGGGAGGCAAGGAGGGGAGGAGTGGAGGGGTGTGTGTAAGTAATGCTCATGTTTGATGGCGGGGTAACTCATCAAGCTTGGGAACAATTGATATGTAGTCTAGGGTGTGTGCTGCCGCTTGCCCCCTCCCCAGTGCTCCGGGCGGTGGCAAGATCAACAATAAGACCTCGAGCAGTACCCTACGCCCTAAGACACGCCCCAAGGCACGCCCCATCCCCCCTCCCCATCAATTGATCCTCCCCCGGAAAGAAGAGAGGGGAGGGCGCGGGCACGGTACGGGGAAAGGAGGGAGAAGAGAGGAGGGGTGGGTGTCAGCAAGGAATTTGATGTCCGCTATCTCTCTCCGCTGTGAGGGCATCCATCATGAATGAAAATACCTGCGGGGAATAAGTCACAGGGTGGCTAGCTAAATGAGGGGCTTGGAGAGGGAAAGCAAAATGCTTCGAAATTTGGGTTCTTCCTCTTCTTTTTAACGTGGATATAATTATCTTTTGTTTTCGTCACCATGTGTCTGCCATTTATTTTTGGGGTTGGCCGCATTAATCAAACGTTGTCGGTCCTGATATTGATGGATGGGGTCGAGTGCCCGCGCACCTAAGCCCGAACAAGATCCACGGATGGATCAACCCGTGTCAGTGCAAGGAAACTCGTTCATGCCTCGTGCTCTTGGATCTCATGAGCGCTTTACGAATGACTGGTGATACGCGAAGAGAGGATAACCTGGAATGCAAAGGCGACGATTAATCTGATCGATATCAAATATACCTCGAACCGACCCGACCCGAACATACTCCCTGTTGTTTTCAATTGTTTCCAATTCCCTGCGGACAGCCGTTCTCTTCCTTCCCCCATTCTTTTTCTACAGGTATTTTGCTGGGAAAGCGCCTGTGCGACTGACTGGGGCAAGGTTCACGGCCTTGGGCTTGGGCCTTCGTCTCGAATGATCAATTGCATGTAATACTCTCTAGATCAATTGTCAATATCAGCCAAGCCCAGTTATACACAACATTTGAAGAATATTATGGCGTGGAGCCATAATATCTCAAAGTCCCGGTTCGGCAGCTTTCTGCACGAATTTTATATCACGTCTCAATTGAGTTTAGCCTTGAATCAGACGACACTTGGAAGGCCTGAGCATTGTTGATAGCTCCGCATCTACGAGTACTATTGCGCCTCCCCGTGGCCCCCACCCAGCAAGTTCGAGCATAGGTCTGCATCGATTTGGGGCGATTGCGGACATCAATTCGTACCTCGGTAGCGGGTTTTGGAGATTGTGAAAAATCCACCTCTCGAAAGTTTCGAGTTGCCGTTCCTACTACGTCGGGGCTCCCATAACTTGGGCTGCTGTCCGTCCTGCAACCGACCAAATGACAGTCAGCTCCAACGTTGCTAAGAAAGTGCCTCTTATCACCGCTGTCTTCGAACATCCGCCCATTCCTTAGTTCTCCGATCCATAGTCTACGTTGAATGGCTTTTGTGAAGTTGCAGCCATACTCCATCCTTGTCCTATCTTGGTCCTGTCATTCGCTACGTTTTCTTCCGTCCCTCTAGGCAGGCATGCCTAGCCATGCAGATGCGAGATCTGCGATTCTTAAGAGGAGGGAGAGTGGATCAATAGTTTCCCAGTGTTAGCCCACCAGAATCAAGGCCCAAGGGGAGCATTTGAACACGAAGGAGAAGAGAAACTCGTATCTGAAAAGCAAGCGGCACAGCTTCGGGCATGGCGAGGATTTCTCCGGCAATGTAGTGCAGATAAGGACATCGCAGTCAGTACAGGAAGAGCGAGTTTGACCGAATGGAACGGGCTGTGGGACTGCGACAAATTTGTCACCCGAGGGTGTGTAGGTGTGTAGTAGAGCATCGCATTCTGAGGTGCTCTGCAGCACTTGAGAGCCAGGCACAGGAATGTGGGGAGGGGCGGGGTTGTTGAGTACGTCACTACTAGCCAGAGACCAGAGAGCTAATGCTGATGCTAACTCGAAGCATCCAAATTGACCAAGTCCAATGCGTGCAAACTGGGAAACAGTGGAAAAGGAAACACAGGCCGTTCATCTGCAGGTATCTGCGCGTGAACCCGACAAGACGCGCGTTGGAGGATGGAATTGGGGGAAATAATGGGAGAAACAATGGGGAAGCGAAGAAAAAAGAGCACATTGAAGCAGACGAAACATTTCAAGTCAAGAGAAGAGCCCTTTCCCCATCAATTCATTCATTTACTGCAGTGATTCATTGGTGGTCAACAGTGGCTAGCGCTGGACGTGTAATTTATCCCCCATGCAGCGCAAGGCGGAAGGAGCCACACACCCACGCAACGGAGAGCGGCAAGCGCGTGCAGTAGCGGATCTCAGTGAATTTGGAATTATGAATGATAGCCCCATATAATTCAGGGAATGTGGAGGTTCTGGTGTGGGGTTGTCCAGGGCTCAGCTCCCTCGTCCATCCCAACACGGTGCTGAGCTTGAAATTTGAAATACATTGGATCCAGTATCGACTGCCGACGAAGGGAGTGGCTGGGGCCAATTACTCCGTCGTGCTGTATAATACCCATATGCTAACTAGCATCGAGGGCTCAGTTCGACGACACGGATTGATCGTGGTGCACTCCCCCAATCCCGGTATCGACTTTGATCCGCCATTCAAGTGCCTCCAACCGCCTGCAACCCATAAAACACTCCTCGGCTCCTCCCCACACCTCACAATGCCGACCATTGAGAGCTAGGACCGGGTATCAAATCTGTTGTTTGAGGTTTCTATAAACAAGGCCACTTTGGGATGCTGTTCGGGATGGCCTGACCTCACTACTTGTCTAGGAAGACTTTTGCCGCAGTGATAATAGAAACGATAAATCCACGATAGATGAGTGATAGATTGGTTCATCAGATCAAGTGATGTCGTCATGGAGCGGCACCTTCGCTGCCCGAAGCCCAGCCCCATGCAAGCAAGCGCAAGCTCCGTGGGCGCGAGATGTGCCCACCCCTCCCCCACGACAGCTGACCGAGCACCTCAAGACGGCTTATTAGCCAGTGCGTAGTCGCCGAGAAGCCGACACGCTCTCTTACACCAGTCTCAACATCCCGGTGAAACTCGAGGCTTGTCATCAGCCTTCCCTGCATGCGTTGAACCAGAAGAGGGGCACCAGTCACTTTATCCTTACATGGCGCAGGTCTCTGGATAAGCGAGGATAATTCTGATACGAGCAAAGACCCCCACAGACCGGGCTCATTCGACCAAGTCACGCCCTTGATCTAGGACTCCAGTCAGATGCACCCTCGAGGGAAGAATGATCATTTCGTACCACATTCTATTCTATCTAACGGCCTGGTATGTCCAACTCCCGATATCTTCAAACCCCGAGGAGGAGCAACGATATTTCGGAGACTACCCCACTCAGAAAAGGATCAACCCATGCAGCTACGACCCAAGCAAATCCTGCCCTCAGAAGCAACCCTTCAAACCAGAGAAGTCCCAAGCTTCCCAGGGCGATGCGCTCCGCTAGGAAAAGCCTTACTACTATAGAGCGGTATGCATTTCTCTCTTTACCCGGCAGCTGCGATAACACATACCCATCCATCGATGAAAGTCGGAAGTCGCGGATATCCTCGACCGTACGATCATGGGTCGGGGATCCAGGGATATCGCTGGAACGCAAAGGGCGCTCAATACGAGCCGGCCTCCTCCGGAGGTTCCGTATTGTCGTAAAATATAAGTAATCGATCAGGTTCTCGACTTGCACTGGTGGCGGTGGCTTCTTCAGCACAAGTTGAGGGAGCAGTTCCGGGTTCGAGATGAAGATGGTCGAGCTTTCTCGAAACTCGCTGAAGAGTGCCTCAAAGTCATGTGCGTAGTGGACGAAGCGCCTATAGAATTCTGGCGTAAGGACCCTGAACTCCAACTCGGCCTCCCCACCTGGCGGGCATGCTGTGCGCGGCGACCGCATGAGTTCGACAGGCGAGTCAAATCCACTTGAATATATTTCACCACCAGTGGTGACGAGGACTGTTGCGTGAGATGGCGCAGATACTGGCGGAATATGCCCTCGAGTTGCAGCTCAGTTTCATCCGCACGCCGACCAAGGCTGGCAGCGAGAGGCTCGGGCCGATACCAAACATGAAGTTTGTGCGCAAACCAAAGCCTCGCCGCTTCCCTAACGATTCGAGGATAGGTCGCGAAACCAATCCAGCCCCATCCGATAAGAAGCTTCAGCTTTTCTAAGGGACCCATGTTTTCTGGTTCCAGTGGCGCGCCTACTGATGATAGCCTCGCCACAAGTTTGGCGTGGTTCTTGGAAGATGCCAAAGTAATCGTGGTATCGAGATGACGGAATCCCTGCAGGCCTTCCCCCACGGATCGGCTGCTATGATGGAGTACTTGCCCTTGCGGGAGTTGAATGGGGATACGTGAAAGTCTTTCTCCCAACTATTCCGGATTTTCAAAGGGGCCGGTGCTTCCTCGCGCTTCATACAACCAGCGTCTTCTGCCCCGGTGGGCGGAAGCGAGCCGCTACTTTCGCTTTGGAACTGCTGGGCCGGTAGGGTCTTATCGTGGTCTCTCGAAACCAAGTAGACCCGTCTCTCGTCAAAGGTGTTATTCACCTCACAAACCACCGCGTCTAGAGTTTTAGTTTCATCGTACAGATACCAGAAAGAAGCTGGGTTGAACGAGTAACCTAATATTCTTGGAGCCGTGATCAAGTACACGTAGGGGTATTTGCTTGGGTCAACATTCTACGAAAGGGGTGTAGTTAGCGGAAGAGTACATCGAACCTCGAGATACCTACTCACGACTTACTTCAGACCGCAGATAGGCATCAAGCTTGTCCCTCAATCCCATGGTGGCTCCCCCGACCAAGGTGGTCCTCTGGGTTTACTTGAAACCATGTCATCTGCTTCGCACCCCGCGGCGCTAGCTTGGCGAGCGGGTGCGGCGTCGGAGGCACCTCAGCAGAGAGCATCCCACCGGCCTGGCCTTTCCATGAGACCGGAATTCCTGCTACAAGGTAGGAATAGGTGAAAGCGTGCTTCTTGGGAAAGACTCTCCGGTGAGTGGTCTCACATTTTAGCAGCAGCGGCCGGCCACATTCTGTAACGGCCGGCTGTGTGCTGTCGAAGAGCAAGGCTAGGAAGCGGAGAGGCTGAAAGAAGATGATGGCGAAACCAATGGCGAGGCTAGGGAGGAGGGGAGAAATTAGGTCATAAGATGAGACAACTGTAGCCTTGTGCCTCCAACATAAGGAGACTGCAAGGAGGAGCCAGTCCAGCAGGCTACCGAATAGGGCGATGCTGGTGACGAGGGCCGGCCAGCAGTACTCCAGGACATGGGCAAGTTGACCCTCCATCTCACGTAAGGATATAGATCACCTCCGAGACCGCCTTGGGGTTGAGAAAGGCAGTCGAAACATAGAAAGGCAAACGAGGTGAAAGGCAACTAGTTCACCGCAGGAAAGAGGTTTGCGCACGTCAAGTCAATTGAGCGCCTTCGTTGAAAGACACCCTCTCGCAGGATCAACATTTCAAGCCTGGGGTCCAACCGCGTAGCCCTAGACCATTCGAAACTCGGCACCCCCACCTTTTACCGGGCGGTATTGATGTCACGGCGGGCTGGCTGGCCATGGGAAAAACGCGCTAAGGGCCCTGACCCGGAGCTCGGATGTTGCTTTTGCCGTTAGCATGGGCGACCTGGTCGAAACTCTGTATGAACCAAACCTGGCTCGACGAGGGCAGCATCAGCCCATTCTTTTTCATCGTAGCCTTGGAGGAGGAAAGAAAAATAACACGCTATACCTCGGTATTCCCCACCCTATCTATTTATGACTTCTCGATTTTTGGTTAGCAATCCCTTCGGGTTGGATAATGTTTTCCCTCACTCTTCGGGTCTTCACTCGTCATGTGCTCGAGAGCCTTTCCATGTAATCAACAGGTTCGAGGGGCCCGTGGGCAGACATCAGTTCCGTTTTAAGTCGACAACACCCCCGTTTTGCGGATGTTGAATTGGGGCTCGTGATTGGCGGTGCTATAGGGTAAAAACGAATCCATCATCGAAAATACCTCGACGTCGCAGCGCTCTCACATCCGCCAAAGTCAACTTCCATAGTACGGGCTCTGATTCTTAACACAAAACAGCCAATTTGGGAAATGTCACCGCGGACAAGAACTCTTTGACGATGCAGCACGGCGGACGCCCCGGCACCGTGGGCGGGTAGGATTTGAGATACCAGCAGTCACCCATATCACACACTGCAGAAAAAGAGCGGTCAGAAGAATCACATGGTGCATCCATGAATTGCGCCTTCTTTTTTTCTTTCAATCGTATATCCGAGGATTCAATCGTCTAGTTTTTTTTTTTTTTTTTTTTTTTACTTGGGAAGGGGAGTTTGTGTCTACCATTGCTCCCCTATTTCTCAACCTGACATTATCTGAGCTACGAGGGGCGACCTGACTTAAGGTTGGAGACCTGCAGCGGGAGGCATTACTCGTTCTCTGTGAAGAAGGGTAGTGAGCAAGGTCCGGTTGCCCATCTTTTCTTCTTCTTCTTTTTTATAACCTCCTTCCATGTTCATCCCTGCCGATGCTGAGCAGGGCGAGGTAACTACGATTTAGGGAAAGGTGCGACGGATCGATAGGAAAAAGGGTAGAAAGTGAATATATAAGGAAGGAGAGAGGTATAAGACTAAGGGGGAAAGAGAGAGTGAGAAAAATAGCCCTGTTTCGCTCCGTGTCATGGCATGATAAATAACATAAGTTCCTAGTATAAAAGAAGGTAAACAGAGCTTCGCCTGTGCTCTCCGCTTCCTCACTGAATTACAAGATATTTCTGTAACCCCTTTCCAAGCACGCCCTACTATATCAACAACGACTGCTTTATGGGTATGATCTGACGGAATGAACTACCTGTAAGGAAACTCGTCTCTTGATTCTTCGTGAAGGCGCTATCGACCCTTTACAGAAGAAAGAAGAGGTGAAATGGGGGAAAGACGGTGGTGGCTGAGAAATGGAACAAAAGAAAAGCCAATAAAAATGGCGTGAGAAGATTGCTCCTAGAAACCAAGGGAATGGGACAGGTGACGTAAAGGTGGCCATCCTAACTAATACCGCTACGCCGACGCCTCCAAACCGGAACTGGGGGCGAGAGTAAGTACAAAAGATGGATATATATAAAGAAGAGAATGAGGGGTGGGGAAGTATGAACCAGGCAGGCTTGTGGGCACATGTCCAAATGAAGCCCACGGTCGTAAATCATCTCGCACAAACTGCAAGCATCCTTGGGGTGATGTAGACATCATTTTCTCTCGCCCAAGTAAGCCTTTTGCGATGCCTGCGCCGTTACAGCAAGGGCACCTGTTCTTTTACCCAGGCTATTCAATGAAGCCAGGTTCAGAGATGCGCCGAGTAGGAGGCCGAGACACGCTAGGCCGTGCAAAACCAGGCCAAGATTGCCCTTGTGGCGATCAAAGAAACACGGCAGCAGCGAGGGTAGTCATAGAGACGGCTATAAGGGAAACAAGGCCCACACTGCTCGCTATCGCTGCTCTTCCGGACTGGGGGACGCTTCCCGTTGCGCCGCCTTGTCGCTGGCCGGTAGCGGGAGTTGGTTCCGTAGGGACCGAAGTGATGGGGCCAGCTGTCGCTAGGCCACCGGCCATGCTCAAGGTGGCAGCATCTCCGGTCACCTTTCCGAGGCCTTGCGGTCCGCTTGCTGTGTAATACAGGCCAATATCGGAGTTGCCTGGGTAGAGGTCGGACTTGACGGTCGCACCCGTGGTTACTCGTGCAGCGCTAGATTCGATCTGGGCGAAAAGGGATCTAAACGGAGCGGTAGGGGTTCCGGTACAGAGCTGCTCCGAGGCGCTGGAGAGGACGTTGTTGTAAAATGAACTCTCCCGCTCGCTCCTGTAGCCGTGTATGTAGAGGCACTTCTGGCACGCGTGCCACTCGGCGAAGAAACTTCCTTTGCACATGCACTGCGCGTGGCCGTCAAAATGAATGGGATCACCGCCCAAGGGCCAGCACATGGTCTCGATGTACTCGATGTGGGCGCAGGGGGATAGGCTCGTGAGGGGCGGGAATCGCTGGGTTGCAGATTGAAACATCAAGGCTGGCTTGACGCCGTTCGAATGGGTTACCATTGGGACTCGAGTCGATAGCGACGGCGAGGCATGCTGGGAGAATAGCCGACAGGGCAACCAATGTCTGGTACGTTGAGTGCTGCATCGTTTCGGCTCGAATAATGAGTCCTTGGGGACTGATACTGCCCCAATAGACTCGGCCACTAACCGTCCAGGCGCGCTTTGTCTTTGAGCTTCGTTGTTACGACCTCTTGTTGCTTTTCTTCTTGTTCGGAGGAGTCAAGCCTTCCTTCGGTCAAAGATGGCCTTTCGTGTCCGTGGATAAGGATGTGAGGTGACTGGCTAAAGAATTCACGGTTGATCTAGACAGGCCACGCTTGAGCGTCAGGCTCTAAAATAGACTGAGGATCTACCGGGTGGACTGGGAGATGGCGGGCGGCCGGCCTATTCGCATAACCGTCACGTACAAAGGAGGGAAGGCGAGATCGGGGCGAGCTGGGACAAAAGTGAGGCACGTCCGGAACGACACCTGGTGGGAGAAGTGTGCAACTTTTTTTCTGTCCGGCCCACGATGCCTGGCTGCGCTTGGCTGAGTGATTGTCTCGGCGGGAGACCGATTGCCTGGAGAAATAGGAGTGGGCCGACTAAGAAGATTCAAGGTTGCGGATGACGATGATCAAAAAGGACGGGAAGAGGAGGGAGCTGCCTCGGTGGGCTGGGCGTGGCTTCCTTTTCAAAGGAGGTGGGAAAGCGAAGGAAGGCGGGATCAGGGGCGTGCGGTCAAGGTACACGATGCACGAGAAACACGGTGGGCAAAGAGACATTTTCACTTTAGCGGAAAACACCATATGAGCTGTCTGCGTATAAATTAGCGACAGGTGGACGAGATCGGTGGGCAGGCCTTCGCGGGGGTGGGAGTGCGAAGGGTGGGTGTCTTGACTTACACGAGAGGCAAAAATCGGCTCCGGGGAACCTCACGACGCGCGCCCAGCCCAGAAGCCAAGAGAGTACACCCATCCCATACTCCCGTTCCGCCACATCCACACTCACGATGGAATGGTCGAGAGCAAATACAGGGCGATTGAGGAGATGGCTCGCGAAAAATTAACCAGACAAGAAACCGGACAGCTTGAGGCGAGAGCCATCAGAGCGAAACAGTGCCCCTCTCCCCATTCCCATCCCCCTTCCTCAAGGGAGAGAGGTGAAAAAGGGAGAGACAGGAGGCAAGAGAGAAGAGGGAGGGTGTGGATGTAGCGAGATGGTTCGCAGCCATCGTAGCGGGTCTTCAGGCTTTTGGAAGATGGTGTTTGCTGTAGAGTGCGGCTTCTTGGCTGTGGGAGTTTTCCCCGCGCGTGTCGGCTAATAGGTGATTGAGACGGCCAAATTCCATAGTGTCTATATAGTGGCTTTAGTAAGAGGGTTTTTGGGGAACTGGGGAGCTGCAAAGCAATAGAAGCGCGTATTATCAACACATCCATTCGAGCCGTGAATGCTACTCGTCTGCTCCGTGGCCACCTACCAGTAGGCTTCTGGGAGTGCACGGGGAAAAATAACGGAGAGGAGGGGACAGAGTGAGAAGAGATGTTGAGAGGGCCCACGTGCGCCGACTGTCGCCGAGCCACCATCCGTGACGATTTACGGTTAGAGGGCCATTGTCAACGGGCAGGGGAGTTAGGCGAAGAAAGCCAGGCGTAGCTCAAAGGGCCTGGCATGAAAAAGGATTTGCCGGTCCTTCCGCACCATCTCCAGTTCCTTGCTACTAGGCTCATCGCGAAGGAGGGGGATAAAATGGGGCGGAACACAACATGGAAGGTAAAGGGACAAAAGGCACGAGTATTTTCGAAGATCAATTGCATCGCCCATGCCCTTCCGCCGCCCGAGGGCGCCCATCCAACTTGATGGGGAAAGCTGGGATCGGTTGGGTCGGCTCTTGCCCGCGCGAGCAGTTTCTTCTTCCTGTGGCATGCGCTCGCGACCTGCTCACATGGATTGATCGACTCGAGGCTGTTGTTTCCGAGATGTTGGCTGGAACCGGCTTGGCGTTCGCTCCGCGATTCCATTGATCTACAGTTATATCAAGGTGGGGAACATGGCTTTTCTTCTTTTCTTCATTTTTTTCAGTCGTTTATTTTTTTCCCTTGGCCTCCCTTTCTTCGCCGACTTTCCGCTTCCGTACGCAACCAATTGATGAAGCCCCAGGTTGCCCAGAGCTGATCGGAATTAGAACAAGGCCGATCTTGGCTGGGGCCGCTACTGGCTAGATGGGAACCAAAATTCGGGAGAAAGGAGGGGCAAATGTCCGAAGTGAATGGAGCGCGGGTGTCTGGTGGTGTGGTGCACCGTTCTGGTTCTACATGTAGGGTGTAGGAGATGTTGGATGCTGGATGCTGGATGGCCGTGGATGTTGGATGAATGTAATGGATCCCTTCGTTTGATCGCATGTACCCAGAAGCGCGGTCCATCGAGGCTCGATGGGCTCGACTGTACATGTAATACATTGATGATCTATCCGTGATTGATTGATGACACCCAGACCGCATCCAGCCGGTAATACTTCAATGGGCCCGAGTACCGTGCTGTCCCGGAACTTCCTCAATGAGCACCAAACAAGCCCGCTGAAGAGGAGAGGGAAAGGGACAGCATGGGTAACATTGAACATTTGCGATCCATCCATCCATGGATAGATCTATTAAGTGCTAGCCAGCGGCCTGGGCCCGCAGCATCCACAATGGGGGCACAGCGGCGGGAGGAGACGGGAGGTAAGCACTCAACGGGCTAGTGTGCGGAGTGGCGGGTTCAAGTGTTGAATCTTGAGACGCTACATTAGATGTAACTAAAAAGCTGGGGGCACGAGTGTCGTTACGAAATGTCGTGGATCTGTCAATAATTGACCAGAAAACAAAGCGAAGGACCGATGCGGTGTGAGTATTAGTCCGTCGAGTCAAAGACGCGATCGTTACATGTAATTTTCAATTTTTCGAGGAGTAGAGGAGACTAAAACTAGAGGATCTGCATAGTCAACATTGAACCTCCTTGGGATATCCAATTTTGAGCACAAGGAGGCGCCGTCCTTTAGGGGGAAGGCAACGAGCACAGATCAAAGCCTCAACCGTCCAAAGTGTCGGTCAAGGTGGAAGAACGGAGCTCGAGATAGACTACGGGGATCATCATAACATGATAGGATTCTTCAATACTATTTTAGCAAAAGACATGCCTTAATGTTGCCAAGCAAACCTCAGTCGAGTCGTGCCGTGTAGCCTTGCAAGCCTTGGTGTGTCGAATTCGCGACTCGACGTTCCAGGATATTTCAGAACCCCACGCTTCAAACCCATGCTCTAGCCGATCTCTTCCCCAAGTAGACTTGAGCCTTCCGACGCCCAAGAAATTGAGGGGTCCAGCTGGCTCAGGGTCTCATTCGGAGGTTTATCAGAGAGACCATGGAAGAACAAGCGTCCATCTGTGGATGGAACTGAGCTTGACTTATGGAGGGAATGGATCCAACCACGCCGGACCTCCTTTTGACGACGGGTACTACCCCAACAGATAATAGGAAATATAGAGTATACATCCATCCAGGATATAAGGGTGTTAACCCTCCACGAAGCTCAGCTTTGCCTTGGCGATCCTTGGGCAACCAAAAGTCTGCGATATCTCTGATGCTCCATCCCCAGCGAACCCTCAACACTTCTGCGGCGGATTAGATAAGAACAACCGCGAGACACCGGTGTGGACAAAGAGGGGCCTCGTAGTTTTGGTTCCGAATGAATTCGACACAGGAATCTATCGGCTCTTCATTGTTTCGATGCTCGCGGGTCTATGGTTTGTGGGAGCCATCGTTTACAAGACATCAATCCGAGGTAGAGGTAGACGGGTCTGACGGGATGGGAGAGTGAGTATTAAGTGACAGATATCAATTCGCAAGAGTAAGAGAACAACCGTCAAAGTCTTGGCTGACTTCATCGAGCAGGGGAAGAAAGAGCTTCAACCCTCGTTTCTATCTGCTCACCCCTTCCCCATTGGTTCTACCAGTGGCTTGCCATTGGCTGTATCACAAGAACCCATCCATGATCCATGCCTACGACGACGCTCACACGCCCCTCAGTTGCATTAGATGCAATGGATCCATGGGTGATGCATTCACAAACCCGTTGATTTAGCCCCGCGAAAGACCCATGGCTGTGTTTACAAGCGCACACTCACGCTACATGTAGCTAGCGACGCTCGTTTCTCCCCACTCTCGCACTTTTCTCATTGTCCTTCCTCTTACGAATTGATCAAGATAAGAGCAATAAACAGAGGCCAACATGCTGGGGCATCGCCATTGGGTCGAGGAGGCAGGTGCTTATGACAGTATCCGTGTTCTTGCTTCGCGGAAGCGAAAGACGGCATTGAATGGCAATGGCATTTCAAGATAGAGCACTCGAGGCAGATCCCAACAAGACACCAGTGGGTAGACTGCAAGCGCAGGAGGGCAAGAAAGTTACACGGGTGGACAGCATCGCAATAATCGATACGCCCATGCCGTGAGTGCAGCGCAAGGCGTGCGAAGCGGCGCCCTGCGACTGGTGGAAAGAAGAGGAGCGAGAGGCAAGGGAAGATTTCAAAGCTCGTACAAGACGAGGCATGTGGTGTTTTAATAAAGACGGAAGGCGGAATATATATAAGTCGACAGAATGAAGAAGTCGAATTAAAAGACCTCCCCTCCTTCCCCCGCTAAAGAGACAAGGGAAAGGGAAAGGGGAAAAAGAAGAGAAAAAAAACAAATGTAGGGAAGAGGAAAGGCGGGTCAAGGGCGAAGAGAAGAAAGACCCCATCTCACATTGGGGGCCCGAGTCTCGGATTAATGAATCCAAGATGACCGGCAATATTTGCCTCACACGCTGTTTGGCTGGCCCTGGCCAAGAATCGCGCCAACCAGATTGCGGGGAAATACTCCCATCATTGATCTCTCCCGTCTCTCTTCGTCTCCCTTGCCTATTATTCTTCATTCTTTCTCGTGTTTCCCTGTCTGTTAGGCTATCCGTGGCCGTTTGCCCAGCAGCGCACCGATAGCAATATCTACATGTACATCCATATGGATCCATGGATCTTGTTTGGACTAGCATCCAATATCAGAGTGTATCAGGCCGATGCGCCTATTTCTTGATGCTAGGCACCCCGAGCGTCTCCGACAGATCCATCATCAAGTACACCCAAGGGATCTACTAGTCACGGGGCTTGTGGGCAGCAGCACCCAGTGACATTTTCCGCCTCGCCCAGTTCCTATGCACTTGTTCCGGAGTCCTTGGTTAGCTCGGCAGCTATAAGCCCGGCGTCTTGCCGTTAGGGAGGAGGGGGTTCAGCCCTCGGCTATGGAGCACAACGGGCCACAATCACCAACACTCGCGACGCCTACGCCCGCTTGTACGTTGGCTCGCTCGCCATTGACGCGCCTGTGAGGGTGGTTTGTGCCCGAGCCCGGACGGCATGCGATAGGACACGAGATACGGAGGAGCTGTGCAGCCAGAATGTGTACATGGGTAGGTACTCTGTGCGAAGCAGGACAACGGTTGGAATCCTTGGACGGGTTGGGATTCTGTTGTCCGAGACCCGGACTTTCTGAGTCGGGTTACACCGCCCGAGATCTGACCGAAAGGAATGGATCTATCCCTTCCTTCAACCGTTGTGCTTCTGAATGTGTCGTTGACCTTGGTTCATGGGCGGCAGTACTTCGTAGGGTTGGGCGGCTCGCCACGAACGCGCGTCCGAGGGGGAGGGGGAACTTTGGAAAAAGAAGGGAGAAGCTAAAAAGAAACAGATAAAACCGCAATTCCTTTACCCCATCTTGTCGATGCGCGGAGGAGCTGCTAGCCTTGGAACAACTCTTCGCCTCGTCGACTTGATCGAGCCCCGTCGCAAGCGCTCGTCGATCATCTGCCTCTTCTAAATTGCCAAGAGCCTTCGAGAAGCCGTTTCTTCCTGGTGCCGGTTGTTGCGCCTTATCTGAAGAAGAAAGAAACAAAGAGAAAAACCCGGGCAAATTCCGAAAGACCTTGAACCAGTCAGTTTGGTAGAAGGAAGAGACGGAGGGAGCTAGCTCTGTGGCCAACATCTGCACTGGCACTATAAGTTCTTGCCACAGCTCCTGTTTGATCTTGATAGAATTCCCCTGCTTTTTGCCTTCTCCTCTACTTCCCTATTTTAAGAGACAAGGCGCGAATAAAATGGAATCTGCAAAGAAGGCAGGGAGGAGGCAGCTGCTAAGAAAAAAATGGCCCAAAACCAGGAGCAAATGACGTGGTGTACGTAGAATCGATGCAATACCGGTGCGGAGCGGCCAACGTCTCGTCGGACCTATCCCTAGCGGCCATACTTCCGGAGTTTTCTTCGCGGGAAGAGGGAAGTGATCTCTACGCGCAAGTGCCGGCGGCGCTCATCTCGCTCTTATCTCGGTAACACCTTTGCAATGAATCCTTGACCTGTCAAACGAAAAGCGAGCGTTGCCAAGAACGAAACATTGATATCACAAAAAGAACCTTTTGCCTCTTCCCCACTCCTCCCTTTTTTTTCTTCCCTCCCTGCTTATGTTCTCTTTCGTCCAAGCGAGGATGTGGTGGCAAAACAAGGAAACGAAGAAATTATATGGAAAAGGAAAGAGAGAATAGAAACCGGAGCTGATATTTCGCCGACTGAAAGCGAGTCGGAGCATAATACGCGAAAGGTTACAACCCGCCGGCTCCAACATGCGAATGGTCTCGTGCTTATTGGGCGTTTAGGTCTTATCAAAGTATCAGAAAGTGCCTTGTTACTTCGTAGTACGGGGACGCGGCGTGCGGGGGTTGGGCTGGGTTCGGATGGTTGTTTCGGAGCAATGCAACGTGGGCACGGAGTGGTATCAATTCAATATTACATTGATCAATGTATGTAAGTTGGGCCCATAAGTTCATCAATCATCTCATATACTTGAAGGCTCCACCACTGCGAGAATATGTATGAGTTCGTAAAACGCCGTACTCCAGCCAGGGTGGTTCAAAAGTCCACCTTGCCCAAAAACAACCCAAATCTAAGTAGAAGTCTTGGCTTTTGGCCGAAAGATTCCGTTTACTACGGCCTCTCAAAACTTCAACGCGAACAAGGTGATGGGGGAGAAGCTGAGCGGAAGAGCAACTCCTCGACCACGACCGTGTTAGACTCCTCCCCCGCGCCCCCCTCGCCGCGATCCCAGGCCCACGCTTCCCGGGCCCGTGGCCAGCGCGAGCAAGATGAACGCGTTATGCCCAGCTCAAGTGCAAAACACCAAACAGGCCTGCTGCTACAACTAGTCCGGCGAGGGAACCGGCCTTTGTCGAGGCAGCAGAGTCGGGGAGTTGCTTCTGGACACGACTTGTTTCGGTCGGGGACGCTAGCGTACAGCTTGCTGTTCCGCACGAGTATCCGTCCGGGCAACATCCCGCCACCGGTCCACCTTCATCCCCGCACATGAACCACCCGTTCGCACATGTCGCCGAATTAGACGCTGGCACGTCGGCGACAGGGACAGCAATGGTGACTCCATTGTTGATGATCGTAGTCATTGGTGTTGGCGGGCATGACGTCTCTTTGCAATCCCGGCCGGTCTGGCAACAGCCACCCCCAGCTCGGGCAAGGCAGGCGTAAAACCCCGTGGGGCAGAAGGCGCCGGGGATGGTTGTGATATCCGCATCGTCCGTCTCGCTGAGGGTTGGACGAAATGGAGCACCGGCTCCTCCCGTGGTTGATTCGGACTTGGTAACAACCCGCGTCGTCGTCCGAGTGACGGGATCAGGGTTGTTCGTCACCGTCGTCACAATCGTGACTACCACGGTTGACGGCGAGCCATCAACAATCGTCGTAGCGGTGGTGGTGAGAGTGGTCCCTGAAGGTCCAGAGTCGGAGGGGAAGGGAGAACGCCTGGCTCTGCGTGTTAGCTACTAGTGCTTTGGTTCTATCGGGACTCGGTCTGCTCTTACACCCAAGCCCTTTGCATATGTATCCGGCGATGCAACATCCTCCCCCAAGGTCCGCCGGACAAGTGACTGCTGTAGAGGGACACGCGCCCACGCCTCCACTGCAATCTATGCCGTTTGGGCAACATGCGACGTTCCCCACCGTCGAGTCGTCCACTTTGACGCACTCTTCTTCCGCAAAGCAGCACTTGTTGGGGAACCCTATCTTGGAGCAGCTGGCCATGTTCGACGGGCAAGATTCCCGTTTTTGCAAAATATGCAGCACTTCTGCCGCTCGCCTTAGCCCACTCCGCTCCTCCGCTTCTTCGTGGGTCTTGAAGACGGGTCTGAAGAAGCCGTTGTCGCCTCGTTTCACGAGTTCGTCGTCTCGCGCTAACCGCGCGGCCAGGGCGGCTTCTCGGGGGATAGCGGCGCCTCATCGTATGTGGAGGCGGAATCGAATGCCACATATTCGGGGAAGAACTTGGCACCGCTGTCAGGCGGCATCTTTCGAATTGCCGTCGGAAGCTGATCTAGGCCTTGTGCTGTGACGTGCGATACGACGAGGAGTAGCAGGGCGGGGGCAGCCCCAGGAGTTTGTTGTATAAATTCATGGTTGGGGTGTTTTTGTGCGGTTTCCTCCTCTCTTTTTCTTTTCCTAAATCGAGGGCGACTATTCAATTGGCGAGGTTATATCAAACGATTATTTCGAGAGCTATGAGGTGTAAAATAGAGCAGTGTCGTGCAGACCGTAAGCTGGGCGACTGGGCTGGCTGGGCTGACGGAGGTTTGGTTGCTGTGGCAGGTGGCTTGAGTCGAAGTAAACAAAAAAGGTGGGCATGAAAGGCGGATATGAACCCGATGACTCAGCAATCCAACGACGGTCTTCGAGAAGCACCGGCGGATTTTGATCGAGACGCCTTCCAGGTCTGACGAAACTCTGAAAAGATGAAAAATGTTCTTGCTTGAATATTATTTCTAGGAATATAGGCCGATAGATTCTTCGGGCGACGGAGGAAAAAAAGAAGAAAGAAGAAAAAAAAAGAAAAAGAAGAAATCCACGAACGTGGATTATCATCGACCCCGACAGGATTCGAACCTGCAATCTTTAGAGAAATTCCAACCGACATCTAACGCCTTACCATTAGGCCACAAGGCCAGCGAATACAAGAAGTGGGCACCAAACAAGACCAAGAGCCTATGTTCCGTAGCAATTGTGTGCCAGGCTTCTGGAGACTAGCAACGAACCAATATATAGTTTGGGACGGACGTTCTAATAAGCCTACGGAGATGGTTTGTATTGGGAAATTAGTCCTTCCCCGAGCCATGCCTCCAAAAGAGAACAGTGAAGCGTGTCAGCACTTTGATTCATTCACCGAGAAGGCCAAGACAGGTCTCCGATTAAGGTTTGACGGTGTTTAAGAGATAGGTACGGTATGATATACAGTTCATATTGCAGTCAGCTACGCTCGCGCTACCAAGAGTGTGTCTATCTAGTAATACATCATGTTATTGTACAAAGTGGTATACAGCGCGGCCCATATCGACCGGCATATATGTCTAAAAGAGACCTTCCTCTTCTCCACCCGCCGCAGTCGGCTTCTTTTCGCCTGCATCGCTTGCGCTCTCGCCCTCTTGGGCTTCTTCAACGTCTGCTGATGGGGCAGGCGAGTCCCGTTGGAGTTGCCTCATTTTAAGGAAAGCGTTACAAAGGATACCACCAGCAACACTGACATTGAGAGAGTCAACAGACGTCTTGGAGGTGATACCCGGCACCGAGACTTCAAAGTCGGCTTCCCGCCGAAGCGCCCAAGGCAAGCCTTGGCCCTCGCTCCCGAGAACGAGGATACAGGGGGCCTCGCTCAGCGGGTTCTGCTCCTCCACCTGCTCCACGGTGACCTTCCTCGCATCCTTTCTCGAGGTCAGGAGCGGCGGCATAAGTGCGCCAGCCCGCCTCTTTCGATGCAGTGATGAAGTCGATGGCGGACTCGACAGAAAGAAGCGGGATTTCCTCCACAGCTCCTGCGGAAGCCTTGAGCACTACAGGCGTAACGCTTGCCGATCCATGTTTGGAAATAGCAACAGCACTAACACCCAGGAACCGGGCAGTCCGAAGCAGACCGCCCATGTTTCCGGGATCAAGAACTTCGTTTAAAAATAGAACCAAAGGCTTCTGGTGCTTTCGGTTTGGGTAGTGCAGTATTGCGTTGCTTCCATTGATGGCCTCCTCTTCTGCTGACTGTCGGGCGAGCGTGACGGCAAACGCGGGCTTCCATGGGTTACCGATTAATGGGCCCAGGGAGGAAACTGGCAACTGAGGAAGTGGCGAGGCCTCTAGTACGTAGCCGTTGTGAGGTCGGCCACCGCTCATTTTATCCATAAGCGCCTTCCCTTCCTCCTTGACAATGGTGACAGGGACGCGCTTGGCCTTGACAAGCCCTTTGAGGGACTCGCGATCCTGTTCGCGTTTCTCGCCCTCCAAGACGTAGAGATGGTAGAATTTTCGCTTCCCCATCGCCAACGCAGCGCTGACAACCGATTTGCCAAACAAGAACTGCGACGCTGCAGTAGTGTACCTCACCGAGATGGGGTGTATATTTTTCTTGGGCCTCTCTGCCTCATCCCGCCCTCGAGCTCCGCGCCGTCCTCGGTATTTTCGGCATCTAAACGACGTCGCTGATCTAAACGAGGTTGCTGATCTGAACGAGGTCGCTGATCTGAACGAGGTCGCTGATCTGAACGAGGTCGCTCATCTGAACGAGGTCGCTGATCTGAACGAGGCCGCTGATCTGAACGAGGCTGCTGACGAGAGTCCGGGCCTCTACGGAACGTTGCGCCTTGACGGTTGTCAGTAGCGTTGCGCGGGCTTGGAGTCTCTGTGCGATGCGGAGGGTCCCTTCGCACTGATCGAATCCGAGCCTCCTCGTGAGCTTTTTGGTTTGCTGCGAGGATCGTGTCGGCCTTTTGTTTCATATCGCCAAATTTCATCCGGTATACAAGACTGCTCTTGCCGAAAGAATATTCGGGGTTGTAGAAGCGTTTTCGTCGTGTCTGTCTTCCAGTGGAAAAGCCCGGCTCGTCGCTCACTATCGCCTGGCGCACTTCTTTCGCAGTTAGATTTCGGGATGTGTCTCGCGCATCGTTTTTCCGTCGAGGATCGGAACGCGCTGCCGGACGAGCGTGTTCGGCTCGATTGACGCGGCCGCGGGTTCGATACGCGGCAGCATCTGATCGATGAATGCCTCGATGGATGGCGGAAAGGGACGAGGCGAACGCGGCGTTTCGGGGACGGTATAGAAGGCGACTGTGGAAGGAGACGCTGGGTATGGCGTGTGCCGGAGATCGCAAAGCCGAGATCATCGCATGAGTGTTAGCGCTTGCGTGGGTGCTTGTGCAAGGGCGAGGAAGCTATAGCGCGAGATAAAGAGGTTGGGCGTATTATATCTGTTCAAAGTTTCAAAGAAATCTTAATTAGTTGGTCATTTGGGCTGTAAAAAAAAAGGGGGTTGATCGTGATAACGATGTGAAGTTCGAGTGTGCCTGTCGCAGCTTCCCAAAAAAAAAAAAAAAAATCTAGGCGAAAGAGCTAGTTGACCCTGGTCCACTTTTCAGCCGGCAGGTGTCACCCACCCCACTCGTCCCCACTGGAATGTCAGAGTTAATGAACGGACACTATATTACTTCTCGCGTGTCGTCGCGCATCGTCACGTCGAGAGCCTTACGCAAAGCTTGTCGAGCTCTCCCACCTATTCCCTACTCAAACCTTCGCCCCTTCTCCGCCCGGGAAGATTTCTTTCCAACCTCTGGCTCTAGAAAAACTGGCTTCTAAAGTCTCAGGGTTTTTCTTCTTCGTGGCCAGCTTTGCTACACCATTTATCAGCCACCAAATCACGAATGCTCGCCATTGTAGCCACGACCCCTCTAGCCTGTAACGACAGCAACCGGCGCAATGGGGGTGGAGGCGGAGGCGGAAATACTACACATTTCCAGTTCGGAAAGTCCAAGTAGCGTTGATGAAGCTTTACTGGACCAGAACCCGAGCCATATACCCACTGCGCCCCTTGCTCGGATAGAAATTGTTCTCCAGGCTCTTGCGCCCTCGATTCGCCCCGAGTACGTCGACGTCCAGAGCAAGACTGTTGAACGCGTCATAGATCAGGTGGAGGATACAGGTAATTCCAGCCTGCGGTACCGAGTAGAATTTCGGGATGGACGACATGACATCGTAAGTTGTGCCTATTCCTTCCGCATCCCTACCCGTGAGCAACCTGGGGGTGGCTAACCGGCTGTTCAATGTTAGATCTCCTTTGACGACCTTATTGGGCTTGACGGTGGCGTAGACGCACTGAATCGCTACCAATATGACTCAAACTCCGACTCGAGCCCGCGGCCCGCGAAACGAAAGAGAGTGTTCAGCCAGGTTGACGAAGAGAACGGGGGACGCTCCAAGATTTCGAAGATTCCCAAGATTCCCCAGGCTCGCTAGACTCGCAAGACTCCCAGGACTCCCGAGGCGACCATAAACTAGCGAGTGAAAGTGCTGACGAGGAGCTGTTACCAACCCGCCGAAGCTCAAGACGTACGCTGCAGTCGAAAAACCGCACCTCGCTTGGATTAGAAAACTGGCTTGTCCGAGATGAGCCAGATATGGCTAGACGGAGGCAATTACGGTCCCGAAGGCTGACGAGCCTTTCTATGGCACAAAATGAGGATGACGACCTGGATGAATTGGCAGGGGAGCACCCTCGACTGCGAATCTCCTCAAGCGACGACGATGATGACTTCCAGATTGTAAGGTCCGATCTAGCCCCGGCCCCGAAGAGAAGTCGAGCCAAAGAAAGTCTCGGCGACTGAGAACGAAAGCTTCCTCCGCCATACCCTCACGGTCTCGTGGTTCATCGATTGAGTTTGAACGCCCTCGTCGATCTGGAAGGGCCACCCGAAACACCAAAGACATGACGGATGCAGCGCCGATGGACCTAGACTCCTTCTACGTGTCAGACGACAAACCGGCTGCCGCACTAAAATCTACTTCCATAAAGGAAATCTTCAAACCTCTCCCCCAAACATCAGAATTTGTCCAGTACCATATGGTCGTGTGCGACACATGCAACCACCAAGCCTCGCTTAAGAGAGGTCCATTAATACACTGCCAAGGCTGTACTCTAAGCTTTCACAAGCCGTGTATCGGCATCCGACAAACCCGAGAGCATACGGTCACCAAGATTGGAGAGGACGATTTCGTCCTCCAGTGTAAATTTTGCGTCGGGCGTCTCCGGCCAAAAGCAAACTTTGCTCGACAGGACATGTGCCAAGCATGCAAGAAATTCGGGTCATCCTGCGCCGCCTTCTCCGAGAAGAAAACAACGAAGCAGGAGGAATCCCTGAGACAGCAGAATGAGGGTGTAGACCCGGTCACCCAGGTGGACCCCTCCTAATCAACAACTCGAATAATATCCTTTTCCGATGTGTTGGTTGTCGTCGGCCCTGGCATATTGATCATCTTCCGACCGAGCGGACTCTTGAGTCTGACCTAACCAAGATTAAAGACGAGAGGTTAAAGGAGTATTCGGTAGACTGGAAATGCAGCGAATGTTCTTCCTTAAAGAAAAAATTGATACTCTAGTCGCGTGGCGGCCAATCAACCGGGATCATCCCAAGAAAGATGGCGATCTATTCTTTACGGACGTAGCCGAAGACGACAAAGAATATCTCGTCAAATGGGATAGCCTGTCCTACGGTCACTGCGACTGGATGCCCGGAGCCTGGATTTTTGGTGTCTCTCATGGCATCATGCGTACAGCCTTCGGGAAACGAGCCCTGGAGAACAACCTCGTACGTTTCACAAAGAAAGAGGCTATCCCGGAGGAGTACCTGCGTCCAGACGTCATCCTTCAAGTGGAATATAGTCGACCCGGTGCACGTGCGGCAAGCAAAGAAGAAGAGCTTTCTCGGATATCTGATGTGTCCAACATCTATGTCAAGTTCCAAGGACTGGGCTATGATGACGTCGTTTGGGACGCACCGCCGAGCAAAGAGTCAGGGGCCATCTACGCTGCTTTTGAATCGGCGTATGTAGAGTACGTTAAGGGCCTCTATTTTCGACCAGACGCGCCCGCCCGGATGAGGGAGCGCGTTCGCGACTTTAAGGAGGCCCCTTCAAGGACAGCGTCGAGCTCGTCGACCAACCCGTTGGCTTACGTGGAAAGTTGATGAAGTACCAGCTTCAAGGAGTCAACTGGATGCTCCACCGGTATCACCAGTCTGAAAACGCCATCTTAGCAGACGAAATGGGCCTCGGCAAAACCGTTCAGGTCATCGCGCTTCTCTCTACACTGGTTTTCAAGAGCCCAAAGTGCTGGCCCTTCCTCGTCGTGGTGCCGAATTCAACATGTCCCAACTGGAGGAGAGAAATCAAGCAATGGGCTCCGGACTTGCGGGTGGTTACCTACCACGGAGGCAAGGTGGCACAAGAGCTTGCGTACAAATATGAGCTCTTCCCTAATGGCAGCAAAGACCTCAGAGCCCATGTCGTTGTCATGTCGTACGATTCCGCTCAAGACGAAAAGACACGCGGGCTCTTCAGATCTGTTCATTGGGCCGGCGTCGTTGTCGACGAGGGCCAGCGCCTCAAGAACGACAAAAACCTGCTCTATGTGGCCTTACAAGCGATGAACCTGCCGTTCAAGCTTCTCCTAACCGGGACACCACTCCAGAATAACAAACGAGAACTCTTCAACCTACTCCAGTTTGTTGATTCACAATACGACGCCGTCCGCCTGGATGAGGAGTACCAGGTCCTAACCTCGGAGAAGGTGCGCGAGCTCCACGGCATCATCAGCCCTTATTTCCTACGCCGAACGAAAGCGGGAGTTCTCAAGTTCCTGCCGGGCATGGCCCAGATCATCATTCCCGTTACACTGACGGTTCTTCAAGAGAAGCTATGCAAAAGCATCATGGCCAAAAACCCCGATCTTATTCGGGCTATTTTCTCCAACAGCAAGATAGCGACCAAGGATCGAGGGTCCCTCAATAACATTCTCATGCAGCTACGAAAATGCCTGTGCCATCCATTCATCTACTCGGAAGCAATCGAAGAGCGAGATGTCGATTCTAAGAAAATGCATCGAAATTTAGTCGAGGCCTCTGGAAAGCTGCTGCTTCTAGAGCTGATGCTCCCGAAATTGAAAGAGCAAGGGCACCGTGTGCTTATCTTCTCCCAGTTCCTATCGCAACTCGATATCATAGAAGATTTCCTGTCTGGTATGGACATGAGTTATAGAAGGCTCGACGGCGGGATGTCGAGCTTGGAGAAACAGAAGCGAATCGACGCTTTCAACGCCCCCAATTCCGACATCTTCGCCTTTTGTTGTCTACGCGAGCCGGCGGTGTCGGAATCAATCTTGCCACGGCCGACACGGTCATCATTATGGACCCCGACTTCAACCCGCACCAAGATCTGCAAGCGCTATCGCGAGCACACCGCATCGGGCAACGAGACAGGGTTCTCTGCTTCCAACTGATGACCCGCTCATCAGTCGAGGAGAAGATTATGCAAATGGGAAAGAAGAAGATGGCTCTTGACCACGCTCTGATCGAGCGAATGGACATGGAGGACGCGGGCGACGATCTGGAGGGCATCCTCAGGCACGGGGCGGAGGCTCTGTTTAACGATGACGAGAAGAAAGAAGTTATTCGATACGATGCGGCGTCCGTTGAAAAACTCTTGGACAGATCGCAAGCGGACAAGCCTGCGGAAGAGAACGGTGTCGATGAAGGAACTTTTGCGTATGCTCGAATTTTCTCCGCCGAAAAGGGTGATGTTGAAGAGACTACTTTGGAAGACTTGGACACTCCCGGGGAGCTACACCAGAGTGTCTGGGACGCTATCCTTGCCGAAAGGGAGGCCGAGGCCGAGCGGGTGCGGAAACTCAATGAGGAAACGCTGGGCCGCGGCAGCAGAAAGCGCCGGGTAAGTTGGACTAGGCCCCTAGACCGAGCGCCGAAGATGATGCACTCAGCGCGTTGTTGCTAACGGATTGCTCTAACACCGGGTAGGCGGTCAACTACCGAACGAACGCGAAGCAGGTCTTTGGGCTAGAGAATGCAGACCTGAGCGATTCAGAACATGCGGATGGCTCTATCGGCAGCGATGCCGAGCTGTACCAGGGCGAGACTAATGGCCGCATATCTTCTACAGACTCGGAGGACCCAGGGTATTCTAAGGGAGACTCTAAGGGAGACCAAGGTAACCTAACTTTTTCTTCACGTCGTCCCTCAAGCCCTGCTACGAGGCAGGCCGAGAATCCCCAGTTTAACAAAGCCAAAACGCAGAAACTCCCGCCGACAAAGAGGCGAAGGACAGGATCGAATCCGACGTCGTCGCCCAAGTCAATCATCGTGATAACGGACAGCGAGGGCGCAAGCGAGGGCGCAAGCCAAAGTCTGAGACGAGCCTGATCAAAAACGCCCAGCAGCTCCCCACCTCCAATCAAACTAGCCAAGGACACCGCCAACCCACACATACGCCGCAGGAGATAGCGCAGCTGCGGCTGCAGTATCAACAACAGCAAGAACACCGGCGACAGCAGCTGTTGCTGCAGATACAGCCAGAGGGAGGGCAGCAAGGGCCCGGCATCGTCGCGTCCAACGGTCCCCCGGATATGGTGGTGGCTACGGAGACGCGGCGGTCCATGTATTATTTCCACGCCTGCTTGGCCTCAAGGACGGTCAATCTCCCCGACCGAGCAATGCACCTCAGTTGCGCTCCAGTCACCCGCGGCCGTCTTCCTATCCCACCCAAGCGGAGCTTATACGCAGCGCCCTGAATGGGCAATCTGGGTTTGTCATGCCTTCAAATCCCCTAGGAACACCATGTCAACAACTCGCCCCCTTGCAGTACATACGCCATCGGCTCAAATACCGCAAAGAAGCACTCAAGGGCCTTACCCCCGTCCTCGCGTTCTACCCTCCCAAGTCTACCAACATCCCGGACAAATACATCAACTACCATCCCGACCGTCGGGGATTCCACCTCCGGTAAGGCTGGCGTCCGGCTTGCTCTAGACAATCTACGGACCCTGAATCTCCCGCCGGACATTAAAGAGGCAAGACGGCAGGCGCTCAAATCCATGCTAAGAGAGCTAGAGCAAAGCGGCGACATCTAAACCAAACCAAAGACAGCAGCCTCCCTCCCTCCCCTTCTCTCTCAGACGCCGCGCTTTTAACCAACGTTAAATTCTCTTTGAATGCTATAGCTATTCTACGGAACCATATCAATATTACACTAGAATTGGCGCGCGCCTTCATCTCTTTTGTCTTCTCTTCTTCTTCTTCTTCTTCTCTTGCTTTCACGTCTATAGATTCCATGGCGATGTGTCCGGCCGCCCCATGCCCAACCCGCTTTGCACCTCGCTTTACTCCGGGTATGAACGTGTCGTAGATCAGACAGGATGGGAAAACGGGAGGAGGTTGATGAAGACTAAATCATAGACCCGATGATCCGGGGAAAGGGAAGAAATTCACTCTATAACGATTTCACAAGATGGACAAGTTAGGTGAACAGCAGCCCGGGGTAGCCGCCGAGGCCACAATCAGCCGGGATATGTGCATTCTTGGGCCCCGCCACAAAGTGAATACATCCATGACATGGCTTCTTTCTTCCAGAACATTTCTCCCAGTCCCCGCAATGAGGCGCTCCCCCAGGCAACGGTTTAGGCCTTTGCGAGCCGTCTCCCTAGCCAGAGCAGAAGAGAAGAGAAGAGAACAGGAACATTCACAATGCGTGTTTGTCACGTGGGATGCACAAACCCACGCTGCAGGTAGCCGTGTCTACCGGACCCTATTTGAGGTCTAGCAAACGCTTTGCCACAGTCGAAACAGGCGGGCCTTGCTGGGGAGGGCAGAGACAAAAGCACACCCCCAGAGGCCATGGTTAGGATGGGGAAGCTCTCTTACTAGACTGCCTGGCGTTCAGAGAGCCCCAGGGGCCTGGCGTGCCTCTCGTATGCGCTAAGCCGCCCCGGCTGCTCTCCCATGTCTCCGTGTTGGCGTTGAGGGCTGCCACCTCCGCAGCTTTCTACGTGTAGTGCCGTGTCCGCCGGGCTTGTGGGAGGGTTGGGCCATTGTCAAACCCTCAACATCGCCTCCAAGTTGGTTTGCCAAATCTCTCCTCGCCAAAAGGGAAGAACCCCCTCCCCGAAAAAAAACCCACAAGTCTGACTCTGACTCCTTCTTTTCGCCTTATCCCTTCTCTGACCTTGACTCTGAATCTGAGGCGGACTGAGAAAGGCCGGGAGTGGATGAAGGGACGCAAAGAAGAAAAAAAACATGCAAAGGAAGGTGACCGCTCTCACAAGGGAAAGTCACTTCTTGTTGCTTCTTGGTCGGTATGTCCTTCCTTCCTCCCTTTGCAAGATTTTGCTCCATTGTTTTCTTGCTTTCTTGCTCGCGTGTTCAAAACACCACTCATCCTCCCCAGTCGCCCCATTTCCGTTTGCCCAGCTCTTTTTTTATCCTTCTCTTGCTTCCAACCATCCAGCCATTCCCTCCTCCCCTCCCTTGGGGTTCTAATCGTGCAATCTTGAGTTTCTCTCTAATAGAGGTCCGCAGCTTTATCCAAGGTTATATAACACCTCCTTCCTCCACCTGCTAGCAACCCTACACCAGTCTAACAATCGGAGAGATTCCTTATATTCCTCCTCTTGCCTCCAGTTTATCCAACTTCTCTCCCTCGGCGTCAGCTACATGTTCGACCTCTCACTCTTCTTCCTCTAGCATGGATCCGCATTCACATCCAAAGCCTCCGATCTCTTCTAGCATCCAGGTTACAGGCTCGATGGCGCAGATCGATGGCGCGATTGCCAGCAACACGGCTCTATGCGACCGTTCCGCCCTTAACTTTACTTCCATACCATCTAGCGGTGCCCTCTCACAAGATCAGATTTTATACTCTCCCGATATGGGCATCAGCCGCCACGCTTCGGGCTACGCTCTACACGGAAGCAAGGCTAGGACGGCTTCCTCTAGCAACCGACCCGCCAATCCGACGCGTCCCCAGCAATGCCCAGCCTCTGCTCAGACATACCATAACGGCCAACAGGCCCAGAGCCTCCGGCCACTCGTAGGAATGCACAATTCCCAAGCCCAGCAAATCTTTCAGAACGCCCAACAGCACTATGCCCAGTACCACTCATTGCCATCTATTGCCGGCGAGTCGCCTGGAAGTTCTCGGATGGGTGCGGTTTCTTCTCCGGCTACAACTTCCGCTCTCAGGCCCGCGAGCTCGAGTTGGAGGGCCGTGTTCGAAGAACCAGGAATGCAGCTTGTCAGCTCCACGCCGGCCCATAACTACGGCAATGGCGTCAATGGGCCAACAGACTCCGAACTTGGGGCTTTGTCCACCTACGAAAAGGCTGCCACATTCAGCAAAGGAACTGGTAGGAGCGGTACCACGGAGCTGTTGGGCAGCATTCCCGGTCCCTTGCTAGATACCTCGTTTGCCTACTGCTACGACCGGGGAACGGCCAGTTTACTCGGCTTATCCCCGCCGACATGCTTCCTGAGCTCAGAGACATTCCCCGGATCGAGCATACGGCCGCCGGTATGATTGTCCTCCCACAGCCCGCAGCAGAATCGAGAATGGGCGTAGTGAGCAATGCTCGCGCAGCGGCTACGAAGGTGAGTTACCGCCGCCCCATGCTACACCGTCCCTCCCTCTTGCGTGCTCAAAAGTGCACACTCTACCCTTTTATACTCGCTTGGTCGTATCCTGCCAAAGGAACTGGCAAAGGAAATATCGAGACTAACTCTTCCTCTTACCAATGAGAAGCCACCAATGAGACGAATTCAAGCACAGCTCCCGGATCCTGTTCAGGTGCGTAACCCAATCCATCTTTCGAAGAAGAAGAAGAAGAAGAAGAAGAAGAAGCAAAATCAAGAAAAGAAAGGCGAGGAGGACCTCAGGATGAACTAACTAACCAGGGAGTTGCGTCTTGGCAGAACCATATTGACCAGATTATCAAATCGGCTCCGATGAGACGTCCCAAAATATACTGTGACAAGTGGGTTCACGAAGGGGTATGCGCCTTTACGCAGCAAGGCTGCAAGTACAAGCACGAGATGCCGTTTGATCGCCAGACGCAGCACCAACTCGGCCTCTTCCACGGACTCCCCGCGTGGTGGAAGAAACACCAGGTTGAGCTACAGAGGCAGCGGGAGCCGGAAGAGCCCGTCTCTCCCATTTCCGCACCTCCCGGAGAGGGAATGGGGTCGCGGTTACCCAGCCTCCCCACGGAACAACAACACGTGTGGAAACTTGAGGGCACCAAAAGGGAGGTGATCCAGGTGCACTCTCCGGCCTCGTCTGGGACTCCTTCAACGGGGTCACAGTCCTCGCCGCCTCTGAGTTTTGCCAGTAGGAGGCCCGCTCAGAGCGTGAGCTCTGCTGGTCAATCCCACGGCCCCAAGACGCCGTCGCCGTCAACGGACGACAAGACGCCGGAGCAACGGACGGTGGGCTTTCAGGGCAGCCCCTAAAACTCCCCATGACCCCCTTGACGCCATTGACTCCTTTGACACCTACCCCAATCTGCGTCTGGGGCCCCATCGGACCCCCAGAGGCAGGGCATGGGAATGGTAGAGGTCTCAGGGGGCCGGGTGCTACCCAGGGCTACGGGCGAGCCGGGCTTGCTTGACGCGCTAGAAGCGGACATTTTACTGAAGGCTAGCGAGGGTTCGGTATGCGAGAGGAACTAGATGGGCCGAACCGATATTCACGAAAGAGTAGGTTACTAGTAGCTTACAGGACCGTCGGGGCGTTTGGCTTCCGCCCCTTTCGCCCTCCATTTCGTTCCTCTCTTTTTTCTCCTCCCTCCTTGCCTTTTTTCTTCTTTTCTTTTTGGTTTGCTCCTCCTCCGCCCCATCATGCCTTAACCTTGTGCTTGGCGGGTTTACGGGGTTTGTACTTTCCGTTCCATTCTCCATCTCAACCCAGTTTCTTCTTTTCCTTCTTTTCTACCATTTTCCCTCCTCACTTTGCTCGCGTCAAGTTTCGATAGGTTCTTCACGACCGCAGACGAGAGCACACACACACACACACACAACACACAGACACCAGCACTCGCGCACTGATAAATGGCACACACACACAAGAGGTTGTAGGCAAATCGGCAAACAAGATACAATAACAAGGGCTAGGGGATATTATCTGTACTATAGAAAAAGCAATCGACCTCATGGCATGGAGAGGAAAGAGAAGAATAATAGGAAATAAAAAGGAAGCCCTCGAGTTCTTCCCCATCTACCGGGACTATGCCTCTCTACGTACTTGTTCCCACCCGAACGGTGATGATGATGATGCGCTGATCTCAAATGTGTTGTCCTGTGATAACAAGACTTGGTTGATATTGATGTGTCAAATGGTGTGTATGACATGTGCAGCTCCAGTGTAGAATAATTTTGCCACGAAACCCGGTATCTATGATTTTTACCAGCTACCAATTCCGAGCATCGATAGAACGTAGAGTAGATCAAAGTTACTACATGGATGGAGAAAATGGTTGATGGATGGATTAATGTGTGAAGTGTCCATGGAGGAATTGATGTTGTTGCTTATGTACACCACGTCCACTCCCATTCACCACCCATTCACCACATCTCGACTGTTCCCCCCGCCCCCACCAGACACTGAGCCAAAAGGATCGCGGGGAACCAGCGCTGCCTCAGTCTTCCCATCTCGAAACCCCCAATTGAGAAACTGGAGCCCCTCTTGACCTACCCAAGGCATCAGGATACTCTCCCAGCTGCATAAAATAAGAATCATCCCTTAAGCCCAAGAGTAACGGAATAAAACGACACTTGCCGGATAGATTTCCCGACGAGCGCGGCTAAACATCGGTCGTGTTACCAACAAACGAAGCTCTCTTGGACCCCTCGAATAGGCATCTCTCCCTCCACCTCATCGCTCGATTAGCTATTTCCATAAAGGCAAACCGACCACTGCTCTTCTCTTTTCCCACGACAACCCTCGAACGAATAGCTCTCCCGCCACGCCCCCTCACTCGGTTCTTCGCCTCCGTACACTCACAATATTTGATACTGGACTAGTCGCGCTCGCCCAACCGCGGGGCCCACTTCATCGAGAGGTAGGAGAGCTCTAATCTCGAGCGAGAGAGTGGGAGTAGGCTTGAGACCATCTCGGCCCCCTCCTTCCGCGTAGCCGCAACCGAACAGGCGCCTAGTCGACATATTCTCCCCGACCAATCCCCTCTGTGCCCCGCCTCGGGATGGAGCACTGTCTGTCTGTTCTTCGGGCATTCCCACCCGACACCCCACTACAAAAAGAGGAGGCGTACAATGCAGCTATCAAAGCCCATGTCGACGCTCTGGACGCCCTTCTTGCTAAGCACATAGGCAACCTTGTAGCGCACGCCGAGGCCATATTGTCTGTGAGTGGCGCCCTCCCCTGCTTGTCTTCCCTGGTACCACTGCCGCCGTTTGCCCAACCGCTAACCTCTTGGCTGCCCCGGTGCCGGTGCTGCCTGCTAGGCCCTTGATCCCACCCAACATACTACATCATACATCGCCGTGATTGAGACCGTGATTAAAACGGACCCGAAGAGCTTAGTTTCGAGGCCAGACCTTCTAGACAAGATAATTCAGTGCCTGGTTCTTTTCGACACGCGCCAGGTCCGCTACGTTGGTGCCGCTTTTAGGGCCATCCTCGAACACGTCATCTTTACCAAGCTCTTCTCTGTAAGTCTAACCATGGATTGCTTAATACCCCGTGCTCTTGTCACTCTAACACGAGCCGCTGTTATCCCGCTTGTCGTAGCCCCGAATCGCCGTAGACACTGCGGTAACTGCCATACTCCGGCTAGATCCCCAAGGCACCATCCTCACATCCACCCACTGCATTCTCGCGAATCTCGCCTACACTACAGGATGTCTTAAATACGCCCAGCCCGTGCTGGAAAAGTCGATACTCTTCTTCCCCGAGCCCAACTACAAGCCTAGATTCCTGTGCGAAAAGTCCCTCCCGCCTTGCGCCTACGTCACATGCAGCAGCGGCTTGAGCGCACGCCTAACATCGACGAGTCTCCTCGAATACGACCTGCTTCGCGCCATGATGTACATTGAGCAGAAGAGGTGGGATAGAGCCCTCGACACCCTCGAACAGTGCATCACGTACCCGACCGACGAAAATTCCGTGAGCAACCTCATGCTCCAAGCCTTTTACAAATGGTGTCTGGTCAGCCTCCTGCTCCACGGCCGCATCATTGGCTTTCCCGGAAATGCCGCGCCCGGGGCCGCTGCTGCCTTTGACAGCCAAGGCGATGTCTACATCAGCATCGATACCTTTTTCGCTGAAGAAAATGCCGTCGCCCTCAAGGCTCACCGGGAGCGCCACGAAGCCCGATTCATCGCCGACGGCAACCTCCGACTCGTGGATGAGGTCATTGTATCCTTTCAAAAGTGGCAGGTCATTGGCTTGGGCAGCCTCTACTGCAAGATTAGCGTCTCTGAACTCCGCCAGCTCACCCAAAGTGCCACGACTGGCCAATCCCTCGAGACGGATGCCGAGATCGAAGCCCTGATTCGGAGCATGATAGCCTCCGCTACGCTCGATGCGACGCTGGAACCCGCCGCCGGCGACCGCCCCGCCCACCTGGCCTTCTCTCCCTCTCCGCCCCTGATACCAGAGGCCGAGTATGCGACGCAGCTCCAGGCTGCTTCGAGAGCGTCGCCCAGGTTTCCGCCGGCGTCGAAGCCGTGAACCTGGCCCTAGGTAAGAACCGGGAGTACCTCAGGTATCTGCAAAAAGAAAAGAAGCGGCGCGAAAAGGAAGGTGAGGGTTCGCGCGATCTAGCTGTGGATTTTGAGTCTCACATAGAAGATGAGGATTTGATGTTGGAGATGGGCGGCGGCTCTGCCTAGTTACTTCAGTCGCTCCTCGAAGAAATATCCCTCTGATACAATCAAAATAAAAGAGAGAAAAAAAACAGAAAAAAGGGCGGTTGGATAGAGGGCAGGTCAGCTAGTGGGTGAGGCGCATCAGTCCTCCACTCCCTCTCAATGGATCTATATATTAGGGGACTCTAAACACACGCAGTCGCGCATGGCGAAGCCGTGGGGGCCGAAGAAGCAGCAACGAGGTGTAGCTTGCGTTTTCAAACCGCCAGCACACAAGGTAGGGGAAGCCCATCCCCAGTTGCGTGAGGAGTCGGGCCACGTTTGCATGAAAGAAGCCGCACTTCGCGGTATGAAATTAACGTCAAAATCACATTACTCTTCTCTTCGCTCCCTCATCCTTACATTTTGATCTGAGACGTAGTACGCGCCGTGGCCGAACCCCATCCGTCTATATCTCTCCCGCTTTGAAACCAGAGTAAACCCATCTTCCTTTTTCCTCCTCTCCTCCCACATCCCACATTACAGTCATGACGATGCATCACAAATCAAATCAAATCCAGGCAACGAACCTCCCTGATCTAGTTGATGCTGTACTGCTTGATGAGCTCCGCGAGCTTGTTACCCTCCGCCTTGAAATCCACAGGTGTTGCGCTGAGGACTTGGTACCGGACACTAGCGAGTAAGAATGGTTAGCATCCTGCAATCTTGGCCCAAGGAGGTAGATATAAAAAGCTGAAGAGAAAAAAATAGGGGGAGGTAAGGGGGTCCAACGTACGTTTCCGTCTCCTGGAAGATTTCCTTCCTGGCACGACATCTAAAATTATACGTGCGGCAATTTGACTCTTCAAAGATGTGAGCCGCTGCAGCCTCGCCGCCGTCCTCCATGACCTCCATGATCTGGTCAGCTGTCGTCCCCGTGATCAGGCGGCCAACATCGTCAAAGCAGCTGAGCCACGTTTGTCCAGTATGATCGGCAACGTTGATGCCGAGGATGAAGCGATAACTGGGTTTGGGAAAGTTCATGGAGCATTTCTCGCAGCGCCACGCATCATCGCTAATCTTCTCAACTTTCTTGTTGCAGGGTGGGGTGGCTGCTGTGTTGGAGCAAGCGGGGTAGCAGAAGCTCTTTTGCCTTATAAATACCACGGTCGCTTTGAGAGAGAAGTAGCTCGGCTCGTCGCCCATGCCGAGGTTTTCGTCCTTGACCTGACTTATCAGTTTGGTATCGTCCTTACGCCCCGTCGCCTTCCCCATTCCGCCCAGGTTGCTGTGATTCGAAAACGCCTGCGTCCGGCCTTGTGAATCATACCAGCCCTTGAGACGATGGGCATCCGGGATATCGGGATCTACAGACATGGTGCCAGAGTTGAGAAGACTGAGACTGCGTCCATTGAAATCGGAGACCTTGACACCTTTGAAGGCAATTACTGACTCAGGTTTGACGTCGAATGAGGTGGCCTGCTTGCCCCAAATGGTCAAGCGAGTATCGAAGCCACTGTCGTCGGCAAGGGTGAGGTCACGCTTGTCATATGGCTTATTTGTGGTTTTAGATACGAGACTCGCGACGTCGTGCACCTTTGTCAGGACGCCAATGACATCCACGGTGGTATCCTTTTCCACCTTCTCAAGATCGGCCAGGTTGCAGAATGCGAAACGTAGCTGGGGCACGCTGGACTGATCATCAGCTTTCTCGATAATGGTTCCCCGCTCAAATGTCAGCTCGTAATCGTTGGGAAGGTTTGTGAACTGCTTCTTGGCGAACTGAACCCTACAAGGGGTGGAGATGTAATAGACTTGGCCGGGCTGGAGGAGGTTGTAGAACTCGTCGACTTGTTCGTTGAAGCCAGTGGCCTTGATCTCGCTGGTCTCGTCAAGCAAATTGACGCTGAAGAGCTTTCCATCGGTATTGTTCCTATGCCAGGTTCTGATATCCGACTTGGCGCTCACACGAGCCCGAATGGTCCATTTGCTAGAGAATGGGGAGAGCGCCTCGATGGGATAAATGTTGAGGTTGGGTTTGTCGGAGGGCCGCGGGGGCTTCTTCTCTTCCGTCTTGTTGCCGTAAAAGCTGGCGCCAGCAATGGGCTGGATCTGGTCCTCCTGGCCAACCGAAGGTAGCTGTTGCGGGGCACCAATCTTGGGGGTGTACCGTACTGGTGGAGGACCTCAAGGTCGAGAATCACCATAATGCTATGCCCCCACGTGGTTAGCTCACACGGCATGAAAGGCACAAGTCACGAAGCGTCCGCCGAAAAACTTACCGCTTCTGCTTAATCACATTCTTCTGATATTGCTTGATCCGAACAATCTTGAGGGGCTCTAGTTGTTGGTCGGCAATGAGGTAGTGAGACTGGGTTGCGACCATGGCCTGGCAGAACAAATCTCCGTCACTCAGGACGAGACGATGCCTATCGACACCACCTTCGGTAGGAATGCTTTTCACGACCAAGATCTGGACGACTGGACTAGGAAATTTCTCTGTGGCGGCCTCCTCGCCAAAGAACGTGGCTCTGGTGAAGGAAAGGGGACAAGATCAGTTACCGGACTAGAAAAATGAAGAGAGACAGACGAGAATGGGTTAACCTACTGAAGCCAGCCCCGGGAGAGGGCGGAGGAAGGATCCATCGTCGCTGAGATTCTAGTGTGAAAGGGGAGGGGAAAGAAAAAAATAGAAATAGAAAAGGAACTGATGAGAAAAACTCCTACTTTCGTAGAGGGGAATGATGATGATGCTCTCGAGACACGGCACAAGGATCTCTTGATTAGGCACGGAGGGGGAGGGTAACGTTTGTGTGGCAACTCTCGAGCTGATGGGCACCGCGACGCGTTACTTCTGAGCGGGCGCGTTTTGTTGCGGGGTGAAGGGTTTAATGGATTTTTGGTGATTATCTAAGCAGAGGGGATGAGGGGCTCAGCGACTGACAAGGGAGGGGAAGCTCTCAGTCTTTGGTGAACAAATGTTAGCTCTGATATTATGAAGGTTTCAGATACGCAGCCTTCATATCTGGTCACTTAGAAGCTACAGGTCACTAGTACATACGCAGCTCCCAGTTTGTCTCCCTCCTCGTCATCACTCACAACGTGCTACACCTACGGGCTTGTATGAGACACTGAATTGATCCTCTCCTCATCACTGCCTCAAATCCCTTCTCTTCGGTTGGGTCGTTCTTTTTGTTTTTTTTGAAGCAATACTGCTGCCTCTCCCGGCCCCAAACAAAAGCCATCCCTCGTTATCATCTGTGCTTCTTTCGATTGTTCGGTTCCGAATCACCCCCACCATAGCTCGCCCCAGTATCAACCATGGCCGATCCGAACCTCGCAACTAGGGCGCCCGAGAGTGATGCTCAAGAAAACATTGCTTTAGAGACTTCGCCAACGCATTCTACACCCATCGTCGGAGAGCACTGTGTCACTGACCGGCCTACGCGTAACATCCCCCATTTGTGTTATTGAGCTAGTATCGTTGGCGGACAAACGGATGCTAACATGAGGACAGCGACTGGGCAAGCTGCCACGGGGAGATTATCCAGATCAACGATGTCAACGTAGGGCGCCACCCATGAAGTAGCCGTTGCCAATGAAAACAAGTTGTTCTAACGATCGCAGGTATACATATCGAAACCCAGCGATTACCCACACACGCCAGCCAAACTCCTCCTATTGCTCACCGGCGGGACGGGTCTGCAATCGACAAACAATCAGATCCAAGCCGACAAGTTTGCTAGCGAGGGTTTGTAGTGGTTATGCCGGACATTTTCAACGGCGACCCGGCCCCAACTTCCGCGGCGATACCAGAGGAAGATACCGGCTCACTCTTAGACCAGGTCAGGTTCAAGGCCATGGAAGCTGCTAAAAGCTTCCTCATCGACATGTGGCTAGCCAGACACACGGCGGAAAAGGTGCTGCCCATCCTCTACAAGGTCATCGACGGGTGTAAGGAGAAGTATGCCGACGCCGTCCAGCACGGAGAGGGAATTCACGCTGTTGGCTACTGCATCGGTGGCCGCTACGTCTTGCTCCTCGGAAATGAGAAGCAGCTTCCTGAAGCCCAAATTCCCGACGAGGAGACTGGGGCTGTGAGAACCGGGCCCTTGATCAAGGCTGGTGCACTCGCCCACGGCGCATCGGTGACGCCCGATGACTTCGCGGGCCTCAAGGTGCCTGTGAGCTTGGCCTGCGTTGAGAACGATCCTCTATTCCCGGAAGAGGTGCGGACACTAGGCGAAGATGCCATGGAATCAGCAAATCTAGAACACGAGGTCAAGGTGTATCCCGGCGTTCCTCATGGTAAGTTGCCATTATCGTCCGCCTCATTTCTTTGCGGTGAGCCAAGGGGCAAGCTCGTGTACTGATATGCTTTTATTAGGGTTCGCGGTGGTTGGGCAATACGAGGATAGTGGAATCAAGGAAGCGCAAGCGACGGCATACGACCAGATGCTCAGCTGGATAAATGCACATTGATGAAGAAGGACTGCGTTTTCTCTTCTCCGCTCGTTTTGGAGATTGGGTGGGGTTGGGTTCGATGATTCGATGGTTCGAGGGTTCACCCCTTTGCTCCCCGTTCGTTACAGATATTCTGTGGCTTTCGTCGGATGGAGGAACAGATGGGGGTCGGTGAGATGGTCTAAACAGGGACTCAGATATTGTTCAGTTAACAGGTTGGATACCAGCGAGTATCAGACTTTTCCCACACAAGAACCACAGAGAGGAGAGATCATGGGTTTCTGGCTGCTTTGCTCAAGTGAAAGAGCCCCTCCGAGGGCACATACTTTCTTCCTCTCTCTTCACGACAACAGAGGGACGGATGTGTAGAAGAGAACACGAGAATCTTCGCGGGGCGCTAGCTGAGAGTCTTGCTCTCGTAGCAGCCGGACCCCGCAGAGTCACCATGGGCGGCTTGAAGCCTTTGATACGAGGTCCCCATGTCACGATTGCAGTCATGGTCCGAGGCATGGTCGGGCCCGAGTCCAATATTTGCTTTGAGGGGGAAATTACTCCGCCCATTCCCTAAAATAGGACCGGCTCATATTAATAATATCCCGCTTTTTCTCGTCACCGCTCGAGGCGGATGGTTTGGGTCTCTTTGTCCTCGTTGATGCCCCCTTGACTCCCGCAACCGCTCGTCTCCCCACTGCGCTTAAGGAGGCGCACCGGCACAGATTGCCGCACGTCTGTGGCGACACTGCTCGATATGGACGACATGTCCGTGCCAGCTAGGTTAGGGTGACGATGGAAGCGGACCGCATTTTCAGATCGCCTAGCCTGCCACTATTGCTCCGTATTGGCAGGTGGAAAGAAACTCCACCACCACAGATTACTCAGTGGAGACCATTTTCTCTTTTGCTCTCTCTCTCTCCTCCCTTCTCTTGCCACCCCCACAACCTCCTTTTAATGGGATCAGAAGAGCAAAGTCTTCCAGCGATGATAATACGAGGTCAGCCCTGGCGAGCTGGGTTGAACCCTCCCAGTGGGTGGAAAATAACAGGGAGGTGGCGCTTGTTTAGACCAGCCAGGTAGGGCGTACAGGGGTTAGGAGAGCCTCAATCTCGAGAGTCCTTTTGGCCCCTGAACAGCCGTCGCACAGCAGGCCCAATTTCGTCCCAAATGAGTCGCTTGACTTCATTTCACAAGCCCACTTCATGCTTTTCCGCCCGCATCCATAGATCCTTCTCTCGGAACGTGAACGCGCTTTTTGGGGCATTGGTCTACGCAAGCAAAGCCCTTGGTTTCCCCTTTTGCTACTCGGTATTAGTTTGTCCCAAGGAAGGGTCCCAGGTGGCATGCCGCAAATTGAAGGTCAAGAACAAAGATCATTGATGGGGACAAGCCAGGATAGGAACCACTAGAATTGTACCTTTCAAACGCCCGTTCGCCACCCGCTTCAGGTTGTATTATCGATGCACCTTTGAGAAAAGGGCTCTTAAGGTTACAACGTGACTCCCTGGCTGGCCACACAAGCCTTGGAACTTGAAGTGGAAATTTTCGTGTGGGAGATCTACGGCATAGGAGACGGACAGGGCAATGATACCGGATGGAATGTACAAAGTTTTGCAAGGTGCAAGTGCTTGGAGAAGCGTTGGCCTGAAGCAACGATGGCAGGAATGCTTGCGACAGCACGAAAGACAAGCATCTTGTGCATGGCAGACCACGGCCATCCTACAACGGGGAGCATTGGGGAAGACTGCCCCGACCCCGATGTGCCGTCGCGTCTCGCCAAGCTGCATGCATCCATCGCTGCTCAGCTTCAAGTTGGGCAGGCGTCGAAGTGTTGTGCCTCGAGCCTTCTCGAGTAAACAAACGAACGCATGGCGCGTGTTTAGCGATGCGCGTCGTGTTTACTCTCTGGTTCCCCAGGCTACAAAGTACGCTATGAGACAACCCGAGCGAGATCGTGCGAACGCCGGTGCGGCATGATGATCGCGAGATGACCTTTTTTCTTTTTCTTCTTCTTTTTCCTCGAAAGCTTGGACGTTTGTGGACTAGTTCAAGCCTGAAAAAATCATCAAAAGAAGGAAGAAGCAGGCGAAAGCTGATCCACTGTGTGCACAGTGTTGATATACAATAGAAACACGGTATGGGAGCAGGGCCGAGAACCGAAAAATGTGCGGGTTCGGGTTCGCGGTTGGCATGACGGCGCCAGTCCATGCGGAAGAGTTCCAGATTCCGGCGAACAACTTCTCCCCAGGGCCCATGGGTTGTTGTCAAGCTGCCAGTGGTACGAAGTACTTGCATCAATCGATCCATCAATGGATCTCGAGCCGGCCTTGATTCAGCATTGACAGGACGGATTGTCTCGGGCTGACAAGGGGGCAACTGGGTCCAAGGCCCACTCCGAACTGGACTGTCGGAAGCACTGGCCTGAGAAGGACTTTTTCCTCTTTTTTTCTTCTTTTTTTTTTTTTCTTTTTCCCCCTTGGATCAATGTAGAATCGTCCATCTCTAAGAAGAAAAGACAGGGAAGTGGATAGCCTAATGACGAAAGAGATGGTGTGATGAGGTCCATGCAAGTGCAAGTGGGAAAGACATTGCCAAGGAACCAACCATGAGGATGCCAAATCGACGGAAAAGGGAAAGAAGGAAAGAAAAGAGAAACAAGACATTGGATGAAATGAAGGCAAAGAACGATTCGGTGATCGAATGCAGCAGAGACAGAGGAGAAGAAGAAAATTCTCGACGAAGAAGAGAATCCAGGCCCGCTCCAAAACCTACTTCGTACTCCATGATGCTTGACAAAAGCTGCTCCATTCTCCCTTTTTCTTTCTTCAAGTTCCTGATGGTTCCTCAGCTTGAGCCCAAAGGTTTAATGTTGGTTTGAGGGTGGACCCTCTGTGGATACTCTAATCTCTTGCTATCTCCGATTACAAACTAACAAACGCATGCATTTATCGATGTACATTCCAAGGAGACGCCGGAAAGGCAAAATACGAGGGCCTCTGTCGAGTACTGTATTGGAGTGTACATCTCCCTTTCTCATTCCTTTTCCGGTCAGGTATGCCGCGACGACCTGAAGCCTGAAGGGCAGCTCCATTCCATCCTAGTACCGGTAGGCGTCCGACAATGCAACCCAACGGGAAAATCCATTTCGATCGCGTGTGGTGACAGCGCGAATCCCTTCTGAACCGGGAACCCTGGACGGAGGCTCCCGTACCGCCTTGTGCGAGGGAAAAGTTTAATCGACAAGTACTTGTAGTACGAAGTATTCAGTAAGAATACTGGATGGAGAAAGGGAGAAGCAATGAAGCAGAAGCCGAATCTTTGGCACTCAAAGGTGTACTCCGCAACGCCTTCGGAGCGGTGTGTTGCCCATAGGAATCCATTTTACTCTTTGAATGCTGCTGTTTCCTGCAGTGCTGGTGCCTGTGCTTGTGCTAAACCAGCCGGGTCCACTGGCGGCGGCTGGATGAAGCCCTCCAGCAGGGCAAGGTTGAACAAGAGCGATGAAGACAAAGAGAGCTGCCTGCCAAGGATATGTTGCCTACGACTTGCCCTGTAATAATGGATACAAGTACGTGTCTGTGTGTGTGGGTGTGGATGCTTGCCTTACAGCACACACGCGCTTGCCAAGGGTAGACCACCCAATACTCGATCCTGTCACAAACTTGTGAGCCGGTCGCTCCTAGCGGAACCAACGAGGACAGACTAACACCACATCAGTTTGGTGCGTGGAATCGTCTCCTTGGAGCCGGGCTTCCGTCGAGAAATCGATAACCCTTGACGCCACGCCGACCGGGTTTAGTTTTTGGCCGCCCACTGCAGTAATTTCAAGTCACCGACCAATCCCATTCATGCTATTGCGTCGCCAACGACACTATCAGATGTGGTCTATTGGCGAGCCTCTCCGGTGAGTTCTCCAGCCCGTATCGTTCGAGTGTGCCAGCAGGGGTCTTTTTTTTCTTGGTCCCCGTCTTCTTTCTTCCCATCCTTTCCACCCATCTTCATGATATCAGGATGTACGAAGTACTTTTGGGAATTTCGATCTAGACAAGCAGGGAGGGAAAGATAGAGAGAGAGAGAAAGAGAGGGAGAGAGAGTCCAATAGCCCCCACGTCCGCCAAGTGTACAAGAAGTTGGGCAGTGATCATGGACGGCAGTTCTCACTTCGGTCGAGGTCTCAAGGTCTCGGCTCAAGGCGATCCACCTCATACTTGTACATATTTGGATGAAGTATTATTCTTAGCTTGGAGGGTCGAGACGCCAGTGTAAGAAGGGCACCAGTGCCATTTTGCCACTGGCGACGAAGAACGCACCTAGACTCGCCAGACAGCTTGGTGAAAACCTGATTTCGACTGCAGCAAAGATGAACGCCCCATCAAAGAGATGAAGCCCCTCTTCCGACGTCATCCCCGATACTGTTAGGGGTGGCGGTTGAGGTTGAAGAAGCATTAATCGGTCATTTCCTTGTCGTTATCCGTCTTCCGTCGCGAAGGGGACCTGATTCACTTTGTCCGGGCCACGCAAGGGTCCCTGAAGTCCCTGAAGCAGCCGCCGTTCTTTCCTTCATAATAATCCCCAGCAAGGATGGTGCACGTTCCAGGCCAAGACTCTAACGCTAATGTCCCCTCAAGGGGGCCTCGCTGAGGACGCCGGAATGAGCAGGCTAGGTGATAGTAACCACAGGGAGAGATTGACGGGGAAAAATAAGAAGAAAAAGGAAAGGGAAAAAGGAAACAAAAGGGAAAGGGGAATGAAAAAGGGACCTACCTAGGGAAAAAGGAAGGAGCATTAGTGCTCCACAGCTCGAGGTGCAGATGCTCTTGAACTGGCAACCCTCACATATCGAAGTGAGAAGAGAAAAAAACAGAAAGAACCAATATTAGTATTGTGTTACTGGGGCCTTTGGCCGACTGACTCAGGCCGTTGAGTAATAACGCTTCAGTACAGTCCTCGTCCCTGCTGCTAGTCAAAATTGCAAGATCATCGCGTAATCTATAGCCGATGCAAAGTATATTTTCTTGGATCGATCCAAGGTTGCAGTAGCAAGGTAGCCACCATATTGCTCAGAAGTATTCCAAGTGCACGAACCAAGAGCATTGCGGTGTAATATTCAGGGAGGACAAAGCCAACCAGGATCAGGATCAGTCAAATTCAGTGAGTCGTGTAAAATCGCCCGCCTGTGGGTCGATTCCAACCACCGCATAACCGGGGATTCTATCCTATCTCGTCCAGAGGGGGCAGCGCTGCTGAGCAGAGCGATCGGTGGATACATGTACTGCAACTGCACTTCGTACTCCAGCCGAAGAACATTGAACCCTGACTAAAGGGGAAAGTCCGCACACGAGAGTGACCAGTTAACCTCTATCTTTAGAGGATACCACTCACTCACTGCTGACTTTCAGGTACCTGTGGTTGGAGCGTTGATGGGAAGAGGTACTTTGTAGCTGGCCCTGGAAAAACAGAAGTTGGAAAGTGGTGGATATCGGTGAAATCTGATGATAAATTACGCATCCAATGTGCACCGTTGCTGGGACTCGGATGGCGCGCCATGGCGCTGGACCACAGATTTCATGTTGACGCTGTCGGGGTGTGTGGCCCTGGAGGCTCTACAAGTATTCGTAAGGCAAGAAAGAACCCGCACACCCTGGTCACTGACAGGGGAAAAAGGAAAGAAGGAGAAAAAGAGAACAAAAGAAAGCAACGGAAAAGGGAATGGCTGCTTGTTGGCGGAAAGATACAATCCAATCGAGAGGCTCTGGTAGGAAACAGCTTGAGCAGCAGTGAAGGGGGATAGGAATACGAGCGAAGATTGGAAAAAGGTACACAGCATGGATGGGGCCTCCTTAACGAGGGCGTGGTAACCCAGCGGTGGACAAGTTGAGTAGGACGCACAAATGCGCTGAGATAAGGTACCTTGGGTTCGTTTGCAAGAAGGGTACCTGGCAAGCTGGGTCCTTATCAGAAAAAGATCAATTATGATTGAAGCGATCGAAATGGTTGGAAAAGAGACAAAGCAATGTCGTAGCGTACCTGCGCAACTGCGCTACGCTAGCGGTATCTTGCGCGGTCTCCTGCGTGGTCGGCCCAGGGTAACACTGATCACAAAGTTCAATGGGACTTGATTGATCCATTTCAAGGACCCAATGGGACGCCACCGGGACACCCCTCCCCAATCTGCCACACCCCTGCCCCATCAATCAAAATTACCCTTTGCACACACCACCGTCCCCACCAGAGGGACCCCCCTTCCCTCCCCTTGCTTTCCCTTCCCCTTTGCTACCCAGGTCCAAGCCCAGCCCACACACACGCTCCATCTTGCACGCAGACACCATCATCTCAAGTTGTATATAATGCCTCGTTCCCAGACTTCTCTTCTCAACTTCCTTCTCTCTTCCTCCTCACCCACACACATTCGCTTATCAAACAACCCTGACTTTTCAGTCAATTACATTCGTTTTTCAACGCCTCAAAGCTCCTCGCTTCCAACCATCACCAACGTTCCTAATTTAATTTTTCTTCGGAAAACCCCCTTACAACCGTCAAAATGAAGTACGCCGCTGTCCTCGCTCTCGCTGGCCTCGCTGCCGCTGGTGCCGTCCCCGCCCAGAACGGCACTGTCTACAGTATGTCTTCTTCTCCATCCCACACGCAAGCGCTCCCGTGAGCGATGGCGCGGCAACAGATCGTTTCTGTCCCATCCGCAGCCGCGCTCGGCGTGTCCATCAATCCCTTCAATGCTAACATTGGAAACCCAATAGCCACCGAGGTCGTCACTGCCTACACCACCTACTGCCCTGAGGCTACCACCATCACTGACGGTGACAACACCATCACCATCACCGAGCCCACCGTCGTCACCATCACCCACTGCCCCGGCGGCTGCACCATCAAGAAGCCCGTTGTCACCACTTCGGCCGTCTACTGCAACGACTGCCCCAAGCCCAGTGCCAACGCTACTGCTTCTTACCACCCCACCGGTGGCATCCCCACCCCAGCCAGCCCGTCACCGCCGGTGCCGCCAAGCTCGCTGGTGCTGGTCTCGCCGCCTTCCTCGGTGCCGTCGCCTTCCTTTAAATCAATTAACCCATCATCTAATTACGCCATCCGCGGTTTTCGTCGGTCGTTCTTGAGTGAATGGCCTGTTGGATCCGTGTACAGTTGGCTTTAATGAACAACATGGTTGTCAATTCAATGATGTCTTTTTTGGTTTAGCGACGCAGGGGTTTTCTAATGGGATTAGACTGGGATGGATAGACACGCGCTCTTCATTTCGGGGGATTAGCTTTGGACAATACCATTCCACAACGGCGAACCGGTACATTATCGTTTTCTGCATTGCGACTTGATAGAAAATCGAGTCTGCCTTCTATCAACTTTCGCCCCGCACGCTTTGCAGGAGTCGTCGATTCAGTTCTTGTGCTTGTTTGTCCGCACTTATCCGGGCAAGAACGTATGAGTCGATCGGGTCGCCACGGCACTTGCCAAGTGTGTGCGGTCTACCAGGAAAGGGGAAGAGTTGTGGGTTTCGCGGTGGGAGATGGATGGATTTCTTGTCTAGATGTCAACGTGCGGGTAATCCGGCTCTCTCTCGATCAAACAATAAGAAACTCGCTTTTATTCTTTTCTGGCAACTCTTAGTTCTTCTTCTTCTTTCATTGTGGGTGCGTGATCGCTACGTCCTTGTGCTCGATGGACGCGGATAGCTGCCTGGCTTCTTTGTCCAACCTTTACAAGCGAGTCGTGCGATGGCAATCCTGCATTTTGTCGGGCGTGTTTTATGGTCGCTGTCGAGTCGACGTTGCGGAGCTCCCCTCGGGTCTGCAGTGTACATAGTTTACTCAATGCTCGAAGTTGGCCATTTTTGGTCCGACGATGTTTTCGCTTCTTTACTTTTTTCCTTTGCGGGGACGTCCCCTAATACGCATGTACGCATGTGGTGATGATGGTTTGTTTCACCAGAGTCTCATTCGCACCGCCCAAGGGTTCGCCCTCCCCGTGGCGGAAAATGTCTCTGGCCAACCCACGATTATTGTTTTGACCTATGCCTGTCGTAGTTCGTATGTGCTTGCATTTCGTGTATTCTGGTGCCGCCACAAAGGCCAGAACCGAAAGAACGCTACCCTTGGTGCAGAGTCTCGAACGCCGGAATTATGCTGCGACCCGTTCAAGCTGAGTCTTTTCTCCTCATTGTCTCGGCCCGCAACGAGAGTCAGATATCTTTCCCTGTCACGGATATCCCGTTGCTTGCCACTCGGCTTCTTTCTTTGCTCTCTTTTTTCTCTCTTTCCCCTGTCGCGCTTCTACATCTCTCCGAATACAAGGCTTCCAGCGTAGCTATAGTGTGTAGAAGGGAGGGGGCGATGATAGTGGTACCACTGTGCCCTCGTGCGAGTCACCGGCTGTCTCTCATATATCAAAACCAGCGAACTTGGCCGCTGATCAGAAGAAGGGTGATCTCGGCACTATTTTTAACTCCCCTTTCCCAATGCAGCAAATCGACAAACAGATGAAAGAAACAGCTCGTCTTTCCTCTTTTGATCTCGTATCTTGCGTTGCCTTCCCCGAAATTTGCTTTTCTTGCCTTCCTCCTACCCACACAAGCCCGACCAGCCAACGTCCATGACAGAAAAGGGCCCTGCTCCAGTATTCGGCAGCCATACATGTATTCCATGGTGCACCTCGACCGTAATCACGATCGGAGACATCCCAAGCTACTGTTCAATACTATCGGCGATCTGCTGATCACCCGCCCCGCTGCATACAAACAAAGCATGGCGCCGCCTGACGGGTTTGCCATCTATTTTATTGTTTCTGGGTAATAGGCGGGGCCTGCGGGAGGGTGCGGACTGGTTTCGGAAGCTCATAATACTAATCTATTCAATTTTGGCGAGGAGGTAGGTTTTCCAGGGAATTCCTCGCCACGGAACAAAGTGTCGCAGATCCAGTTGGTCCGAGAAAAGGTGTGGCACGACAGGACGTGGTCAGGACAGGCGGGAAACCGAATGACTTGACCGGGAAAAAGGGCAGACGAAGAGAGGAAGGGGAAGAAGGAGGGGCGGGGACGACGAGTTGCAGACGCAAGCGGATCAGGTACCCAGCGGTTTTGATTGGCTAGTGTAAAGCACTCGTTCATCTTGAGAAAGGTTCGAAAAGTGTGGGTGGATCGAAAAGTCTGCCACACGCCCAAACGCCTTCCTGCTGCTGGTGCTGCTGGTGCCGCTGGTGCTGCAAGTGAGACAGCTCGCGATTTCCTCGCTTTGCGGCAAGTATATTTCGGGAAACGGCCAGTGCAACGAGATGATAAAAAACTGTGTACCAAAGTACCCTATGATTGGATCTCGTCCACGTCCACCGCTGTCCTTGGCGCCGATGCAAGCAAGGCCCGAATAGGATTGCACTATCACTTCCTGAGGAGAGAAGAGAGAAGAGGAGCGAAAAAAATTAAGAGAGGATAGAAATGGCATGTAATGGCGAAAAGAAAGAAGGGATTGGGTGGAGGGAAAGCATCGCTTCTCCTGCCTCTCAAGAGAGCTTTGCTGAAATATTTTCTTGAATCTCGAATGAATTCTGCGATTGATCACTGCTGTTTGTTCCGTACATGTAGGCCTCGAGTATTTTTTAAAGATAAGTTTGAACGCTGGGAGAAAGAAGTAATGGAATGATGTATGGAGCGAAAGGATCGCGGCAATATGTTCAAGTCTGTTCAAGTACGCTCATAAGCTGACCATCGCAGCGACAGCCTTCGCGCGCGCCCATGTGCCAACGTGAAGGACCATTGAAGAAGATACCAAGTGCCATGCTCTCAACGATATTCATTCCCTGCATACAACATTTTAGTTGATGTTCATACATGTCCTCCAATTCTGTACCTCTTTTAGACAACGCGAGATCACGCTGAGTTAGCTGGCGCTTAATATACCAGAATATGAATTCGGCGAGGGCGTCAAGCAATGAGGCGGAGATATAGACGAGAGATGCCGGTGTCCAAGGTTGCCGCGGGTCCTCGCCAGAGTCAACGCCGGCGATGAAGAGCAAGTCGGCAAAACAAATCGGTACTCAAGGTGATGACGAAGTCCCTATGCTCCTATTCCCATAGACTCATGGACTCGATGGACTCGATGGATCCATTGTGTTACAACAATGCGAGCAAAAACTTGCAGTTCAAGCTAGTGGAGCACAGAGTGCAATTGATCGGAAGAGTAGAGGCGAACCCCGAGCTATCCGTCGGTTGATGTCAGGGCTGCTTTCCGACACCTCTCGCCGCCCGTCTACATGTACGTACTAGACGGTTGGTCTTTGTATTATTAGTTGCTAGTCGATAGGGCAACGTGGGTCCTGTCATCGCCTTGTCGTGTTTCCCTGGCGGCCTATCCCCAAGCTGGACAATCTAGATCGGCCATGTCCACCTATGCCGATCTATCGGACAATGGCTGGGAAGCTTGGGAGAGACATGATGGCCGGGGAGAGTATCCTGTCGAAAAGGGGTTCCCTGTTTTAGATGACGCTATCACCTGTCGTGGCCTCGAGGATCACTCATGGGCTGCATCCACACTTGCCTCCCCTTGAGTGGGTAAAGTCCGACGCGTGGAGGTTCACTTGGGGCGCTGTGCTGTCATGCCTGTGTCACTCCTGTCATATTTCGAGGCGAGGCGAAAGAATGAGAAGCCCAATTGTCTAGTATTTACGTGTTTACTTAGTTATCTACTTACCCTCCATGTGTAAGATAAGGCTGCTAATGGGGATACTCCGGCCCATTACAATCGAGCTTTTCATATAAGATCACTCCCCAGATTGGATATTTCGAAATGCGTCAACAGCTGCATCCGCCCAGGCATTTGTAAGAATGTCATGAGCCCCCGTCGTCGCACCCTCAATATGTTGGAGCTCTTCTCCTCTCTTCTCTTCTTGAGGTTGTCCGCAATCCCCAGTCCCCAGTCTCCACCTTTTCCCCGGCCTCCAATTCCAGTTCCCCGCAGGACCCCATGAAAGGGTCAATAAATGGGCGAGGAGAAGCCTGACTGGCTCTTTTTGTTCACCTTTTTTTTTTATTGTCCTTTATTTAACGAGAGCGCAAAGCCTTTTTCTTTCGTCCATCCTCCCTGCGTTATGAGGGTTAGATTCGAGAAAGGGAGATGATGCCGACGTCCGGGAAACTCATTGGGGAGCCAGTCAAAATACCCCAATACCGCCACAGGCCGACCGCCTCGGCAATGTCGAGTGGGCAGGGCCGCGGGGTAAGCATGAGAATCCGGGAAACGGAGAAACGGAGAAACGGCGCTGGCTTTGGGTGGGAAGAGGAGCCAGATATCATCAATTGGGTGTCCCACGGCGGCCAATCGCCCACAAGCGGTTGCTCTCTTGGGTCAATTGGGGATGGCGAGTTTGAGTGCGGAGAGCAGTTCAGGGGTGCAAGTGGCCTTGGATACTGTGCAACTGTGCAACTGCCCCGGGATTGGCATAGCGAAAACGTGCGAACGTGCGAACGTGCGATGGTGCGGGAAACGGAAGGGGCCTGACTGCATGTCACGGTCGACCGCGTGCGTCTCCCCAACGCCTCACCGACTAATAAAGAAGCCGGGCGTACTTGTACGAGTATAATACCAACAAACTCTCTCCCGCCCTTGGAACAGAGTGTCAAGGCTATTCGTGAAGCTAAAAAGTAAAAAGAGTGAACGAGCAATTGGGCGTCTGGCACGAACACTCCCTCCCCTACCCTAACCTACCCCCTCAGCCCGCTGGTCTACGTCACAAAGGACAGACCAAACAATGGCCCCCAGCGGCGACGTGCACCCCCAGGACGAGGTCCTAGACCATTCGCTCAGCGATCCCACGAGTTTCTGGGCCCACCACGCCGACCAGCTGCACTGGCATAAGAAGCCCACGTCGGTACTGGAGATTTCGGAGAAGAAGCTCAAGTCGGGCGTCACCCACGACACGTGGACCTGGTTCCCCGGTGGAGAGATATCCACGTGTTTCAACTGCGTCGACCGACATGTGCTCGACGGCCATGGGGACTCCCCGGCGATCCTCTACGATAGCCCGGTGACCAACACGAAGCAGAGAATCACCTATGCCGAGCTCCTGCTCGAGGTGGAAACCCTCGCCGGAGTACTGAGGGCGGAAGGGGTGAAGCGCGGCGACGTCGTCATAGTGTATAGTAAGTGGCCATCTTTTTTTTTCTAGGCGCGATGCCACAGCGCGACATGTGGCTGACTTGAGAGATTCCGGGCAGTGCCCATGATACCAGCGGCCCTCATCGGCATCCTAGCCATCAATAGGTTAGGAGCCATCCACGCCGTCGTCTTTGGCGGGTTCGCCTCCAACGCTCTGGCGCAGCGCATCGACGCTTCGCAGCCCGTAGCGATCCTCACCGCGTCGTGCGGAATCGACGGGACGAAGCCGCCCATCCCCTACCAGCCCTTGGTCGAGGAGGCCGTCCGCATCGCCAGCCACAAGCCGAGCAGGACGCTCGTGTGGCAGCGGCCGCAATCCGAGTGGCGGCCCGTGAGGGAACCCGCCGGCGAGCGGGACTGGGCCGCCCTCGTCCAGGACGCCAAGAGGCGCGGGGTCAAGGCTGCGTGCGTGCCGGTCAAGAGCACCGATCCCATCTACATCATCCACACGAGCGGCACGACGGGGCTGCCCAAGGGGGTCTTGCGGGATGCTGGTGGGCACGCGGTCGGCTTGCACCTCTCCATCAGCTACTTGTTCAACATTCACGGTCCGGGTTGCGTCTCTTTTACTGCGAGCGACGTGGGCTGGATCGTGGGGCATTCGGTAAGTTGGAAATGTCACACAGCCTTTTATCGCACTCCGTTCCCTCCTTGAGCGTCTTATCTCCCTCTTTCCCTTAACGGGGGTGGGGGTTAGGTAGTAAAGTGGCGGGTGTGAGAGTGTAGAACGAGCTAGCTCCTCTTTTTCTTCGGAACCTCATAAACTAAAGGAGATTGTGTACCACTACAGTATATTCTTTACGGACCACTCTTGACCGGTGCCGCCACGGTGCTCTACGAGGGCAAACCCGTGGGCACCCCAGACGCGTCGGCCTTTTGGCGCATCGTCGAAGAGTACAAGGTCAACACCATGTTCACCGCGCCCACGGCCCTCCGAGCCATCAAGAGGGACGACCCCAACAACGAAAGCTCGAGCGCATCGGCGCCCGCGGGGTCTCCGATCCCTCAAGGCCCTGTTTTTGGCCGGCGAGCGGTCCGAGCCGTCCCTCATCGCCATGTACCAGGATCTCCTGGCCAAGCACGGCGCCAAGGAGGCGCACGTCGTGGACAACTGGTGGTCGACCGAGGTGGGCTCGCCCATCACGGGGAGGGCGCTCGTGCCCCACGCGGGCAGGGACCGCAAGACGTCGACGAGGGACCACCCGCCTCCGCGTATCCGGCCGGGCAGCGCGGGCAAGGCCATGCCCGGGTTCGATATTCGCGTGGTCGACGACCGCGGCGAGGAGGTGCCGAGGGGGAGATGGGCAACATTGTCCTGGCGCTGCCGCTCGCGCCGACGGGGTTCAGGACGCTGTGGCAGGACGAGGAGAGGTTCTACAACGGCTATCTGAAGCGGTTCAAGGGCCGGTGGCTCGATACGGGCGATGCGGGGTGGATTGATAAGGAGGGGTATGTGCACGTTATGAGCAGGAACGACGATGTCTTGAACGTCAGCGCTCACCGTCTATCGAGTGGTATGGTTAACCTGGTCTTTTTCCTCGGCCCTCTTCCTTGTTCCACCATCTTGCCTGATTCTCTACGGAGGGGTTTCTTTTTCTTCCCATTTTTCCCCCTACCCTCATTTGTCTCCGGATTCCTGGCACAAAGAACATCACACTAACTAAGCGTGTGTGCGCGCATATAGGAAGCATCGAGCAAGCCGTGACGAGCCACCCCTCGTAGCAGAAGCCTGCGTCGTCGGGATCCCAGACGAGCTCAAGGGCCAGCTCCCCTTCGCCCTCGTCACGCTCCTCACGCCCGACCACCCCACCTCGGCGATCCCGGCCAAGGCGCTCGTGGACGAGATCCAGACCCTGGTGCGCTCGCAGGTGGGGGCCATCGCCACGCTCGGCGGCATCATCCAGGGCAAGGGGATGATTCCCAAGACCCGCTCCGGCAAGACGCTGAGACGGGTGCTCCGCGAGCTCCTGGAGAACGCCGTCCACGCCGAGTTCGACAAGGAGGTGCAGGTGCCGTCCACGGTCGAGGACGCGGCCGTCGTGGAGGTGGCCCGCGCCAAGGTCAAGGAGTACTTTGCGGAGAAGGGCGGGAGCCATCGGCCGGTGGAGGCGCGGGCCAAGTTGTAAATAGGGAGGGAGACTGCTCCGTTCTGTTTGGAGCGCGCGCCGAACGAGGCTTCTCGCAAGCAAAGTAGGGAAGTCATATTTTGCGTCGCGTCGCGTAGGGCGGGATGTGGCATGTCCCGCGGCTTTGTACTACAGTTGGATATTAATTGTTATTTGCATCTTCACGGTGATTCCGGTCATGTTGAGAAGATGACGGTTCAAGGAGGATGTTGTTCCAGCTCCTGTCCCCTCCAGACCTGTGAACTCCTTCCGCCTTTGATGTCATCATCATGAAATGAATGAAGAAAAAGAGAAAGAAACGAAATCTTCGTGTACAACTAGCACGCGCGCGTCGCGTTCGGTAATATCCTCGAGGAGCTCGGGAGAATAATCAGACGAACATTCGACAAGGACACAAGGACAAGGATATGGGGCAAGGCGATAAATTTCAGGGTTCAAAGGCATGTTTCGTCTTATCCCCCAGCCATCTGATCCTGGACGAACAACGCAGAGCCATTTATGGATCCATGTCCGTGGTCCCAAGCTCACGAAAAACTTCCAATGCTCCCAATCTCCAGCGCATGTGCTCCCTAAATGAGGGTGGGGTTGCTCTGCCAACAACCAACCGCTTGCGTCTGCATTTAGCCAAGCGGAAGTACGAAGTACCTCGCCATACCGCACCACACAGAATGCTCCTTCCCCCAGTGATGTGTACATCGTCCCTATTACTTCGTACTTGTATTGTTCGACTGCTCGAGCAGGGGACGCGCAGGGAAGGAGGATCCCAGGCAGTGCATCGATTGGCGCTTCTCTTCCGTTGTTACTATTGATTGCTGTCAATGCCGTTGCCGTAGTTGTCCTGTGCTCACGGCATCATCGTCATCCTATGCCTTGCGGTCAAAATTCAGAAAACAAAAGATAAACATTCCAATCCCCGGTTTTTTCTTTCCCTCTTCCTGTTCCGTACGAATACCTGTACTCATTTGGAACTGTCCAGAATTGGCTTTCCTTTTTCTCGTTTCCCATCAAAACGATTGCTGAATTTTTGCCCGGACCCCGAATCCATATTCTTCATTCTTCTCGCTTCCAGGCCCAGAGAGGGAGATCCCTGTTGCATCGATCCCCTGGGGATAATTAGAAAACCCCCTCTTCGCCCCTTAAAAATTCCCCCTGGGAGCCAGCCACACCGACTAAAATCGACTAGTATGGCTTCCACTCCACTGTCTTCGGCACACGATTCGACCCTCAACATCGCAACACCGCAGACGTCGAGGACAACGACGACGACGCCGAGCGAACGCCACACCACCTATGAGGTGACGGCATTCACTACTATCTCGACGACAGCGACCACACGGCCGTCAATTCTTGCAGGTCCTCCTCTTTCATTGCCCCACGACTCCGCCCTGAGCCCTCGCGATCCGACCCCAAACCACGTCGCTTTCCCCGCCAACAAGGAGAATATCGCCATGGAGCCCTCGCCCAGCAAGATGACGCGCCATTCGCGAGTCCTCTCCGGGACTGAGCTGTCTCCCCTCAAAATTTTAACCGAGGCGAGATCGAAGAGCGGCTCTCCGGACTCTGCCGCTACCAACGACTCCTCTTCCTCCCCGCTGCTCCGCCGCCCTCTGCCGCCTTTCGGAGCCCCAGGAAGGTCCTGTCCCCCGTGAAGAGGTTTCCCATCAAAGTCAGGGCGCCCGGTGCCGACGTCGAAGCCACCCCAAAGCCTGTCGTCCAGGAGCGGACCATGACAATTGACGAGGCCTTGAGGGATAATGTGGGACTGCAGAGGGCCATTCAAATATTCGAGGACGATGAGGACGACGATGATAGCCTTATCGAGGGGGAGAAGGACGGGTCCATGGATTTTGGGGCAAACGGCTCTGTCGCCTCTCACGAAGTCGGTGAGGAGGCCGCCGGCCACGACGACACCATGGTCAGCACCTTTAGCACATTTTCGGCCGTCCCCGATATGACCATGTTCTCAAAGCTACACAACGGGACCAACAGACATTCCCTACTAGGGGACACCACTCCAAGAGCGAGCGGCCGACCCTCACAGGCTACCCCTCCCAGTACCCTATCGGATTCTGGAAACACCACAAACCTGCTCATGGAATTCACCGAACAGCTCAGGTTCCCGCAAAGACGCCACTTCAACGCGCGAGCATGCCGCCGCATCCTCTAGCGGCGTCCTCCCTTCCACCCCTGCTCGCTCTTCGATGAACCTGATTGACTTTGACATACCCCCATGCCAACGCCGCGCAGCATTCCTAGCATCACCCCGGGAACTTGAAAGTCTCAAATCCAACTTCCTCTCCGAGATTAGCGGCCTCAAGGCTTCCCTAAGCGGGAAAGAAGCCGAAGTGCACTCGCTCAAGACGGCGGTGGTGGACGCGGAGCGCCGCGCCGGCCAGAGCATGGAGCAGCTGCGCGAGGAGCGCTCCACCAGAGAACACCTCTCGGCTGAGAAGGACGGTTGGGAGAAGAGGGGCCGAGAGATGGAATCGGTATTGCGGAAGGTCAAGGACGAAATTGTCCTAAACCAGAGAGAAAGGGAAGAGCTTGAGATCAAGCTAGATGAGAGCGAGAAACGTCGTGAGGCGGCGGAGATGATGGCTCAAGAGGCCGAGAGCAAGATTGCTGGCATGAAGGCCGGCAAGGCCACCGAGGAAAGAGAGCGAGCCGCCGCCGGGGACAAGACCCCCATCACTAGCTCCTCGACGGCCAAGGAGGTCGAGATCGCCGTGGAGAGGGTGGCTCGCGAGTTGCACGCGCTTTACAAGAGCAAGCACGAAACCAAGGTCACCGCGCTCAAGAAGAGCTACGAGAACCGGTGGGAGAAGCGGGTGCGCGAGCTCGAAGCCAGGATCGAAGAGCTTGCCGACGACAACGACAGGCTCCGCCTCGGCCGCGATGCGACAATGACCCGAGTCGACCCGAACCAGGCCGCCATAGACGAGGAGCGCAAGGCTCAGCTTGCCAAGGATTCGGCACAGATCAAGGAACTCGAGGCAGAGATTGAGAAGCTCGAGGCCGTCGTGTCGACCGTCAAGGTAGACAACTCGGAGCTTCGCCGCCTGCTTGAACGGGAGCGGGTGGAAAAGGGCGAACTCGTCCAGGTCGCCGAGGAGCTCATGGCCATGCAACAGACCTTTGTTGCTCCAACACCCGCCCGCGACTCCACCGCTGCAGTGACGACTACGACCACGTTGACGAAACCCGCCGCCAGGGGCCCGGCTCCGTCGGCTCTGAGGACCCCGGCATCGAATAGGCACTCGATGATCGAGGCGCCCAGGAGCGCTACTAAGTCGGGTCTCCGAGCACCCGGATCTTACGCCGCGGCCGAGTCTAGAATCGGGCGTTCGGCCGCACACGAGCGGACCAAGAGCAGTGGCCTTGCTCTACCGAGGCCGAGGAGTGGCATCATGAGCTCGATCGAAAAGATGGGAAACTACAGGGGTAGGACAGGGGAATAATGGGTGGGAAAAGAAAGGAAGAATTAAAAAGAAATGTGGAAGTGCGTGAGAGGCCATGCGAAGGGTGGCACAGAACGTACAATCCAAGCACGAATAAGGCGGGAAACCGCCAGCTACGGGGAGGATGTCTATCTAATCATGTCGACGGCCAGATATTGGAATACCGCCAGTCTTTATTCATGGAGGGTAGAAAGGAGGCAAGAGAGCAGTTTACGTACATGCTCGTTGGGGGCGGGGCGGGCAACAACAGGGTTACCAGGCTGGATGGATGCGTTTATGAGATCAATGAAGACCTGAGCTTCTCTCATGTACTCTAAGCTCGCATATATGATTTCCGGGTGTCACGGCGTGAAACGGACGGGGTGGTGGAGGCTCTTAATTACGTTACGTCTGTCCGGTGTCTCTTTTCTATTTTTTTATTTTTTACTTGGTCTCTCTCTCTCTCTCTCTCTCTCTCTCTGTCTATATAACACGCTTTCGTAGCGCGAACAAGAGTCCCGTGGCTTTGCTCGGGCCCAAGTTAATTCTTAGAATGTGCATCAAACGCAGCGGAGATCAGAGAGGCTAGGGCTGGTCCCAATCACGCCCAGGGGATCGTGCAGATGATCTTGCCCTTGTTCTCGTTGGCTTCCATGATGCGATGGGCTTCTTGGATCTGATCCCAGGGGAGCACCGTATCAATGGGGACCCTAAGCTTGCCAGACTCGAACTCAGGAAGGTGCCCTTCCAATACGTCCCTGAGCTTGCTCTGGTACGCCTCGTCCCTACTCCTAAGCGTGCTGCCCTCGATCCTGACCCTCTTGTACAGCAGGGAGGAGATGTCGAGGTTCTCGACCTTGGGCCCGCTGAGGAGGGCGAGGAGGACGATGCGGCCGTCGCGGGCGGCGACGTCGATGTTCTTCTGGAAGTAGTTGGCGCCGACGAAGTCGACAATAACGTCAACGCCCTGCCGCCGGTGGCGTCGCGGATGCCCTGGACCCAGTCGTCGGTGCGGTAGTTGAAGGCCTTGGTCACGCCGAGGTCGGAGGTGAGGTAGGAGACCTTGTCCGGCATGCCGGCGGTGGCGAAGATGGCGGAGGCGCCGAGCTGGCGGGAGAGCTGGATGCCGGCGGCGGAGACGCCCGAGGCGCCGGCGTGCCAGAGGATGGATTTGCCGGAGGAGAACTCGCTGATGAGAGTGAGGGCTTGGAGTGCGGTGATCCACGTCTGGGGCGGGGCGGGTTAGTCACGATCCATCCGGGCTCGACGGCTTTGCTTTTTATTCTGCTGGTAGTAGAGGATGAAACGACAGTACTGGCAAACAACAAAAAACACCAAAGAAGGAAAAACACTCACCTCGGGAATTCCAGCGGCAGTCTCCCACGACATGGACTGAGGCTTCCGGAGCAGCATACTCGTGCTCACGGCAATGTACTCGGCATAAGCGCCGCCGTACGCCAAGCCAAAAACCTCATCGCCGACCTTGAAAGCGTGGCCGGCGGCGGCCTCGGCACCCTGGTCGGCCCCTCGCGGCTCGGTCCGAGGGAATCGATGACGCCGCTAAACTCAACGCCGAGGGTTGCCGGGGCCTGGGGCGGGAGGGGATACCGGCCGAGGCGCTGGATGATGTCCATGCGGTTGATACCAAAGGCCCGGACGCGGACGAGGGCTTGGCCGGCCGCCGGCTCCGGGGTAGGCACGTCGGGGTTGATGAAGAGGATTCCAAAGGGCCGGAGCCGCCTTTGATATCTACACGTAACGGGCGGCGGCGGCGGAGGGGCCGTCACCCTTCGTTAGGCTAGGGAACCGCGGAGGGGGTTGGGTTTGGCGAGTACGTGGGGCATCGTGATGGGGGCGGGGCATAAAGGTACTTACCGACAGCCTTCATCGTGGTGAAGCTTTTGTTGGTTGAGTGTTTGCAATTTCTGGGGGATTTCGGAAGCCGGAACAAGGATCCTCGAGTACGCAGAGGGGGCGTCTTACAACTAAAAGTCTAGTGATGGATTGGTCTGAGGTGGATTTTAAGGAATTCCTACTCTCGTATATTATAGTCCGTCGTCGTCACGAAAATCCGGCAACTAGAGCTTTCTCCCCTTCTCCCCTCCCCTCTCTCCCCGTCCGGGCCCCGTATGCCGGACTAGGCGCAAATCAATGTCCGCTGACAAATTCCCCCATTCCATCGCGCCTTCCGTCGAATGGATCTCAGATCCGTCAGCGACAAATGATATCATTGCCTCGGAAGCTCTTCGCTTCTATGACCGAGAAACACTGCCTTCTAGTGGGAATAGCTCCGGTTTTCAAAAACGGACTAGCCCACAAGCAAAGAGGCGGGGAAGTGAACTTAATAAAAAAAGCCACCATACCCGGCAGGCTGGTGTCAGAGTCTCCAGAGCCTCGGGTTGACTACCAATCCCCTCTCACGTTTCATGGGCACTTGGCTTTTCTCAGCCTCGTAGCCAAATCGTAAATTAACCTCTGTAGTTCTCCTTTCGAAGACGGCATAGGAATCGCCGTTGTGAACAAGGCGAAAAAGGAGCTGAAGAGACGAGAGGGCAAAAGAGAAACAAGGAGGAAGAAACAACGAAGAGTGGAGAAACCAACGCACATAGAGATGAAGACCAAGTGGTGTCAATTCCCAAGCGAGAGTGAAGTCGTTCACGATGCACACTAGTAAGACCAAGCAAGACCAAGCACCGACGGCAGCTGCTAGGCCTGCAAACCCCCTGCAAAACCACATGTCCCACATATGCAGCTCTCCGCCGTCGCCGCGTTCCGAGAATGTCCACGGGAGTATCTTTGTGATTCCCTCTGCGGCCGTCTCTGCATTCTGGGGTATCTGCATGGAAGGCACAGACTGCCCGGCGTAGAACCCTCCCTATAAAAAAAAAGGCCTGGGGGAGACGTAGACAAGTAAAGATATCCCATCCCCTTTCATGGCCCCAGAGTCCTTATCAAAGGCGACAGAGGTTGGCCAAGAGTCTGGGACCATCCAGAGTCTGATGCTATCCACCCGAGTGCCCTCAGCCCCATTGTCTATGCCCATTCCAGCGCGGCTCTTGGATTCCGTCTTCTAGCTCACGAGGGCTGCCCTTGTGAGTCGGCTGTCGTCTCCCCGCCCCAGCCTTTCCGTCGTTCTCTTCGTTTCTGCATCTGCATAAGCACACACTCACCTCTGATTTTCCATCCACCATCGCGACCTGTATGTAGTTTCATACGCTGCGGCTTGGCAACGATATATCGGGGGAGGGAGGGTGAGTCGTGAGCACGTCTTATGGGTAGGCGTTCTGGGTGGGGCGCCTTTGGCATCTGGCATCTGTCAAGAGGAGGGAAAATAGTCCCAAGTTATCGAGATCGCCTGTCCCCCCTTCCACCCCTACATTCCGCCCTCCTCACCCTTCTTTCCTCCGCTTGGCTCGCTTGCTCGCCAAAGCCCCCAACACCCCCTGACCCTCCTCGCTTCGCTCTATTCTGCGACTCTGATAGGACGGGTTGAACCAACCCTGCTAGTATTAGGCCGTATCGTGGATGAGAGGGGAGAGGGAGAGGGAGGGGGACAAAGGTCAGAAGCAGTCTATGTATGTATGTGTGTGTATATATATCCATCTATGTATGGGTGTGGTGGGGAGAAGGGTTTTGGCTAGCCGGGTTCAAACGAAGGAGAGTAATATATATTACATGACCACAAAACAACCAGAGGAAAAGGTGATGACAGGAAGCGGGAAAAAAGGAGGAAGGGAAGAAAGAAAAACAAACAGAAAGAAAAAGAAAAAAAAAGAGATACCGAGGTTCCTTTACAGTAGTTGGGCTTCGCGGAGAGGACTTACCGCCGTCACATATTTAACAGGACAACAACGACGGAAAAGAGTCCATAGCTCATAGGAGACCCCACGCTTGAGTCTGCATTCGCGCAAGCTTCGATTTCTTCCCAAACTTGCAGCACTGGCCTCGATGTCTTCTCGTGGGTTTTGCCCCCATATCCGGCGTACAAGCCAACAGCCGTGCAAGACTGGTTGCCTGCCTTGTTCAACCTCCCCTTCCTCGCCTTGCCCGTAACTCTCCCTCTTGCATCCCTCTCTGACTGCTCTACTGTTCTCCTCCATCCTCTAGCTCCCACCTGACCTCCAAGATACGAGACCGCAGAAGGTGGAATGTTGTGAAGCTTATATATGTCCCTCATATATGGCCCGCCGCCTTCTCTTGTTGAGGGCTGCAACGAACAATATCGGTCCCGGAGCGCTGCCGCCAAGGATGCAGACCAGCTCCTGGGGACGGGAGGAAAATTAGCTAGCGCTCCTCAGATAGCACACCACCACAGCGGCCAAACCTATCTACCTCTTACTCTTACGCCACAGCCCTTCTTCAACGAACTTGATGGTGAAGCCTCCCCCCCCCCTCCCCGCGAGCCAAGCATGCTTTCTTGGTCCCCTTCATCCCCTTTTTATTATCCTGCTGATACTGGCTCATCGGTCCTTTACCCATCTAAAGGACAAAGGAGGGGCATGCCATGGCCGTACTGCCAAAGGGAGAAATAAGGTGTGAAAAAGGTTCTGGATGTTGTGAGTATTGGAAGCTGGTGATTCCGATAGGTCCTAGACCTATCTCAGTACACTTCCCCTACGATCCACACAAACATACCTGCACGGAATCATTCTCGGCTGGGGTCTTTCCAGCTCGGCCGCACTTGCGCAGAGGCGAGCTCGCCTCTCCAAAGACGCGGACACTCGGTCTCGGCTGTCCAGGATAAAAGTGAAAATTCCGACTGCCGCCTATACGTCGACCCCATGGTACTTGCACTGTCTCTCTATAGTTTATCTCTCTCCTCTTCCATCTCTTTGTCCCTGCCCATGTCTTCGCCGTCCTTACTCTTTTACACCTGGTCCTCTTTGCAAGGGGTGCACCCTCGCAAGGCCTGTGCGCTAGAGGCTTCAAGTATCGAAAAAGGAGCAAGGGAGAAGGAGAGTGGTGAATGGCAACGCTTAGCGAGAGGGTTCAGGCTACAAGGAAAAGTCTCGAGTATCGATCGAAATGGGGGAGCTTCAACTGCCCCTTTCCGACCTTGAAGACCACTCTCCCCTTCCAGACCACGAGAGGCGGTTTGCGAGGTATAACTATGATGTGATAAGACTCGCCTTTCACTAGCATGAAGGGTTCATGCACTTGCAATTACAAGGCAAGGCTTAAACCTGGGGTTGATCTCCGGATGCCATGCAGTGCGTGCCCATTACGACACTGCACAATCTTCGAGAGAACCGCTTTTATTTTGTCCGACTCACATACGGCGCAGGACGCTGCGTCCGTCTAAGTTAATAACCGACCGGGCTTATGTCCCCTCCCTTGTGTCATGATACCTCCACCACCCCTTGCTGAGGATGACCTCCGGGCCGGGCTTGTGGGCTCCCAGACCACATTATAGCCCAAAGGGCTATTATTATGGACAAGGAAGCGATGGTTAAGGCCAAGGAAGGGAGGGGTAAAGGGTGGAGTGGAAAGGGCGGGAATGGTTTAATAAGTTGGGTGGTATTGGCAATTGAGAAGGGGACGGCTCTCTGATATTTTTTTCTTTTTTTTTTTTTTTTTGGGGGTTTCTCTTTTAGCGAAGAAGCGCCCTCTCCTCTGCTCTCGCTACGCCCCTCAAATAATATCGCAACACCCATACCCGGCAGAGACGCTCTCAGATACACCAAGAGGTCTTAACCTCTGCCGATACATATGCTCTCGGCCACCATAGTCATCCGCTCCATGGGCGGATAGAGTGCAAACCTTACCTCTTCCTCGAAAAAGATGATGGGGCGAGAAGAGTTGTCATAACTGGCCCTCTCTCTCCTTCTCCATGGGTAGTATGGAGTCTTTCGGGAGGGGCACAGACCCGCGATTCCAGCGCGGACGCAACCCGTAGGCTCGTGTGCTCGATTATTGAAACGTACCCGTTCCCGTGCCCCTCTTGAATCGAGGATCAGAGCGGCTGGATCCATGGATACCATGGCGACTTCGAGGAGACCCAGACCCAGTTCCGGGAGGAGAGGGCGCTCAAACGAACCACAACCCTGATTAAGGCTTAGCCATGATCAACAGACCTGCCCGCCCAGGACTGCAGCATCTGTTGATGGAGGGAGGAAGTAACCCGGAGCTCGAGCCAGGCATGAAGCCATGCCGCCAGCGATCGATCTTGGACTCCACCTCATCATAATACCTTTTGCTCGAGAAATAGGATCTTCGTTAAGAAATCCTGCCCCCTCCCAACAGGGAGGAAAAAAGTTTATTCCCCTTTCCGTTCAATAAAGACTCTGGCTAAATTCTCAGTTTTGGTTGCTTCCGAATCGGTCAGCCGTAATCCCATCACCCCTTTGCAAAGCTACGCTGACCCACCTGTGCCTCAAAAGGCGCAGACATTTCGATATAACTTGGCGCTATTTGCGCATTTTGAAGCCAACAGGGTCAAGTTGGCCAAGACATCTCTCCTCCTCAAGAGGTGGGTAGGCACCAGCGGCCCGCAAGAGGGGTCCGAATTAGGACTTGGGAAGCGAAGGAGAACTGGACAAGATAGAGTGAAGACACTTCAACGGTAGCGCCGGATGACCCCGAGCGGGGGCATGATGGGAATCTAGAGAGTAAAAAAATCAGCGTGGGAGGGAAAAGAAGGGCAAGCAAATAAAATGGTGTCGCCGAGGAAGGTCCAGAGCAAGGGCCTTGGGACACTCCTTTCCGCAGCAGGAGGCAAAGGTAAGAGGGAAGGCACAAGGCACCTTTCCGCTGGTTTCACACCCGCCCTCGTTTCTCAAATCAACGTCGTCCTGGCCACAATATAGAGGAGCTGATTTCCTTCGGCACCAAACATTGAAAATATCGAAACTTGCCTGCCCTTGCCTGTCTACGAATGGATCCGTTAGGGACGGGGGCGCAGTCGGAGATTCGGAAACGAGTTGCATCCCATGGTGGCAATTATCGACGGCCGAATTTATACTGCAGGGTACCAAGAAACAGAGTGAGCATCAGTCTATCTCTCTTGCGGCATAATTTAGGGTTGAGAAACAATCCATGCACTGGTGGCAATCCGCCCATCGTCTGGATTGGCGTTTCTACTCTCATACTACTTCGCGAGCGAGGGTGTCCGCTTCGCGACACCACGTCGTTGGAGGGAAGTGCTGTTGGGCAGAAGAGATCGGCCGGGTTGGTAACATGAAGCATGGCTGGAGGACGAAAACATGCGTCGAGCCCATGCTTATTATGCCTATACCCATGTCCTGGCCCGGGCTTCTTTGAGGCCCATCTTCGCGTTTGCACGTTAAGACGACGAGATCTTTTGCATTGCTTGTACATCCTGTGCGAGTATGCGAGGCATAGCCGCATCTGCGTGAATTTTGCCACACACACGCACACACATACATATGGAGGACTGGCAGGCCCTGATTCTCTTTCTTGGGCCCGCACCCCTGGCTTTCATTATCAACGTGATCCTACTCTCGTCGAACTTGTACAAGCATATGGGGATGATGGGTGCGGATTCAAGCATTCAAGGATCTCGGCCCCGAGCAGCAATCCACTGTGGTGGATACGAAGTATTGGGTTGGAAACGGAATGGGATTGTAAACGCATAATTTTGCGGTCCGTCTCCTGTCGGGAGAAGAATAGCTTCAAAGCATGCGAGAGATCCCTCGGGTAGAAAAGCGGGCTTGCTAGATTTGGCCTCACATTCAATCCTCGTCCGTCCCCGCTAGAGTTGGTGCTTTGAGGAATGAATACCCTTGAGCCCACGTCTGCGAAGGGAGGGGAGAGAGCAGTTGGTGGGTAGTATCGTTCAACCCACACCTTGTCAAGGACGTCGGTGGCCAATCGCCTCGGCCTGCCTACGGGATAGACGAGCTCAGCTTTTAATATCAAGCGAGGCTTTGGGCAACAACGTTGGAGGGCTTGTCGACCCGCAATGCTACTCAGCAATCCCGCCCTTTACCCTCCTGCCCAATCTAGAGCGATTGGGTTTCACCAGGTGAAAAAGGAGGGGAGGAGGGGAATCAAGGGAATCAAGGGAGGGGAGATGCCCCTGTCAAAGGACAGCACCCACTGGTGGGTGTAAGATTTTGTCATCTCTGCGACCATGACATGTTGGCGACATTGCGCATCAATAGACAAAAGGGAGCAAGAAAAGGCCCCGAGCAAAACTACTTGCAAGATTTGGGCTACGATGGGGGAAGGATGAAGTTGTTGCTGAATGAACATCCTTGGTGACATCAAATGTGTAATCAGTACATGCGGAGGCGGAAGGAAATATGGAGGTATCAGGTGAAAGTGCTTTGGGGACCTATACCAAGGGCATCTTTTGCGTGAGATTGCCTAACCTTCATTCATCTCGGTCAAAACTTTGGAAAAATGAAAAGATTGTAATAGCAACAACAAGAGCAACGGCATCTTGAGGCGGGACGATGACTGTTGCATGAATGCGCACCTGGGCGTGGGCATGAGCAGAGAGGGCTTAACCACCCCAGATCTACCTGTCCCGGAGCTACGTCACCTGGGATGGTGAATGCAAGGAGCGGATGAACCCGTCAATTGCCATCCTTGACGAGGACGCGCTGCACTGTACTGCGCAACTCGCGACTATAATGCAGTTACATATCTTACAACGGCGTGCAGTGCAGCGTTGGATCGAGTGGGCTTCTGTACTCCGCAAGCACGGGATGATGCTTGATCGATTATTGCTTCCTTGACTCGGGTCGACTCGTCATAAGAGTCGATGCTTGCGCTTTCGTACCGAGTGTGAATTGGTAAAAAGGGGTCTTGAGGGAGGGAGGGAGGTTCCTGGACAGCACAGGGTGCACGGGGACAGAACAAAAAACAGAGCTTGATAGAGGAAGAGAGAGAGAGAGGGAGAGAGGGAGAGGGGGAAGAGAGAGAAAGAGAGAAAGAGGGAGAACGAAGACAAGCCAAACCGAAGACAACCGAAAGGGCGACGTGTAAGGGAAGAGAGCCTTGCAGCTGGCGCGGGAAAGAAACTCGCGAAAACTAGTGCTTCGATCTCGGTCGCGCGTCCGTATTGCATGCCTTCCACAACCCGGATATTTGATCCCGCATCCACGTTGTCAACATGCCCCGCCTACGACTCACGCCATCCCTAGGTCCCCTGGGGTCTGGGGGATGAGGTTGGTGGTGTGTGGTGATGAATGGATTGGCTGAGCTCCTCACTCTTGAGCATCCTCATTTCCGCCGCCATCGCCATTTTGCTTCTTTGCCTCATGCATAAGCTTGAGCTTCTTGTCAACCGCGCCCCTCGTCTGAGTTGCCCGTCAAGCCCATCTAATTTTTGCTCCCCACCGCCCTTTGCCCGTTGCTTTTTCGTGCCTTCTCGACATCTTTCCGCATTCCGCCTCTCGCATTACGTACAGGAGACCCATTTCTACCCTCGCACACGACCCTTCTGTCCCCCTTCCTCATAGCGGCCAGCATGGGCCAGCAAGGGAGGGGCGCGCATCCCGAGTTATTCCATGGTCGTACAGATTTATAAGAGCTCCCCATTTCATGAATCAAGTTCCCGTGTCACGTCGTCAAGACTATTCTTGCTTCTTACTCGCCTCGACGACCATTACCTCTCAGAATACTTGTAATAATAGGAACGACTCAGCAATAAAAAGAAAAGAAAAAGAAGAAAAAAAGGAAAGAAGAAGAAGGCTTTGAGGGATAAGGGCAGGCCAAGGAGTGAGCAAGCCGGCGGGTTCATTCCTCGTCTTTCTAGACCCGGCCCTGAATGGGGCCTTGCGGAGGAATTTGGTCCGCTGAGGGTCTCTTCCGGCCCACACTGATCCTTGAGAAAGGTGTGCAATGGCAAACAAACCCTCTGGCGACTTTGTAACATTCTCGAGAAGCCCTGGTGGAAGGAAGCTTGCCTCTAGTTGGTGTCGTACGGCTAGGCTGGCGTGGCCGTATTAGGGACTAGAGATACAGATCTCATCCCTTTCCTCACACTCTTCATCAAGAATCACGCCGGTTTTTAACAATCCTTTTTGTGACACTTCGGCACAATGGCACGAGATGGATCTCCACGACCCACTCCTGCTGGATCCTGTTGGCACACACATCCATCAATTCGAGCCGGCCGAGGTGTTGGCACAGTGGGGCATTCAACATGCACCTGCGAAACCAAGGCTGATCGGGGCAGGGGATCAACAAACCTTGCTGCCCCAGTAATACACTACTGGCAAATCTCGCCCTTTTCCCTCGTTTGTGTTCGTCTTTTCTTGCCCCTTTCGCTCGCTGCCTTCCTTCTTTTCGTTTCTTTTTCTACTTCTTCCAACATCTCATTTGTTGCTTTTGTTTGGCGGGTCTTCCTTCCCCACCGGCTAACGCGACCAAGATTGGGGCTGAGGATTTTCCCTACACGGGTGAATTTCTCCCTGTGCGCGTTGTGACGACCAGGCGCCACTAAACGGCGTGGAGGTAACTGAAATGAAGACGCACCGCACCGTCTTGCTTAGTGCCGACAAGGCGCGAAAGTTTTGTGCCGTCGGTCGTATGGCGGTCGTTGGCTCATTGTTCAAGCTGGTAGGTTGGTTCTAGTAGGTGCTATTTTTAAGAACCGTACCTGAAAGCCCATGTCAACCAAGGCAGAGAGAGATCAATGCACTACATGTATGGAGAATTAAAACGCCTTGTTAAGCAGTGCATTCTCCACACATGTATGTACGAAGTATGTGCCTTGCACCAGCGTTGCGCGCCCAGGGAACCCGACAGACGACAGCGACGCAAGGCAACGCAAGGCAACGTGAGGCGACGCAAAGCAAAGCGTATCGCGGTACCACAGTTCAAGAGGGTTGAACGATCTATCTAGCATGACATATGCACGAGTCATCTGCGGAAAGGGGGATAATTTATGAAGTAAACAGAAGAAGAAAACAAACCTCCGGAACGCGCCCATGGAAGTTGCGACCTTGAGGAACAAATGAGACGTAGGGTTAACGCGTCGAAGGGAAGGAGAAGGCGATGATGCGCCAATAGGATGACCTGCAAAAAAGGAAGAACAAAAAAGAAATGGCGGGCGAAGAAGGAGCGAGGCTGGGATCTTGTTTGCCGCACATGCCAAGAAAGGAAAGAGAGGTCCCGAGGCCCATTTCACGAAATAACGGCCAGAATGCTTGCAGAGCGTTGGAAAACCAAGCGCCTGTGAGAGAACAACCCGTTACACCCTCTACAAAGCCTCGAGGCCGGTGTTTCGAATTTAGACACCATTGCCTCTCCACAGGAGCGGGATGATCTCAGCAAGGCCTAACACGTTTTTCCCACTCTTCTCAGCAATATCACGCTCGCGATCTATCGGCTACAGGAGCCGATGCAACTATCCCGGTCGATGCACCCAGGCTTGTGGCTATTCTCGGGTCCCTCTCAAGCTAGCGCAGGCGGTCGTTCAGGTACAGGGCAGGGGGATGCTGAGTGGGGTGAGAGGCTGGGCAGGAGCAGTGAAGATGGCGGGAGGCTTCGACCGGAGTCTCGGAAGTGAAGATGAAAATGAAGGCCGAAAAGATATGACTACACTTTTGAGATCAGGGTTGAAAAAGTTGAGGGTCGGGGAAAAGAAATTGTCTCGTCTTCTAACAGACCATTGTCCTTGTTCTTTTGTGTAAGCTGGCGCCAAGACATGTCATGGACTGCACGGCGACAACCTCACGAGCGTATTTGCTAGCCTCGGCAAGGAAGAGATATATGGGCAGGCCATTGATGACTCCCCTTGTCTAGGGACAAAAGCAGAAAGGAGGGCCTAAAGAAGGAACGAAGGCAAAAAAAAAAAAAAAAAAAAACAGGGGAAGGTAGAGAGAAGAATGTAAAAATGCGGGAACCAGATAGAAAAGAAACGAAGCATTCTACGCCACATTTGATATTTTCGGATGGCATCGTCGCAGGTGAAACTCATGGCCGTGCTCCATCTCTGATTGTGGATAACGTT